GAGATGGTGAGTCGAACTGAAACATGTTGAAGTGAATTGAGTCGGGAATGTGAACCGGTTCGTCCTGGTGAACCCATTCGATTACGTGAATCAGTTCGGTCAGGTGAGCCGGTTCGGATGAGTGAACTCGTTCGACCTTTGGCTGCACGGCTAGGTGAATGGTTCCGTTCTGGTGAACCAACACTGGTATTAGACGCAATTCTGATTGGTGAAACGAATCGCGGTGGTGAATCAGTTGGGACTGGTACATTGGAAGGACGACGAGAGCTCGAGCGTGAATGAGATCTTGAACGACTCTTCCCAGCAGTAGAAGAACACATTCGAACCTTCCAACCAGATGGTGACTCAACTCGTGTGGGTGAATGGTTTCGGTGGGATGAAACCATAGGAATAGGAGAACGATTATGTTCCAACCGGGCCAATCCACGCTTCGATGATGAATGCTTGGACTTAGAAGTTTTCGAAGTCTGTGAACACACTGAAGAAACGGATCTACGAGATAAGGTAGATCGCAGGTCTTGCGTAGAGGAAATATCAGTCATTACCACCCTGGCATGCCCATGAGAACATAAACTAGGTGAGGGGAAGCTACCAAAAGCCTTTTAACGTTCTCAGACAAATAGGAATCAATCAAGGCCCATAAAATCCTCGCCAAGAGAGACGAAGCGATATAGAACGGCGAGCAGGGAGGGTGGGGCGATCTAAACATTGTTTCTTAGCGGGAGATGGACCAGACCCCTGCAGAAGCATTCCTAGCCCTATCTGCCAAACGTCTGGCACAAGCACATTTGTAAGATTTAAAAGCCTCATTAGACAGTCCTGAACACTTAGGACAACATGTGCTAATCACAACAACCCAGCAATCACAGCAAGATGAAAAGACTTTATTACAACAGCCACCGCCAACAAATGATGCAACTAATGGAAGGGATAGAATGCCGAACCTTAGCATCTAGGTGAGCCAATTCCCCTGTCTTCCACAAAAACGGCGAACTGGAGCGCTTGCTACAAACCATGGAAATGTCATCATCAACTGAAGGTGCTGCTGACCAAAGTTGAACACCATGAGTATGTGCCGTCGATGATCGGAACCTTGGAGCAGACAAACCATCCTTCGTCCTTCTAAGCTTCTTGAAAGCCGCATCAAGAGAAGAAGGTAATTGTTGAAGTCATGGATGCAAAGGAAGTGTGATACTGGAAATATTTCTATTTGTCACGGCATAAGACGTGGCCAAATCATCTAGAGATTTACTAAGACGTAGCTGAAGTTTTTCAACTATCCAGGCTAGCACGTGAGCCGGTTAAACAACATCAAAACTGCCATCAGGAGTGGAGATGTCCGACTGCCCAGGTGAAGGTAAAGGAGTCTGAGACCGAGTCCGATCCCTCGAATCCACAGAACGATTATTGCTAGGTATGGCAGACGACTGTTGAACATGTGAGGACGAATGACACTGATTCCAAGCCGATGTAACGGCACGAAGCATGGTGTCTAAATCCGGCGCTGGAGAGGAATCAAGTGCAGGATTCCAAGACTCAGCAATAACTTGTGACCGAGGCAAAGTAGAAGTGGTATGGCGTGAAGGTGAACGCTGATCCACTGAAGCATAACGCTGCCTAGCAGGTGAAACCACCCTCACAGAACGATGTTGATGAGGGTACTATCATGTAAAGGCACTGACCGCAAGACACCGAAAAGACACCGTACGGTTAGGTGAACCGGATCGAAATGGCGAACCACTTTGACTAGGTGAGACTGAACGACTACGGGAATCAAAATGCTGTGGTGAATTGATTCGACTATGAGATGGTGAGTCGAACTGAAACATGTTGAAGTGAATTGAGTCGGGAATGTGAACCGGTTCGTCCTGGTGAACCCATTCGATTACGTGAATCAGTTCGGTCAGGTGAGCCGGTTCGGATGAGTGAACTCGTTCGACCTTTGGCTGCACGGCTAGGTGAATGGTTCCGTTCTGGTGAACCAACACTGGTATTAGACGCAATTCTGATTGGTGAAACGAATCGCGGTGGTGAATCAGTTGGGACTGGTACACTGGAAGGACGACGAGAGCTCGAGCGTGAATGAGATCTTGAACGACTCTTCCCAGCAGTAGAAGAACACATTCGAACCTTCCAACCAGATGGTGACTCAACTCGTGTGGGTGAATGGTTTCGGTGGGATGAAACCATAGGAATAGGAGAACGATTATGTTCCAACCGCGCCAATCCACGCTTCGATGATGAATGCTTGGACTTAGAAGTTTTCGAAGTCTGTGAACAAACTGAAGAAACGGATCTACGAGATAAGGTAGATCGCAGGTCTTGCGTAGAGGAAATATCAGTCATTACCACCCTGGCATGCCCATGAGAACATAAACTAGGTGAGGGAAGCGCCCAAAAAGCCTTTTAGCGTTCTCAGACAAATAGGAATCCGACGAAGCGTCCATAAAATCCTCGTCAAGAGAGACGGGCGATATAGAACGGCGAGCAGGGAGGGTGGGGCGATCTAAACATTGTTTCTTAGCGGGAGATGGACCAGACCCGCAGAAGCATTCCTAGCCCTATCTGCCAAACGTCTGGCACAAGCACATTTGTAAGATTTAAAAGCCTCATTAGACAGTCCTGAACACTTAGGACAACATGTGTCCCAATCACAACAACCCACACAATCAATACACGATGTGTGTGGGTCCCAAGATGAAAAGACTTTATTACATTGGGCGCAAAACGTTCGCCACAGCGTCAACAGCCGAAATGATGCAACTAATGGAAGGGATAGAATGCCGAACCTTAGCATCTAGGTGAGCCAATTCCCTGTCTTCCACAAAAAACGGCGAACTGGAACGCTTGCTACAAACCATGGAAATGTCATCATCAACTGAAGGTGCTGCTGACCAAAGTTGAACACCATGAGTACGTGCCGTCGATGATCGGAACTTTGGAGCAGACAAACCATCCTTCGTCCTTCTAAGCTTCTTGAAAGCCGCATCAAGAGAAGAAGGTAATTGTTGAAGTCATGGATGCAAAGGAAGTGTGATACTGGAAATATTTCTATTTGTCACGGCATAAGACGTGGCCAAATCATCTAGAGATTTACTAAGGCGTAGCTGAAGTTTTCAACTATCCAGGCTAGCACGTGAGCCGGTTAAACAACATCAAAACTGCCATCAGGAGTGGAGATGTCCGACTGCCCAGGTGAAGGTAAAGGAGTCTGAGGACCGAGTCCGATCCCTCGAATCCACAGAGCGATTATTGCTAGGTATGGCAGACGACTGTTGAACATGTGAGGGACGAATGACACTGATTCCAAGCCGATGTAGCGGCACGAAGCATGGTGTCTAAATCCGGCGCTGGAGAGGAATCAAGTGCAGGATTCCAAGACTCAGCAATAACCTGTGACCGAGGCAAAGTAGAAGTGGTATGGCGTGAAGGTGAACGCTGATCCACTGAAGCATAACGCTGCCTAGCAGGTGAAACCACCCTCACAGAACGATGTTGATGAGGGTACTATCATGTAAAGGCACTGACCGCAAGACACCGAAAAGACACCGTACGGCTAGGTGAACCGGATCGAAATGGCGAACCACTTTGACTAGGTGAGACTGAACGACTACGGGAATCAAAATGCTGTGGTGAATTGATTCGACTATGAGATGGTGAGTCGAACTGAAACATGTTGAAGTGAATTGAGTCGGGAATGTGAACCGGTTCGTCCTGGTGAACCCATTCAATTACGTGAATCAGTTCGGTCAGGTGAGCCGGTTCGGATGAGTAAACTCGTTCGACCTTTGGCTGCACGGCTAGGTGAATGGTTCCGTTCTGGTGAACCAACACTGGTATTAGACGCAATTCTGATTGGTGAAACGAATCGCGGTGGTGAATCAGTTGGGACTGGTACATTGGAAGGACGACGAGAGCTCCGGCGTGAATGAGATCTTGAACGACTCTTCCCAGCAGTAGAAGAACACATTCGAACCTTCCAACCAGATGGTGACTCAACTCGTGTGGGTGAATGGTTTCGGTGGGATGAAACCATAGGAATAGGAGAACGATTATGTTCCAACCGCGCCAATCCACGCATCGATGATGAATGCTTGGACTTAGAAGTTTTCGAAGTCTGTGAACATACTGAAGAAACGGATCTACGAGATAAGGTAGATCACAGGTCTTGCGTAGAGGAAATATCAGTCATTACCACCCTGGCATGCCCATGAGAACTTAAACTAGGTGAGGGAAGCGCCCAAAAAGCCTTTTAACGTTCTCAGACAAATAGGAATCCGACGAAGCGTCCATAAAATCCTCGTCAAGAGAGACGGGCGATTTAGAACGGCAAGCAGTGAGGGTGGGGCGATCTAAACATTGTTTCTTAGCGGGAGATGGACCAGACCCCGCAGAAGCATTCCTAGCCCTATCTGCCAAACGTCTGGCACAAGCACATTTGTAAGATTTAAAAGCCTCATTAGACAGTCCTGAACACTTAGGACAACATGTGTCCCAATCACAACAACCCACACAATCAATACACGATGTGTGTGGGTCCCAAGCTAAAAAGACTTTATTACATTGGGCGCAAAACGTTCGTTTTCTGGCCTGAACAGGCTTATCCATGTTGAAATTTTGTTTGCATCCACTCTGTCGAGATACAAGAAAGAGAATAAGTATGTGAGGTGATCACATGGGTGAGGACTGCACATGCCTCGTGCTGTCACGGACTAGTGAGCATGGCTGAGGCAGGAAGGCATGCACAGCACGGGGACAAGGACAAGGTAGGCCTGGAGCAAAGTTTTAATTCGTTTCCACTCATGGTCGAATGAAGAGAGAGAGGTGCAAGTCGTAAGTTAGGATAAGTTTAAACATTTAGTCATTGAACTTTTTGGTCTGGTATTTACATGTGTCCAGATATGTTTGGGATAAAACATGTACACCAAAACCTAACTTGATATCGGTAAAATTAAATTACTTTGCTCTGCAACTCACCTTCTGCACCATGCACTCCTCTGTCTGGAGGTCAACAGCAAAGTCCCCCACCATCAGGCTGCCCCCTCTGGTGCTGTCCTTCACCATCAGACTGGCCCCTCCTGTCCTGTCGCCCACCATCAGCCTGGCCCCTCTGGTGCTGTCCTTCACCATCAGGCTGCCCCTCCAGTCCTGTCAACCACCATCAGGCTGGCCCCTCTGGTGCTGTCCTTCACCATCAGCCTGGCCCCTGAACTAGCACCTGCTGCACTGACCCTAGTATCTGCTGGAGAGACCAGTCTAAGTTAACTTAGGGTCAGTATTATTCATTACACTGCTACACTGAGTCTAACAAACCTAATAGATGGTTGCGTCAGCTGACCTTTTGGACCAACCAATCAGAACACAGCTTACCAAATCAAAATACTATTTTCCGTACGATTGTTTCCGAGTGATACACATGGAGGACGCAATGAGTAAACAGTTACTGAAAAAAAATTTTTGGGTCAATATTCAAGGATGTCATCTTGCGGAAATATAAGCTAATAGTAACCATGTCATTAGAAACCCCTAAGCGTATATACTGCAGGTCAAATATCAGTGTTTTATGCGGATTTTCGTTTGTTGATAGATCAGCGACCAAGGGAGAGAAAATCCAAAAATCCCGCCAAATCCTAACAAGTAGTTGTTGTCTGATTGGCTAAATCTGTTAGGCCCTCTTGTGTTTGATTGGATGGTCATAGGTCGCTCAAAGGTTAGCTGACGCGACCTTCTACTGGGTTTTTTTAGACTCAGTGTAGCAGTGTAACGAATAATACTGAGCCTAAGTTAACTTAGACTGCTGGAGAGACAGGAAGAGATGGATCATGATGGACACAGCTGTCCCTTGCAAAACCACAAAAACACCTCATAATTGATGTTTTTGTGTCTGAAGTGGAACATTTTGAGATCATAGAGGCTCCTCAGCCTTAAACTGCTTCCAGTCAAACTGACAATGCAGTGCTTCAATTTGGTGTCAAGGCAAGGCAGACTTTTGCTGTAAGTATTACCAAACTAAACTGCACTACACATGTTGCAGTTAAGCATAGGCTGTTTTGGATTCAAAGAATCAACAGCTTATTTTATTTCATGTGACTCTTATCCATCCAATCGGTAAACGACTACTGTAAAACGAGAAATTTTCCTGCCTTTAAAATTTTGTGACCTTGATACCTCATCCGGGATTTGTGACGTGTTATTTTTACGAGAGGCACCCATCTACGCAAAAATAACATTGTTCAGTTCAGCTGAGCTCAACTAAGCCGACCAAGGGGATTAAAGCAGATCAAAGAGACTAGATGAAAACAATCTCTAATTAAGCCACGCCAGAAGTCTCAATGAGCTAGATTGGTAAACTCAGTGTCATAATGTTGTTATAGTACATGGTTAAATTTCGAGTTATCAGTGCGACTGTACACAAAGGAAAATGTTGAAGTTTGTGACAGTTCGAAAGCGTGGATAAAGGATGGTGCTTAGAGACAATATGTTTTAAGTATGCTGCATTGTTATTAAATATGTTATATTATGGTATAATATGGAATAAACTTTGCGTCTTCAAACTTTTGCGACATCAGGACAATATCCTGCTGGCAAAATTTTCTCGTTTTACAGTATTTGTTAAAGCTGCTATGTTTGACCAAAGTTTGAATACAATGTTGAAGAATTATATTTGAGTTAGAAGCGGTAAATTTCAAGATTGCTCTTACCAAGTGTGCCACTTCTGCTGAGGGCCTGATGAAATGCAGCATGAATGTGACCAGTGTCCTCTGTGACCTCTGACCTCACCACATACACGCCAAAGAAGACCTACGGATATGATTGAGAGAAGACATCAATTTAAATTGCTGTTTTAAAATGTTGTTCAATTGTTATCAAAACATTAAAAACATAAATTAACTGATATGATATAATAACATTGTCTTGCAGTCTGTGTATACAGCTGAATAGATCATATCAGAGTATTGTCTTCTCCCTACCTGAGTAAAACCAGCTAACCACATAGTAGAGCATTGTCTCATTACCTGTATATACAACTGCCAGTAGCTGAACACATCATAATGGAGCATCTTGTCTTTCTGAGGCAAGAGGTACAAGCTCACCTCATCTAAAATGGTAAAACAGGAAAACCTGAATACATGTACAAACACATTTACATTGAATGGAGAACATTGTTAACACAAAACAAACCCAATATTTTTATAATATATTTAAATCCCACAGCCTGACCCCTTTCTGTTATTAAGCCATTAATTTGACATAAAAGTCATCTTCATCAGAGGACATAACAGAAATCTCACCATTGAGCTTGTTGTCTGGTACATTAGCTACAGACTCACAACACTTGATCAGCAAGCCACTCCGTTGCTGAAAACAAGCATGACAGAACTGACCTCATCATTCACAGTGGACTATACAGTTAGTATTTAGTCTACAGATTACAATAGTCTAACCAACATTACTGGTAAATAGTGGTGGTCCGATTAATTTAAATAATCAAAGGTTGGTCACAATGACTAAATGACCAAGCAGTCGATCATGTTTTCTCATAATCGAACACAAACAAGTTTGAAACACTTGTTTGCATTGACAATATTTTGGTTTTGTCTGTTACATTTCATAAGCACTACAAGAGATCAAGTTTGATTGAAAGAGTCCAGGAAAGTAATGTCCCTAATATACTAGTCATCCTTTAAAGATATAAAATTTGCAAATGTATTGTGTGCAATTTGCAAAAACCCTGACAAAAGAACTATATGTTTTGTCTTTATTTTTGTGCATTAACAAACATAACCAGGAAAATTTGATAAATGATGCTAACCAATTATTGTCCATGATTGATCGGTTGTAATTAACCAATCATCAATTGTGAGATTTTAACCAATTCCCAACACTACTGGCAAAGGGAGGAAATTTAGTGAGTTCAGCATGTTTTTAAAACTGTTGTTGGCAATATTCTAGTTACGTACAGCTGGTTCTCTAGTGTAACAAACAAACAAACACTCAAAGAGCTGCATGTTATCTGGGGATATATAAGCAGCATAATTTGACAAAACAAATAACTAGAAGCTTCACCAAATCAAAATGTCCCATAGGATGTTTTGTAATGTATTTTGGGGAGTTTGAATTATATTTCATTATATATCGAATGATGTTTTGTTTTGAATGGCGACGGGCACCTAAGTTGAAATAAGTTGGAATTGCTTAATGGCTGACTGAAATGATGCCAAGGCAGGGAGTTATCTCCACTTCCAGGAGAAACAAGGGGTTAACCCCCTTGAGCACTGTGCTACGAATTTTTTAATGTGGCATCTTTACGGAATGTTTGAGCGAAGAAAATACAGCCTGATATCTGAACGACATAAGTGTATATGAATTGGGTTTATGTGCTTGTGCATAACGTTATATGCTCAACATTAAAAATGACTCGTAATAAATGTCAAAAATGGATTTTCTTCTATGACGTCAAACGACGACAGAGAGGTCATACGCGATATAATGATAAGGGGCATAACTCCGTTATGCGTAACACTAGGTCAATGTAACTCAGATCACTTGGAGAAAATTTGTTGTGGATAATGGACGCTATATTTTCGTTATTTTATGTTCATGGTGAACCAAATTATTCCAATTCAAAGTTCCCCAATGTGAACGGATGCGCTTTGGTAGTTTCACAATTTATAAGAAAAGATGTCAACGTATTACATGTAAAAGCATGTAATAGCGAGTTGAATAGCCCTATCCGATATATAAGTTAGTTCTTAGATTCCCATATTCTCCTGTTTGTGTAGATGTAATTTGACTTATTTTGCATCGTTATTACCAGAGTACTAGCCATATCTTCAAATGTAGCGAAATTGCTGAAAATGATACAACATTTTAGTTGGCGTCATTGCTTGTTTTATGCATTTTGGCGATGTCGGAAAAAGACGACATTGGTATGCTGATTAGTATATATCTCACTTAATTTCCATTAATTGTATAAAGGTCTAGACTTCTATGTCAGAATTTAACACTCTTTAGACAAAACATAAAATGACTGATTTTTCCATTTAAATAGTGTCCTGAATATATCAACAATTAGGCGGTTTGACAGTATCATTTTGTGAACAACAGCGCACCTGTTTGGCATCAATTTAAGCGTAAATAAAAATAATATATTAAACAACACCCGAATGTTTGTTTGGGATAAGAATTTTGTTTGTTTATGATTATGTCGCTATTTCTCTTCATACGTATGCAATGAAAGATGCAAAAAGATAGCTTTTTATACATGGAACTATATATTAGAATATGGATGTAAGATTTGTCCGAATTAACACATGAGATGGTATATATATTTTTCAACAATTTTCCTATAAATGTAGTTAGAGTTTGATATCCTGTCATCACAATACTATCTAATCGAATATGAATTGAATATATTATCGAAAACAATGATAGAGAATCATAAAGCGTTTCCAACAAACCCGCACCTTGCCGATCAATATGCATCATTCTTTTGTCTATAAAACGACACAAAATTATGCAATGAACAAGAAAATTCCTTTAAATATGTGTGCATATACATTTCATACCATATATAAATCATTGTCATTAATATTATCAGTTTTACATGTAAGGTTGAATTAAATCAACATTCATTAACCTGTTCATATGAAATTGCAATATTAGTAAAAATAAATTAAAATTGAATATTGTACATCATAGGAACTAAAGTAGTTGCAGCTATTGCTACGTTTGATCTTCTAACACTTGTGTAAAGGTTTAGAATATGGTGTTTTGCACTAAATATGTCAATTTCCTATGTAAATATGATTCAAACAATCAAAAACTTTCAAAGAATAAAACACCGTAAACCCTATACGCACGTATGATATGATATTGAACAAGGCTAAATGTAGATACTGAAGTCAGTTTCATGACAAAAGTATCTGAACTAATACGCAAAATATACACCATAATACTGACAGTGTAATCGGAAGGATATGGCGATTGTGTTTACTCTTGTTCAACCGACCTTCACCTAAAAGAAATTGCCTAATATGTAGAACAATGTTGACGTGATGACATCACTACCGCTGACCGATTTCTTACAAAATGGCGGCTTTGCTGACAAGGGTACACAGGATTTGCGAGGACCCTTCCATTGATTCAGGGATCGTTTGTACATAAATATGAGATGTAAGTAATCAGAATGATTCTGACTATCTGTGTATTGTTATATGTTTTATCGTTTTCACTATAAGTAAGAGAAAAGGCCAGAAATGCAGATAATTACCGTTAATCGCTCTGCGTGATTTTCGCGTCAGTCATGGCGTCACGCTGCACGGAAACTTTGACAATTTCTTATGAATTATCAAATCATTGCATTGTATCTATTTATAATTTCCTATTTCTTGCTACGATACTCTTTCCATGCATATTCCAAAGGTATTGAGGCATTGCAAGCAATGAATAGACGGATGAATGTTGAAAAATTTCAGAAAATGCTACGGAGTGTAAAATCGGAATTTGTCTTTGTTTACATTTCGGACTAACGCAGTCTTTCAAGCACAGCGTTCGTTTTCACACCCAATATGTTTCGTCTCATTTTATCTAGACAGTTATTATTGGTGACACAGACCAGTTGCAATTTGATTCTAAAATGTATGGGGAATTCAGTGATGCATTTTTCGAAGCTGAATATGAAATATCACGTGATGTAATAGGCATCTCAATACCGGCCTTCGCTAAACGTGATTTTGTAAACACTATCAATATGGCGGAAAGCTCTCCACGGTGTTCGTGTAAGTGCATTTTCGAAAACATCCCAACCCGATTCTAGATTCATTGGCAACGTTTTAGAATTATAATTAGCGATTTCACGTAAAACTGATATCAGTGATCATAAATATGTTGTTTTTGAAATTCAATACTCCCAGTAATTATCCGATTTTCACATTTCAAAACATACAGCAAATAACGCTGTGAATCGCGATTTCGTACTGTGTCAAAAATGGCGACATTTTCGATGAAGCCAATTTTGAAAGGTCATTTTCAGCACTTGAGCTTTGTCTAAAATACTAGTGGGTGTTATCAAGAAACAGGAAATTTCCCGCAAGAATTCGAAACTGTGAAGTGTATTTGTGTGCGTGGGATATTTTGATTTTTATTGGACTTGAAATTGAGGGTTGAAGGGGAAGGACATATATGTCCCTGTGGCATTCAGGGGGTTAAGTCCCATTTCCAGAGGAAAAATAGATAATCAAAGGACAATCATGACACTGCAAATGTTCAAAAACAGAAATTTAGCTAGCTTCAGTTTCAACTGACATATCCCTTGTTTATGACAATAAATGTCAAATGTTCGTAAATTAAAACTTTTCAGTAAGTAGATTACAAATATAATTTGGTTTAGAAATGGGTAAAGTGTGTACAAAACTACCTTGTTATATATCTCCAGTCCTTCTATGACAAGAAGTTGGCATGGATCACGACTGCCCGCTGAAGGACCAAAGTTTGTTTCACAGGTCTTCTTCAATGAGCCTTTCTCTGTACTGCTGTTAAAAATATCAATTACTGGTGAAACAGAACAACTGACAATTTAATGATAAATCTGATGCATAACGTCAGCTATACATAAAATATTGGAAATAGGAGGTACTGGGGTGAAAGTCTATCTTGAAACTGAAAATGGTTGAAATAATTGTATCACCTTGAGATGCACTGTATGAGATCCTGAGACAGCCACACATGAGATTTGCCGTGCCTTCTCCCATGTCGAACTAACGGGTTGCGGTTGTTCTCAGTAATGTTTCTTTGCATATCAGAGAAAGTCATCTGCTTCTTAAACACTCCTGAATAAAGCATCATTGACAAATCATAGCTGAGTTATATACTGAAGACAGAGTAAAACAGTAAGTGAGGATGAATAAGTGGGTGGGTGATTGAGAGGATGGGAGGATGAGTGAGTCAATGAAAGCATTAGTGGGTGGATGAGTGAGTCAGTGAGTGAGTTGGGTTTTACGGCCGCTTTTAGCAATATTCCAGCAATATCACTGGGTGGATGAGTAAGTGGGTGAGTGAGTGAGAGGATGAGTGAGTGGGTGAGTGGATGATTAAGTGGGTGGGTGAGTGGATGAGTAAGTGGGTGGGTGAGTGAGAGGATGAGTGAGTGGGTGAGTGGATGATTAAGTGGGTGGGTGAGTGGATGAGTAAGTGGGTGAGTGAGTGGATGAGTAAGTGGGTGAATGAGTGGGTAAGTGGGTGGGTGAGAGAGTATTTGGATGAGTAAGTGGGTAAGTGATTGGATTAGTAAGTGGGTGAGTGATTAACTGACTGACTGAGTATGGTTTTACGCCGCTTTTAGCAATATTCCTGCAACATCACGGCGGGGGACACCAGAAATGGGCTTCAAACATTGTACCCATGTGGGGATTCGAACCCGGGTCTTCGGCGTGAGTAAGTAAGTGGATGAGTAAGTGGGTGGGTGAGTGAATGGATGAGTAAGTGGGTGGGTGAGTGAATGGATGAGTAAGTGAGTGGGTGAGTGAATGGATGAGTAAGTGGAGTGGGTGAGTGGATGGATGGATGAGGTGAGTGGATGGGTGAGTGAAGTGTAAGTGATGAGTAAGTGGGTGGGTGAGTGAATGGATGAGTAAGTGTGAAGTGGAGTGAGTAAGTGGATGAGTAAGTGGATGTGTGAGTGAATGGATGAGTAAGTGGATGGGTGAGTGAATGGATGAGTAAGTGGGTGGGTGAGTGAATGGATGAGTAAGTGGGTGGGTGAGTGAATGGATAGGTAAAGTAAGTGGATGAGGTAAGTGAGTAGGATGATGGATGAGTAAGTGGGGTGAGTGAATGGATGAGTAAATGGGTAAGGAGTGGGTGAGTAAGAGAGTGGATGAGAGTGAAGTGGAGTGTAGGTGGAGTGAGTGGATGGATGAGTAAGTGGAAGGAGTGGAGTGAAGTGGAATGAGTAATTAAGAGTGGGTGGATGAGTAAGTGGATGAGTGTGGGTGGATAGAAGTAAGTGGATGAGGGTGAAGTGAGTGAATGGAGAAGTGAGTGAATGGATGAGTAAGTGGAGTGGGTGAGTGAATGGATGAGTAAGAGTGGTGGGTAGAGTGGGTGGGTGAGTGAATGGATGAGGTAGAGTGGTGGGTGAGTGAAATGGATGAGTAGTAAGTGGATGGGTGATGAAATGGTAAGTGGATGGGTGAGTGAGTGGAATGGATGAGTAAGTGAATGGATGAGTAAGTGGGTGGATGAGTGAATGGATGGAGTAAGTGGGTGGGTGAGTGAATGGATGAGTAAGTGGGTGGGTGAGTGAATGGATGAGTAAGTGTGAGTGAATGGATAGTATATGAAGTGGTGGTGAGGTGGATGAGTGAATGGATGAGTAAGTGGGTGGTGTGGGTGAGTGAATGGATGAGTAAGTGGGTGGGTGAGTGAATGGATGAGTAAGTGGAGGTGGATGAGTGAAGGATGAGTAAGTGGAATGGGTAAGTAAATGTGTGAGTGGGTGGATGAGTAAGTGGATTGCGGTAGTGAATGGTAAGTGGGTGGGTAGTAATGGATAGAAGTAGAATTAAGTGGATGGGTAAAAGTGAATGGATGAGAGTAAGTGGTAAGTGGGTAGGTAGTAAATGAGTGAATGGATGAGTAAGTGAGGTGGGTGAGTGAATGGATAGAGTAAGTGGGTGGGGTGAATGAATAGAAATGAGTAAGTGAATGGTGGGTGGATGATAAAGTAAGTGGGTGGGTGGGTGAGTGGAATGGATGAGAGTGGAGTGGGTAGTGAGTGAGAAGAAAGAGATGGATAGAATAAGGTGGGTGTGTAGAGAGTGAGTGGGTGAGTGAATGGATGAGTAAGTGGATGGGTAGAAGTGAATGGATGAGTAAGTGGGTGGATGAAGTGGGTGGATGAGTGAAGTGATGAAGTGGGTGAGTGAGTAAAGAAATGGATGATAAGTGGAGAAAGTGGTGAGTGAAGTAAGTGGGTGGGTGAGTGAATGGATGAGTAAGTGGGTGGGTGGAGTGAATGGAGAGTAAGTGGGTGGGTGAGTGAATGGATGTGAAGTGGATGTGTGAGTGAATGGATGAGTAAGTGGGTGTGTGAGTGAGTGAATGGATAGAAAGTAGGAAGTAGTGGTAAAGTGAAATGGAGTGAGTAAGTGGGTGGGTGAGTGAATGGATGAGTAAGTGGGTGGGGAGTAAGTGAATGGATGGATGAGTAGGTGGAGTGAGTGAATGGATAAGTAAAAAGTAAGTAGGTGGGTGAGTGAATGGATGAGAAATGCAACAAAAGTGGATGGGTGGATGAAAGTAAGTGAGTGAATGGTGAAGTAAGAGGTGGGTAGAAGTAAGTGGATGGAGTAAGTGGAGTGGGTGTGAATGGATGAGTAGAAGTGGGTGGGTGAGTGAATGGATGAGAGTAAGTGGGTGGGTGAGTGAATGGATGGATGAATGGTGAGTAGTGGGTGGAGTGGATGAATGGAAGTGGGTGGTAAGTGAGGGTGGATGAGTAAAGTGGGTGGGTGAGTGGATGGAGTAAGTGAATGGATGAGTAGAAAGTGGGTGGGTGGGTGAGAATGGAGTAAGAAGTAAGTAAGTGGATGAATTGAATGTAAGTAAGTGGGTAAGTGAATGGATGTAAGTAAGTGGGTGGTAGAGATGGGTGAGTGAATGGATGAGTAAGTGAGTAGGTGAATGAATATGAGATGGATGAAGTTTGAGTAAGTATTGAAGTAAATGGTGAGTAGAAGTAAGTGAAATGGGATCAGGTAGGTAGGTGAGTGAATGGATTAAGGGGAGTAAAAACCAGGTAGAAATGAGTGAATGGATAAGAGATTAAGTGAGTGGATAGGAGTGAGTGAAAGTAAGTAGGTGGGTGGAGTGAATGGATGAGTAGTAGTAAGTGGGTGGGTGAGTGAATGGATGAGTAAGTGGGTGGATGAGTGAATGGATGAGTAAGTGAATTAGTGGGTAAGAGGTGAGTGGGTGAATGGATGAGTAAGAGTGGATGGGTGAATAAGATGAAAAGTAGGATGGGTGAGTGAATGGATGAGTAGGTGGGTGAGTGAGTGGATGGGAAGTGAGTGGATGGTAAGTGAATGGGTAAAGTGAATGGAGTGAGAGTGAAGTGGGTGAGTGAATGGATGAGTAAAGTGGGTGGGTGAGTGAATGGATGAGTAAGTGGGTGGGTGAGTGTGAATGGAGTGAGTAAGTAAGTGGGTGGGTGAGTGAATGGATGAGTAAGTGGGTGGGGTGAGTGAATGGATGAGTAAGTGGATGGGTGAGTGAATGGATGAGTAAGTGGGATGGGTGAGTGAATGGATGGAGGTGAGTATGAGTAAAGTGAGTGGGTGAGTGAAGTGTAAGTGGGTGGATGAATGGATGAGTAAGTGGATGGGTGAGTGAATGGATGAGTAAGTGGGTGGGTGAGTGAATGGATGAGTAAAGTGGATGGGTGAGTGAATGGATGATGAGTAAGTGGTGGTGTGAGTGAATGGATGAGTAAAGTGGATGGGTGAGTAGAGTGAATGGATAAGTGAAATGGATGAGTAAGTAAGTGAATGGATGGATGAGTAAGTGGGTGGGTGAGTGAATGGATGGAGTAAGAAGTGGGTGAGTGAGTGAATGGATGAGTAAAGTGGGTGGGTGAGTGAATGGATGAGTAAGTGGGTGGGTGAGTAAGTGGATGGTGAGTGAATGGATGGAGAGTAAGTGGTGGGTGAGTGAATGGATGAGTAGAGTGGGTGGGTGAGTAAGATGAGTAAGTGGAGTGGAGTGTGGAGGTGAGTGAATGGATGAGTAAGTGGGTGGGTGAGTGAATGGATGGAGTAAAGATGAGTAAGTGGGTGGGTGAGTGAATGGATGAGTAAGTGGGTGGGTGAAGTGTGGAGTAAGTAAGTGGGTGGGTGAGTGAATGGATGGAAGTAAGTGGGTGGGTGAGTGAATGGATGGGTGAGTGAAAGTGAGTAAGTGGGTGAGTGGATGAGTAAAGTGAAGTGGAGTGAGTAAGTGGATGAGTGAGTGAATGGATGAGTGAATGGATGAGTAGAAAGTGGATGAGTGAGTGGGTGGGTGAGTAAGTAAAGTGGATGGGTGGAGTGAGTGGATGGGTAAGAAGTGATGGGTGAGTGAAGTAATGGTAGAGTGGGTGAGTGAATGGATGGATGAGTAAGTGGGTGAAGTGAATGGATGAGTAGAGTGGAATGGATGGATGAGTAAGTATAGAATGGGTGAGTGATGGGGTGAGTGGATGAGTAAGTGGTGGGTGGAGTGAATGGATGAAATAAGTATTGAGTGGATGGAGTAAAGATGGTGAAGGTGGATGAGTAGTAAGTGGTGGTGAGTGGATGGATGGAAGTAAGTGGGTGGGTGAGTGAATGGATGAGTAAAGTGATGGGTTGGGTGAGTGAATGGATGAGTAAGTGGATGGGTGAGTGAAGTGGATGAGTAAGTGAATGGATGGAGTGAAGTAAGTGGGTGGGTGAGTGAGGTGGATGAGTAAGTGGATGGGTGAAGTGAATGGATGAGTAGAAGTGGAGTGGGTGGGTGAGTGAATGGATGAGTAAAGTGGGTGGGTGAGTGAATGGATGAGTAAGAAGTATAAAGTGAATGGTAGGTGAGTGAATGGATGATGAGTAAGTGGGTGGGTGAGTGAATGGATGAGTAAGTGGGTGGGTGAGTGAATGGATGGAGAGTAAGTGGGTGGGTGAGTGAATGGATGAGTAAGTGGGTGGAGTGGGAGTGAGTGAGTGGATGAGTGAGTGAAGTGGGTGGGTGAAGTGAATGGATGAGTAGAGAAGTGGGTGAGTAAGTGGATGGGTGAAGTGAATGGATGAGTAAGTGGATGGGTGAGTGAATGGATGAGTAAAAGTGGATGGGTGAGTAAATGGATAAAGTGGAGAGAGTGGTGAAGTGAGTGAATGGATGAGTAAGTGGGTGGGTGAGTGAATGGATGAGTAAGTGGGTGGGTGAGTGAATGGATGAGTAAGTGGGTGGGTGAGTGAATGGATGAGTAAGTGAGTGGGTGAGTGAATGGATGAGTAAGTGGATGGGTGAGTAAGTGTATGGAGTGAGTGAATGGATGAGTAAGTGAGTAGGTGAGTAAGTAAGTGGATGAGTAAGTGGATGGGTAAGTGAATGGATGAGTGAGTAAGTGGGTGAGTGAGTGAATGGATGAGTAGTGGGTGTGGGTGGGTGAATGGATGAAGTAGTGAATGGATAAGTAAAGAGTGGGTGGGTGGTGAATAAGTGAAGTGGATGAAGTAAAGTGGGTAGGTGAGTGAATGGATGAGTAAGTGGGTGGGTGAGTGAATGGATGAGTAAGTGGGTGGGTGAGTGAAGTGAATGGATGTAAGTGAGTAAGTGGATGGGTGAAGTGAATGGATGAGTAAGTGGGTGAGTGAGTGAATGGATGAGTAAGTGGGTGGAGTAGTGAGTGGATGAGTGAGTGAATGGGTGAGTAAAGTGGATGGGTGAGTAAATGGATAAAGTAAAGTAGGTGGGTGGGTAGAGTGGATGGATGAGTAAGTGGGTGGTGTGAGTGAATGGATGAGTAAATGGGTGGGTGAGTGAATGGATGAGTAAAAGTGGGTGGGTGGGTGAGTGAATGGATGAGTAAGTGGGTGGGTGAGTGAATGGATGAAGTAAGTGGATGTGAATGAGTAAGTGGATGTGGAGTAAGTGGGGTGGTTGAGTGAATGGATGAGTAAGTAAGTGGGTGGGTGAGTGAATGGATGAGTAAGTTAGATTGGGTAGGTGAAAGTAAAGTAGTAAAGTGGATGAGTAAGTGGATGGGTAGGTGAGTGGGGTGAGTAAGAGTGGATGAAGAGTAAGTGAGTGGATGAGGAGGTGAGTAGGCGATTGATGAGTAAGTGAATGTGTGGGTGAGTGTGAAGTAAATGAGTAGGTGAAATGAGTGAGTGGATGAGTAAGTGTGTGGGTGAGTGAGTGGATGATTGAATGAGTAAGTGGATGAGTAAGTGTGTGTGAGTGAGTGGATAAGTAGGTGGAGTGAGTGGATGGATGTAGATACTGTGTCGGTGAAGTGTGTGGATAAAGAAGTGTAAGTGGGTGGGTGTAAGTGAGTGGATGATTGAATGAGTAAGAGTGGATGGGTAAGTAGAGTGTGTGATGAGTGAGGATGAGTAGGTGAGTGAGTGGATGAGTAAGCGTGTGGGTGAGTGTGTGGATAAAAGAGTGGGTGAGGTGTAGTGCCCGGATGATTAAGTGAGTGAGTGGATGAGTAAGTGGATGGGTGAGTGAGAGGATGAGTGAGTGGGTGGGTGAGTGAGTTGATGATGATAAGTAAGTGGGTGGGTGAGTGGGTGTGTGGGAGGACAAGTGAATGTGACAATGAGTAGTGGGTGGGTGTGAGCAGAGTGGGTGAGTGGATAGTGTGAGTGTTAGTGGTGAGTGGGTAGGTGGTGAGTGAGTGGGTAGGTAGATGGGTGATTGAGTAGGTAGGTGGGTGAGTGAGTGGGTATGTGGGTGGGTGGGTATCTGTGTGGGCGAGACGATGAGTGAGTGGATGAATGAGTGAGTGGGTAGGTGAGTGAGTGGGTAGGTGTGTGGGTGAGTGGGTAGATAGATGGGTGGGTTAATGAGTGATAGGATGAGTGACTAAATGAAAGGATTTTATTGTCAAGCAGGGTACAAGAATATGTATCAAAATGTCACACTTACAAACAAAGAAGTTGTTATCCATGAATATGTCATTAGTGTACTTCCCAACTCAAAAAATGCCACAAAGAAGATGAATCAGTGGATGAAAGGATGACTGAAGCTTAAAACCTCAGCTATATTCCAACAATATCACTGTAAATAACCAGCTCTTTTTCAGATCAAACAATATAATGTGCAGCATCCCATGCAGTCGGGTTACAATTAAACACAATCAGCCATGCAACAGAACCTACTATTCAATTCAATTTAGTTGCCTACAAGAAAAGATTGAGGAACAAGGGCCTACTCTGACACTGCAGTTGGCTGGGTAAAACAAAGATTGGGTAAAATATGACAGACAGTGTTTATGTGTTTCATACCTTCCTTGTAAGCTTGGGCAATGAGGGAGGTCATCCAGCACAGCCACTGGGCAGACTTGGACCATGAGGATGTGTAGTTGACATAAAACCCATCCTCCATCATCAGGGGTACCAGCTGATCCTGCAAACATAGTGTAGTTGACATAAAACCCATCTTCCATCATCAGGGGCACCAGCTGATCCTGCAAACATAGTGTAGTTCACATAAAACCCATCCTCCATCATCAGGGGCACCAGCTGATCCTGCAAACATACTGTAGTTGACATAAAACCCATCCTCCATCATCAGGGGTACAAGCTGATCCTGACAAACATAGTGCAAACATAGTGTTGACATAAAACCATCTTCCATCATCAGGGGCACCTGCAAGCTGATCCTGCAAACATACTGTAGTTGACATAAAACCCATCCTCCATCATCAGGGGCACTAGCTGATCCTGCAAACATACTGTAGTTGACATAAAACCCATCCTCCATCATCAGGGGCACCAGCTGATCCTGCAAACATAGTGTAGTTCACATAAAACCCATCCTCCATCATCAGGGGTACAAGCTGATCCTGCAAACATAGTGTAGTTGACATAAAACCCATCCTCCATCATCAGGGGCACCAGCTGATCCTGCAAACATAGTGTAGTTCACATAAAACCCATCCTCCATCATCAGGGGCACCAGCTGATCCTGCAAACATAGTGTAGTTCACATAAAACCCATCCTCCATCATCAGGGGTACCAGCTGATCCTGCAAACATAGTGTAGTTCACATAAAACCCATCCTCCATCATCAGGGGCACTAGCTGATCCTCCAAACATAGTGTAGTTCACATAAAACCCATCCTCCATCATCAGGGGCACCAGCTGATCCTGCAAACATAGTGTAGTTCACATAAAACCCATCCTCCATCATCAGGGGCACCAGCTTATCCTGCAAACATAGTGTAGTTGACATAAAACCCATCCTCCATCATCAGGGGCACCAGCTGATCCTGCAAACATAGTGTAGTTCACATAAAACCCATCCTCCATCATCAGGGGCACCAGCTGATCCTGCAAACATACATCCTCTTATCATCCTGGGTACTGGATGACAAAGAAATATTTGTTTTGGGGAAAAAGTATGTTTCATTATTTTGTTCTATGTGTTTATTTCTTATGAATTTTCTATTTGAACTGAAGATTTTGTATTTCAATCAAGCAGTAGTGAAATAATGCTAATAGTATGAGAGTGTATCGATTCTAAACATGGACAACATCCATGCAATGTGACAGAGGTCTGTAAATGTTTAAGCCTGAACCAGACAATCCAATGATTGACAGTATGAGAAATGATCAAACTCCTGCCTAAAGCTTGACCACCCAATACATTGACTTGGAAGATAAAGGTTTACAGGCCTACCAAAGAAAACTTTCCCACTGTGCAGAAAAACGCAGAAAAGCCCACATTAAGAGTGAAAATAGCAACATAAACACATTACCTGGCTACTGAAACAGTAAAAACGGCAACGAAAAACTATGAAACTGCAACATTTTTATATCAGTGAACTTTGACCTCTACTGCGCATGCGCATTACGATCTGGGCTTCTTTCCAAATTCTAAGCAACTGTGAATCGCCTCGCGTAGAAAAAGTATTAATTATGTCGAAATAATTGATGTCAATCGTTTTATACAAATGAAACGAAACTAAACAAGTGTGCACACAAATATCATGATGATAAATGCCAAGTAACACAACAGAAATACTTAAAAAGGAATGTAACTTTTGTCCAAGCTGGAAAATGTCAACATGCGGTCGAGACTTCCTCTTCCATGAGCGCATGCGCAAAATCGAAGTTGCAGGCTCCTCGTTTTATGATGCAGTGTTAGCGATTTAAAGTTGCCGTTTTTAATGTTTCAGTAGCGAGGTAATTTGTTTATGTTGCTATTTCCACAATTAATGTGGGCTTTTCTGCGTTTTTCTGCACAGTGGGAAAGCTTTCTTTGGTAGGCCTGCTTTATATCCATTCTGTAATCTGTTGTCCTTTGATTAGGTTTAAGATCAATCGTGGTCAGTAATCAACCAATCAGAGTTGAGTTCCCACAAAGCCCTTTACAATCAGCAATAGGTTGCTGTGACAAATCAAAACCTGAAATCCCCCGATTTGTTGTGACGTCTCCTACCTTTAGCCTTTGCTGCAGATCGGCTGACACAAACCTCAGATTCTTCACAGAGCCTTCAACCAGGTAGAAACAGTTATCTACTCCGCTGGCCTGTGAATGAAACATAACAGATGTCATTATTTTCATGATGAATTCTTGTACATTTCAGTATGGAAACAAATCTCTGAACTGCCAACTTACTGATATTATGTGTCAGTGTCTAATTATTTATTGATCTTGTGGTCAAGTACCAGCTGTCCGACTTCCAGTGGAAGCTGCGGTGGCTGAGTGGGTTAGATCGCCGACTGTGCTGGTGATTAGGTGCCTGACTGAGTGTGAGGGTTCAAATCCCAAATCTGACTGAACCTAACAATAGTACTAGTTACTGAGTAAGTGTAAATCCAAATACAGCATATGTTAAATTTGACCACTTTCGAAATGTCAATGTGTATTCTTGGTGAATTACTTTCTTATTTCTCAATGTAATATGTACACATCAATTTCTGGGTTATCTTCAAGAAACTAATCCCTAAAGTCACACTCTTTGTCATCTAGGTATGTGTCGCTAAGTTTTCAACAGCACCACTGTATTATGAAAATATGAATATTCGTAAAAATATTCTTCAACCCTCATTCCCCTTCAACCATTTACCAACTGTACCTTCATGTTGTTGACCTGACGTTGGAAGCGTGACCCCCGCCAGCTGTTGTAGTAGTCGTCCCAAGACTTCCTCTCTACGATGAAGGGAAGCAGCTGAAACACAACGCTGTTGCTGCACATGTGATACATTGTAGTAGCTCTGCTATGTTATACGCCGCAGTTATACCACACTGTTTATGCTGTAGGTGTTGACCGCTGCAGGGGTATAAAGTAACATATACTATATTTAGGATTACACTTCATCAGTAAATGCATTGTGTATTCATAGCTGTCTGACTTCCATTTTTGTGGAGGGGCTGTGGGGTAGCCTAATGGTTAAAGCATTGGACTGGGTTCAAATCCCCACATGGGTACAATGTGTGAAGCTCATTTCTGGTGTCCCCCAACCGTGATGTTGCTGGAATATTGCTAAAAGCTGCATAAAACCAAACTCAGTCAGTCAGTCCATTTTTGTGGAAGCCGTGGTGGTTGAGTGGGTTAGATCACTGACTTTGTGTGCTGGCGTTTAGGTGCCTGTTTCTGAGAGTGAGGATTCAAATCCTGGATTGGACTCAACCAAACAAATGTACTAGAAAACTACTTCACAGACCAAAAAACACATTTTACATTTGACCACTTCTTAATGGCACTGAATTCAGAGGTACAATGTTAAAGAAATTTGACGAGAATACCAGTGACCTTAATAATGAACCATTTAATTCTTTTGAAAAGCAATCTGAGGTACTATCATTCTTGGAAACCAAACAATAATAACAAAGATATCATGAGGCAAGTCAATCAAGGTAGGTAACTCTAACCATTTCTGCTGATCTGTTGTTGCCATTGTACTCCACATGTGGACTTGGGAGAGGCGGGGACAGAATCCAGACATAGTCTCCCGCAGGAAGACTACGGATCAATGTCGGTATACCATGATCCCTTGCAAGCTTTGACAAGCGGTGCACATCACGTTCCTTGTCATCAATAACCAGATAGAGACGCCTTGTACCACACTGTGAGCTGAAACAATTTAAAAACAGTAAGCATCATAAAAAGGCGATATTGTCCTTTAAATCTGGAACAAAACCTAAGGCAGGGAATGATTTAAACTTCAGGTTCAAGGTACTGCGTGGGAGGGCACTAACAAAGCAAGGAACAAAATGTCCGTGAAATGACAGCTTGATGAGGGGCAGTTGGGTAGCCTACTGGATAAAGCATTTACTTGTCACTGCAGACTCGAATCAATTTTCAAACTGTACAATGTGTGAAGCCTATATGTGGTGTCCCTTGATGTGATGTAGCTGTTAACAGCTTCATGTACAAGGTAAGCCTAACGCCCGATGCTGGTTGCACATGTTCTGTGTTCATGATACCTTCAAGCAAGGGTGTGTGTTGTGCTGATAGGAGAGGGACCGTAATCAAAATGATCTGCCACTCAACCCCATGACCAAAGCAGCCTCTATTTCCAATGGGATACAACTCCACAGTAAGAGTTTGTAACATTTTTTGTTGGGAGAGGGAGACTTGGATACTATCGGGGAAAAAGCTTAACTTTAGAGAGTGGTAAGCAACTATGTATTGATCCTTAGCATGAAATCTTAAACCTTAAAGAACCAATAAACTTTGTTTTTTGTTACTCTTTTAACCATTACATATGAAAGATTTGTGGTTAGTCTTATGCAGAACACCAAATTTATTCTTTAAAAACGTGTGGTTAATTAATACCGAGCGATTAAAAGTGGCCAAAAAGTCGCCTGCTTCCCTCTCGCCCGCCAACGAAACCACAGACAGGTTACGTAACTCTGTCACCAGAGCACTGCAGTGACGTCATATGAGGAACGATTTTCAGTTAGTTGTATAGAAAGTGTGTAGCATGCTCATCATTTTGATGATTTCACCGACATCAACAACGACATGCGAATCGTTGCTTTGTCGTCAATTGCTCCTAGGGGTCGGGCGATGGTGTCACCATGCACAGATTTCCACAGGACCCGCGCAGTTTCGTGCTAAATGGGTTATGTTTGTGAGTCTTGGCGAGAAGTGTTGTGGAAGCCTGAAGCGATATCTTACTTGTGTTCAGATGGCTTCACGGAAGTTTAAGAATCAAAACTACTTACTAGTTGTAGTAAAATATGTATATGATTGATGACCATAAAGATTTTCCATGACACAACTTGTGACATAGCGATTTCTTCCTCGGAGTGAGGTTGTGAAGTCGAAGTAACAATAATATTGTAAGTAGTATTATATTGACACCCACCTCGCTGCCAGGGAGAGAAATTGTTATGTTATACGCTATGACATGCAAAATCCTATTGGCCATCAATAAAATACATATTTTACTACCAGTAGAAAATAGTTTTGATTTTATAACTTTCAGTGAAAACAAACCTAAATAGCATTTATCCTCAGACTGGCGGATGTTCCCAACAGAGCCGCCATTTTAAAAATCGTAAAAAGTCTGTTAGAATTAATGAGATTATAGTTTGTTTCATCAAGTTAGAAAATCAAAACTACTTTCTACTAAATAGTTAAATATGTATTGGAATCATAACCAAAGCGGATTTTGCATGACACAACTTATAACATAACGATTTCTTCCGCGAGGCGAGGTGGGGTCGATGTCACAATACTGCGCGATAAATTTCTTGCTACATTCACATGGTTAATGTCCACTCACCAGTATGTAGATACTAGTCAGTAATGCGTCTTTATATTTGGTCTTATAATCCTAATTAGTTTATTATCATACTTGTATGCATTTTGAAACTAAATAAAAGCAGGCGATCTGCTGATACTTATAGTGAATTTATAACAGAACTGTAATATCTAGACATTTTATAGTTTGCCAATGTGAATCATAATTTAGCACACACACCCTAGTGTATGTTGTCTGTCTCATTACACTTCGGCTAAAACAATGATTCTGTTGAATGCTATGACAAATGAATAAAAACAACATGCAAATATTAAAATTAAAACAGATTAAAGTTATAAGAACAATATCAGGCCATTACCTTGTTCGAGGAATGTATCCATCAATATCCACAAAACTGTTCCAAATGATGTTTCTTTTAACAGTTTGATATACGAAAAAGTGATAAATCTTTTCAGGTATTGGTGTATAGTCTCATTGGTCACCCAAGATAGCACACCTGGCAACTAATTGCATAATGTCCGCCTTTCTTTAAAAGCAGTAAATTAGTTAGCCAATAATGGGCAATCAATCAATGTATTGCCGGTTAATCCTTTGAAAGAAGGACGTTTTTAAGCAGACACCGACATGACAGAGTGTATTCAGTATAGATTAGTAAATCTACATACATAAACACTACCTTTTGACAAGATAAAAGTAATTAATCAATCAGCGTGTTATCGGTTAATCCTTTGATCGATGTTTATAATGTTGAATACTAGTATTTACTCCAGACACAAGAAATGCCAAATGGGAACCTTTGTCGGGTAATCTAAGTGTGTTACCACTAATTATACTTGTTATAAATTCATTAACTGACCATCAAGTGAATGATGACAAATAACATGTGTAGGTTTATACCACCTAACACGGGTTACAACAAGGGAGTATTAATTGCTGTATTGCATGTGAAAACCTATGGGCCGACACTGTTTTGAGAATACAAACAGATTTTTACATGACATGATTAACTATAGAGGTAAAAAAACACAGAAATGGGATCAATTTGGATCAGTCATTATACAAATAGGGCCTACTTGACACCAATCGATTTTGACAGAATCGTCTATGAAAACAAGTTGTAACTTCGAAACTAGGCAAAGCAAGAGACAAAATTAAATGACAGTAGATTGTGAGAACATATAGCTTTCATTTTCCACAACAATTAATCACGATTTCAGGTTTATACAAGCCTGTAAACAAGATAATTTACCCCTAAAATGTAGATGAATTCTGCATCGGCCCTCAAAGCTATTCCTCATATGACGTCACAGAGACGCCCCGCTCTGATTGGTTGAAATTTCGTTCGGGGGTGAGAATTGTGCACTGTTGTCAAAAAGGTCGATTTAAGTCAATTAAAGGTCGAAATGAGTAGTTTTAATGACGGGGTTTCATTTATAACGATGCCAGTTAGTGATTTATGTATTTGTACCCCCTAGGGTTTATCAGACCTTTAAAGAGGAAATCCCTAAAGTGCTTAAAACTAAAAACCAAAGTTGTAGTTCCTAACTTATAAGAAATTACTTCAAAATAGTTTTGCAAAAAATATGCTAAGTTGGTGTGATATCTTTTACAACTTACTTCATGTGTTGTACTGGTACAGTCGGGACATTGTTGCCAGCCATGAAGCTGGTGACAGCTGTGTGGAACAAATACAGCTGCTCTCCAAGTCTCTGTCCACTCTCGGTCAAGGCAAAGCTATAACAATAATAGATGTCTCTGTCCACTCTCAGTCAAAGCAAAGCTACAACAATAATAGATGTCTCTGTCCACTCTCGGTCAAGGCAAAGCTATAACAATAATAGATGTCTCTGTCCACTCTCAGTCAAAGCAAAGCTACAACAATAATAGATGTCTCTGTCCACTCTCGGTCAAGGCAAAGCTACAACAATAATAGATGTCTCTGTCCACTCTCAGTCAAGGCAAAGCTACAACAATAATAGATGTCTCTGTCCACTCTCGGTCAAGGCAAAGCTACAACAATAATAGATGTCTCTGTCCACTCTCGGTCAAGGCAAAGCTACAACAATAATAGATGTCTGTCCACTCTCAGTCAAGGCAAAACTACAACAATAATAGATGTCTGTCCACTCTCAGTCAAGGCAAAGCTACAACGATAACAGATGTCTGTCCACTCTCAGTCAAGGCAAAGCTACAACAATAATAGATGTCTGTCCACTCTCAGTCAAGGCAAAGCTACAACAATAATACAAGTGTCTGTCCACTCTCAGTCAAGATAAAGCTACAATAATAATACAAGACTGTGTCCACTCTCAGTCAAGGCAAAGCTACAACAGTAATACAACCCTCTGTCCACTCTCAGTCAAGGCAAAGCTACAACAATAATAGATGTCTCTGTCCACTCTCAGTCAAGGAAAAACAAAGCACCTTTGAGCAGGTGATCTGGATATTAGCGCTATATAAATATATATAAATAATAATAATAAAAAGTTACAACAGTAATACAACCCTCTGTCCACTCTCACTCAAGGCAAAGCTACAACAATGATACAAGTGTCAGTTGTCTCTCCGTGAGGGCAAAGCTACAACAATAATACAAGTCTGTGTCCACGCTCATTCAAGGCAAAGCTACAACAATTATACAACCCTCTGTCCACTCTCACTCAAGGCAAAGTTACAACAGTAATACAACCCTCTGTCCATTCTCACTCAAGGTAAAGCTACAACAGTAATACAACCCTCTGCCCACTCTCAGTCAAGGTAAAGCTACAACTGTAATACAACCCTCTGTCCCGCACTTTATTCAAGGCAGAGCATTCACTCAAGGCAAAGTTACAACAGTAATACAACCCTCTGTCCACTCTCTCCAAGGTAAAGGGTAAAGCTACAACCCTCTGTCCCTCTCAGTCAAGGTAAAGCTACAACTGTAATACAACCCTCTGTCCACTCTCATTCAAGGCAAAGTTACAACAGTAATACAACCCTCTGTCCACTCTCAGTCAAGGTAAAGCTACAACTGTAATACAACCCTCTGTCCACTCTCATTCAAGGCAAAGCTACAACAATTATACAACCCTCTGTCCACTCTCACTCAAGGCAAAGCTACAACAGTAATACAACCCTCTGTCCACTCTCACTCAAGGTAAAGCTACAACAGTAATACAACCCTCTGTCCACTCTCATTCAAGGCAAAGCTACAACAGTAATACAACCCTCTGTCCACTCTCACTCGAGGTAAAGCTACAACTGTAATACAACCCTCTGTCCACTCTCATTCAGGGCAAAGCTACAACAATTATACAACCCTCTGTCCACTCTCACTCAAGGCAAAGCTACAACAATAATACAAGTATCTGTCCAGTCAAAGCTACAACAATACTACATGTCTTTGTCCACTCTCAGTCAAGGCAAAGATACAACAATATTAAAAGTCTAGCTACAACAATATTATAAGTCTCTGCCCACACTCAGTCAGGGCAAAGCTACAACAATACTACATGTCTTTGTCCACTCTCAGTCAAGGCAAAGCTACAACAATTATACAAGTCTCTGTCCACTTTCCCTCAACACAAAGCTACAGCAATTATACAAGTCTCTGTCCACTTTCCCTCAATGCAAAGCTACAACACAGCAATATTTACAACCATTATATTCAGTAGAGCTCTACCAAAGTGTACTTGAGCAGGACAAATATTAAGGAAATAGGTATCACAAAATATAACTTCGTCAGACACGGAAGAATACAATACACATTAACAAAGGTTCTCCTTACGTGTGTCTGTCAGCAGCCTCCTTCTGGACAAGACCTTTGTTCATGAGTGTATTCTCCATACAGTCAAACCCCCCAACGTAGCGCCCTGTGAGCAACAAATATGAAAAACTAAGTTAGTCAAATATGTCTTATGGTTGTTCTATGGTGCATTCCAAATATAAATGAAAGTGTCATGTATATGTGTGATCAGATAACATTATTCATTAAACAAGAGTCATCAGAAGATGACATATCCCCCCGGCCCCAACATATTTGAAAGAACAAATCATCTGACAGTTACTTAAAGTCCAGCTTGACTCTTTATTAAACTAAGTCCAAATCGTTTCCATAGAAATCATGAGAAATATAGATGCCAAAAATCTGTAAACAGCAAAAGGCACCATTTCAAACTTTGCCTAATATATCTGCCAAGTTCTGTTGAAAGATACTGAACGCTTTTCGAGTTGTGCACCAGACATGAAGCCCACCCCTCCCTTTTGGGACTAAGTCCTAACTGTTTCCATGGAAACCAGGAAAAATAAATCTGCCAAAAATCTGCCAAATAGCAAAAGGCACCACTTTGGCATCTGCCGCACATCGTTTCCATGGAAACCGAGAAAATAATAAATCACAAAAATCTGCAAATAGCAAAAGGCACCACTTCAAGATCTGACTCACATATCTGCCAGGTTTTGCTATCAGATATTAAGAAGTTTTCGAGTTGTACTCCGGAAACGAAGTCCACCCCTCACTTTTGGGACTAAGTCCGAATCGTTTCCATGGAAACCGAGAAAAATAAAAATGCCAAAAATCTGCAAATAGCAAAAGGCACCACTTAAGGGTCTGTTTGATATATCTACCAAGTTTTGTTGAAAAACATAGAACGATTCTTGAGTTATGCTCCGGAAACGAAACCCACCCCTCCCTTTTGGGACTAAGTCCGAATCGTTTCCATGAAAACCGGGAAAAATAAATAGGCCAAAATTCTGCCAAATAGCAAAAGGCACAACTTTGGGTTCTGTTTGATATATCTACCAATTTTTGTTGAAAAATATTGAACGGTCTTTGAGTTATGCTCCGGAAACAAAATGATTATGGACGGACGGACGGACGGACGAGGCGACGACTATATCCCACCGTATTACATGCCGGTGGGATAAAAAGCCAAAAATCCACAAATAGCAAAAGGCACCACTTAAGGGTCTGTTTGATATATCTACCAAGTTTTGTTGAAAAATATTGAACGGTTCTTGAGTTATGCTCTGGAAACGAAGCCCACCCCTCACTTTTGGGACTAAGTCCGATATTGTTTCCATGGAAACCGGGAAAAATAAAAACTGCAAAAAATCTGCAAATAGCAAAAAGCACCACTTAAGGATCTGTTTGATATATCTACCAAGTTTTGTTCAGAAAAATATTGAGCGGCTTTTTAGTTATGCTCGAAGCGAAGCCCACCCCACCCCTTTAAGACTAAGTCCAAAGCGTTTTCGATGGAAACTGAGCAAAATAAAAGTGACAAAATCCTGTAAATAGCAAAAGGCACCACCTTAGGTTCTGTTTGATATATCTAACAATTTTTGTTGAAAAATATTGAACGGTTTTTGAGTTATGCTCTGGAAACAAAATGATTACAGACGGACGGACAGACGGATGAAGCGTTGACTATATCCCCCCGGCATGTAATGCGCAAAAGCTATGTTTCTCTGCTTACATTACACTGATGAGCTTAGTTTACTTCACATACAGGAAACAATGACATCAGTCACATCATAAAACACCCTCTGAACACTGTCAGTTACACCTTTCTCACCCGTGAAGATCCGGGTTAGAATTGATCTTCAGCAACCCATGTTTGTCATAAGAGTCGACTAATGGGATCGGCTGGTCAGACACGCCGACATGGCTAACACATGTCATCGGATCCCAATTACGTAGATCGATGCTCATGCTGTTGATCACTGGATTGTCTGGTACAAACTCGGTTATTTACAGACAGCCGCCATATAGCTGGAATATTGCTGAGTGTGGCGTAAAACTAAACTCACTCACTACACCTTTCTCACAGGCTACCATGTCAAGCCTGGTCACTGACTGTCTGCACAATTTGACCATGCACTTATGACAGCTGCAACTGTTTACAACATCATCAATGTTCCTGGTATTCTTATCAAATTATCTCTAAAGTACTGGAAAAACTACTCATTTTTGTTGCAAGAGAACAAGACACTTCATTCTGTACCATTAATTTTGTCGTCATTTGCTGATGAAATGAGAGTTTTTCATCAAATAAAAGTAAGTCTATGACATTTATTTCATGATGCACGGCTGGAAGTCAGCACCTGCACAATTTGGGTAACGCCATTATGGTCCCCCTCCCCAAGTAGGGTGTGAAGTCCTTCACCTGTCTGCTTGTCCTGCAAGTCTGTGTCCGTGAAGGGCTGAGCTCGGATCTTGATCTCCCCCTCATTCATACTCAACACTGGGGGCATGTCCAGGAGGCCTCTGTCATATTGTAGGCATGTGTATATTCAGGGTTTTATGTTACATCTTATATGCATACAAATTGAGAATGGACACAAATAATTTACATTATGTCGTACAGGACTCCAAAAAGGTTTTTCGAATGAATGAATGAATGAATGAATGAATGAATGAATGAATGAATGAATGAATGAATGAATGAAGCGGTTAAAAAAATTTAAATATAATACACATTTAAGAATTGAGAATGGACACAAATAATTTACATTATGTCGTAGAGGACTCCAAAAAGGTTTTTCTAATGAATGAATGAATAAATGAAATATATAAATCATTTCCCTAAAAATATAATAAACATTTCAGTTTTATGTCATTATAATTGACAGTTCCAGTGTGTAAGGAAATGGTGTCAGTGGTGTCAGGAGTTGATTTTCTCAGCCTAACATTGAAATTATCATCTAGAACAGACAGAAAGATTCCTAGCATGTGCATGGATATGACAGGTGAAATTCATGTAAGTAAAGTGAAGCATGCCACGTGTCAGCACCAGGCAGGGCAACAACAAGTAACATCTTTTGGGGAATAGGATCAAAGCAAGCAAAGTCATATTTAACGGACAAAATAGCTGAATCAAAGGACTTCCTTAAGATGTAAATTTTTACAATTGGACCCCATTCATAAGAACAAGGAAATTTCAATAGAGTTTGTGTAGATGACTAGGCATGCAACTGTACCTGTACATTCCAATCAGGATAGCAAACGGTGCACGATATGGCTGAAAACAGAACAATTTGATAACTGAATTATGAAAAAACTTTTGAGCAAGTGAAGGAAGTGTGGTTTAACACCACTGAAGTCTATCAGTTTATCCTTGCAAGTACATTTTAGTGTCATTTCTTAGTTACAACTATTATTGATATTACAACACATGGACAAGGGATGTTGAATTTAATTTGGTTGGTTGGTTTGTTGTTTAATGCCGAAGAACTCAGCAATATTCCAGATAAATGTAAATAATCAAGTCTGGACCAGACAATCCAGTGATCAACAGCATGAACATCGATCTATGCAACGGGGATGAGACGATGTTTCAATGAAGTCAGCAAGCCTGACACCCGATCCCATTAGTCGCCTCTTATGACCAGCAATGGATTTACACTAGTGCTGGTCCGATTAATTGAAATAATCGAAGATTGGTCGCAGTGACTAAATGACCAAGCAATCGATCATGTTTTCTCATAATCGAACACAAACAATTCTGGAACAATAACAATATTTTTCACAAGGTTGGTTTTGTCTGTTACATTTCATGACCACTACAAGCTCGTTCCAAGTCATGGTTGACTCCAAGAAATTAATGTTCCTAGTCATCCTTTAAAGATGTGAAATTTGCCAATGCCTTTTGTGCAATTTGCAAAAACACCAAAGAACTACAGGGTTTTTTCTCTATTTTTTGGGTCCATTAACAAAAATAATCAGGAAAATGGCATAAATGACGCTAACCAATTATTTTCGATGATTGATAGGTTGTAATGAACCAATCATCAATTATGAGATTTTGACCAATTCCCAGCACTAATTTACGCAGACCAATTCTAACCCATGGGTTGTTGAATTTAGTTTTGGGTACAGTTATCAATACAATTACCAAGTAGATGATATCTACTTACGTGAGGTATGTACTGTTTGGGGGTCCGAGGTGCAGCACTGACATCTGTAACATAAATATCTTTGAAGTTTGTGTGTGTACAAGTGTGTGCAAGATGTTGCTATCAAGTGTGACTTGTAACACCAGTAGCCATAGCACAGAGCGGGTGAGTATGATTTTCCACTGCTCTTGGAAAGATCTGTGGAGATGACACCAGAAGGTAATATAAGGAGCAAGATTGGTACACAAATATACCGGTACATGCAGTTTTGGACTTAGTGGACTTTACACATTTAAACAATGTTGGAACCAATGTGAAGACTGGGGACATATTATGCTTAAGAATCACTGAGAATTTCTTCTCTTTCCAAATTAATACAAGTATCATCTTCAGTATCATACATAAAAGCATGAAACAGTGAGTTAGGAGGAAGGTTGTAACAACTTATTCTCATTAGATGCTTGATTGGCATTTTAGAAGATGATATTTGATGAACATAGAGATTTTATGCAAGTTGTTGAAGACCACTTTCTATGCTTGCAATGTAGTCATCTGAGTTGGCTGAAGCTGTTGTTGGGATAAATTTAAGTCCTTTAGACAACAAGGATTTCTGAGCTGCACTTAGAGTTTTGCTACTTAGGTTGACAACAGTTACTGTTCAGTTTACCTGATGATGGGGCCAGAACAAGCCCTGAAACGTTGTACTCGAGAATAAAAAGAAGATGTAACCCAGAAAAATCTCTATGTTCAACTTATTCTCAGCTCCCTTCTTCTCTTGGGGAGGTGGGGTTGTCTTGTAGAAAAAGCTTTCAGTCGTCCCGAGAAAGAACCTGGCTGGATTACCCACATGGGTACAATGTGTGAAGCCCGTATCTGGAATCCCCTGCCGTGATATTGCTGGAATATTGCTAAAAGTGGCATAAAACTAAACTCACTTACTCACTCACCCTTCTCTAATGTCTTCAAGTAATTCAGACCAGAGACTCATTAGTTGAGCAGGACTTGGAAACGCTTTTGAAAGAATGGGTGGAACAGTTCTGTGATACTCACAATGCCACATTTTCTAAAAAATATTTTGAAAGGTCATCAATCGTAATTGAATGAAAGCTCATTTTTCGTCCTCACCCATTTGGTTCAGGGGCTTATTTTGCCATAGAGTAACTTGGGGGTCTGCTATATCAGTCATCAAACTATCTTACCTTTGACACCATGGTTTCTCTTGAGAGCTCCAGAATGCAGCTTGTCAGCACAAGCCAGACACAGGCATACTCCAGTCTTCTCCCCCACACCCTGACAGTCTGGGCAATACAGCTCCGGAGCCATCGTCTCACAGTCTTCACATATCAGGTCCTGAAGCCATGATAGGTATACAGCCGTCAGCACAAGCCAGACACAGACACACCCCTGCCAAATACCCAGTCTAAGTAAACATGGACTCAGTATGATTCGCTATACTGCTATACCGAGTCTAACAAAACCTAGTAGAAGGTTGCGTCAGCTAACCTTTGAGCAACCTATGACCGTCCAATAAAACGAGAGACGGACGAATGGATTTAACCAATCAGACAATGGCTACTGTTTAGGGTTCGGCGGGATTTACAAAATTCCCAGTCACTGACACTCATGTCTCAACAAACGAAAATCTGCATAACACACAGATATTTGACCTGCAGTATATACGCTTTGGGCTTTCTGATGACATGGTTACCATTAGCTAATATTTCCGCAAGCTGACATCCTTGAATATCGACAAAAATCACTATTTTCAGCGACTGTTTACTTACTGTTGTGGCATGCTCCACGTGCAACACTCGGAAGCCATCATAAGGAAAATAGCATTCGGAACTGTTCGGGTACAAACTTTTTCGAGGTAAAAGTTCAAAAGGTATGTGCGAATGTCAACTTTCGCACATGGATACAATGTGTGAAGCCTATATCCGGTGTCCCGCGCTATGATATTGCTGGAATATTGCTAAAAGCATAAAACCATACTTACTCACTACATGGGAATCTGCACTGTGGGAACGGAAAGGTGATGATCAAATGGTACACCAAGTAATGTAATCACCTGTTTAGCAGTCTTCTTGCCTCCAGTAGTTCTCCTTGCTCTCTGGGTGGAGGTTTGGGCACTTGACTTTCTGGCATCTTGTCTAGGAGCAGCTTGTCTAGGGACAGCTGGAACATAAATGTGTCCTTAACACAAACATGAGGGTTCTGTTTCTTATTAACATTATTAAAGCAATAATTTTAAAAAGTTGCACAAAATAAAGGTTAGATTAGAGTGTTTGATCGACTCTAATGGCTGTGGATCTTCTGGATCTTATCATATCTTAAATTCTGGAGAACATGAAAGGACCTTTATCATCATGCATAGACTGGATTTGTGAATGTATTGTAATGACCATTGTTTTTAAAATAACCTTCCGACAGTCGTGACCCATGAAGATCCAGGTTAGTATTGATCTTCACTAACCCATGCTTGTCGAAAGAGGTGACTAATGGGATCGGGTGGTCAGGCTCAATGACTTGTTAAACACATGTCATCATATTCCAATTGTCTAGACTGATGCTCATGCTGTTGATCACCGGATTGTGTGGTCCAGACTCGATATTTTACAGACCGCCACTATATAGCTGGAACGCAGTGTCAAACAACAAACCAACCAACCGACAGTCGTAGCTATAACATCAGGAGACCAGGATCCTTTACTAAGTAATTGCACACATGAGATAAGTTAATTGGGGTGCAAGAGCTATTGTTTGTTGCTTATTGATTAACTGAATCTGGGTCAGACAAATCTGTGACTGATATTACATCCACATCCTAACTAATGAACCAAGCCGTCAAGTCTGAACTCTTGATCCATGTAGTTACGAGACGCATAGGTTACTGGAGAATTATTCCAAACCAGAATGCCCACTTGGCTCTAAAGGTTGAGATGTTGTGACGGACAAGTAAAATTCTGGAGGCAGTGACACCTCCTGTCGGTCTCCACAAATAATTGCGGTGGCTTAGACCACCTGACCACCAGTTTCTGGACCTTTACACACAGAAGACACACATACCAGGTTTGGGTGTGTTACAGTAGCCTAGTCTAGCTGCCTGCCGGGTGAGGAAGGAGCCGAGTGGGTCGACATGGTAGACGTCGAGCTGCTGATACTCAGCGTACATCTGCTGCAGGTCTCTCTGGGTGTAGAGTGGGTTCATCACAGCTCCCTTCTTCCCAAGGGTCTTCAAGTATGCCACCAGTGACTCGACAGTTGGGAGGTGCTGGGGTTGTCGTGGAAACTCACTTGAAAGAAGAATGAAAATGAATAAGTTTCAGGAGATAATAACAACTTACAGGAGATAATAAAGTTTAACACAGCAGTGCCGTGGTATATGAAATGGTACATTCTACTAAATACTATAAAAGACATCAACTGAGTATGCAACTGAACACTTCTGTTTTTGTTTTAGGCAGCAGTCACCAATATTCCTGGGAGTGGGTTGGGTTTAAAGCTGCTTCGAACAGTATTCCAGGTTTGCTTAAAATGGAGTGAGTGAGTATGGTTAAAGGCCGCTTTTAGCAATATTCCAGCAATATGATGGCAGGGGACACTAGAAAAATTGGCTTTACACATTGTACCCATCCGGGAATTGAACGTGGGAATTGGGTAGTTCGCCTCAGTAACTTGATAGCATGTCATGGCACCTTGATCGACGTTCATAACATCAACCATTGGATTATTCAAATGTCACCATAGTAAACCAGAAATATTGCTCCATGCACACACAAAAGAAGTGTATATTTCCGTTACTCTCTAATACTATCTTACTTCTTTGAGTTCAGCAACACACTGAGAATAGTCTTCTTGCGGATATGTGACTTTTGTGTCCATTTCTGCACTCCTTTATCGTGGGGATGGGCTGCTCTCTGCCGTTCGACCTCCACCATCTTGATATTAATACACGCCACCCAGAAGGAGTTAGAGGTCGTTTCCAGGATAGTTCCATCAGTAAGGTTATAGTGAGCTACAGAGCTGAAAGAAACAAATTGAAAACATCAATTAATGTTCAAAGTAACACACAATTTATTGATTTCAAAATACAATGATCAATAATAGATGTTTCTGTGTAAGAGTCTTACACCATTAACATAAACAAGAAGTTGTTATTCATATAGTCGTTTGATTTATTATGACTCACCAACTACAAAAATGCCTATGAAACAGTTCAATTATCACTTTTTCTATTTCATGTTCAACTGCAATATTTCTGTCCCAGTAGTCGCTTTCCAAATTTTCAACATGGGCACATCAATCAGTCCACTCGTTTACACCAATCAGCTGACAAAGGTGCACCCCTTCACAATAATAAACCCAACCAGTTGTGACACGGTCACGCAATTCATTAGTATTCACTTGATCAGAGTAGATAACACTCTCTGTTTCTGATTCTCAAGAAAAAATATTATGTGATAAATGCATAAACCAAAATGTCTGCAACATACCGATCATCTGCAAGGGGTTCATTGTCGTAGTACAGGTCATCTATCTTTGCTGCATTGTTTCGCTTACATTCCTGCAATACATCGGAAATGAAAATGTCATCACTTGAAAATGCATTCGATCATATTTATTAGGGCTGGATATTGCCCTGATTCTCATATTGCGATACATTGGAATAATTTCAGAGATATTGCAATACATATTGTGATATATTGACTGGAAGGTTTCTGTCCAAGTGCCCACATCATAAATTCATAATAGCTCTCAGTGAGCAACATCCCCATTCCCATTGTCAATGGCCATGACTTACAGCTGAATAAAATGATATAGAGCCTTAATGTAGAATGTTTAATTGAAGTACTGTATTGCAACAAAGTTTTGCAAACATAATGTTTGCTTCAACAGAATGCACTTCAATGCAGTATGTAATTATTGTTACTGTATGTCAGTGACTCATTCAGATTAAAACTCCAATATAAACATGTGTTTACATGAACTATTGCAAAATGAAACAAAAACATGATTTAGATGAACTACTTGAGCTTAAAATCTCATGAGATCTCCAATATCTAAGATCCTTGACTACAATGTCATTACACAGTCCTACAAAATGTATCAGACTTTGGCCTTGATGATAAATTGATAACATATGTCCCATTATAAAACAAAATGTTCACTCAGAGCCAGAGGTTCTACTAATAAGACCAAAAAAAAGATTGGTCAAATCTTTGAAGGGAATTTAGAAGTGGAATGCATAAAGAAAGCAGGATTTATGGATGTCACCTTCTTTACTGTGAATAGCACGACATTCAAAGTGTATGTTTGCTCCTTCATGACCTGACCTGATGAAGGAGCAAGCATACACTCCGAAAAGTCGTGCTATTCATTCAGAAGTTGACATCCATAAATCTTGCTTTTCTTAAAATATTGGTCCATTTGAGGCCACTTAATGCCCCCAAAACGTCACATATAAAACCATTCAAACCCCCAAAACTTATAGCATTTGGAAGAATATTTGTCACTTTTGGAGCCACTTTTAAAGACACTTCCACTTGTAAAATGTAAAATAAGCGTATATTTGGCACTTTAGAGCACATTTTGTTGCTATGGAAATCAAAGGCAGATAGTTCAATGGGAGCTAACTTTGGATGACCCAATATATTGGAGAATCTGAACCATATCACGATAATTGTATCGCAAGATACTGTACCGGTATATACTGGTTTACCGGGTGATATTGCACAGCCTGTAATTTTTTGCTAAAAACTAGATGCAGGTTGTGCACATTTTACAATGACACTTGATCATTTGTTCAATGTTTTATATCTCCAATTTATTCTGTTAAATAGCCTGTACCCATTTTGTACAAAGGCTTTGTTTCAAAGTCACATCCCAATCACATCACCAATATCAACAATTTAGCTTATAATTTCACCTGCTCATGAACATAAACACCAGTCAAAATAATTGAGAGCTCTGAACTGAATTTTCAAAAGATTGCAGTTGCATACTAGCAAGGCCTTACTGTAGTGAATCAAATCAGAAAACTGATATAATTAATTTGTTACCAAGAATATTTATTCCAGTATATAAACGCAGGGTGAGGGAAGTCATTCAGACTTGTATTTGATACAGTATGCATGGTTGATCGTTTGACTGGACATGGTTTGAAGTTACTGTAGGCCTAATAATAGTAATATTATATTTATAATGTCCATATCTGATAAAATTATGAAGCATGGTAAGTGACAAAAAGCAGATGAATTTTTCAAAGAATCTTTGCTATGAATCAGTATATGTTTGTGATGACTTCTGATCATGGCACTTGTAGTTGGTCAACAAGTGAGAGAGACACATCCTCAGAGTAAAGCAATTAACATTCAGATCAATCAGCAAAATAAAATAGGTTAAAAGTTATCCAATAAACACTGACTGTATTGTTTAATTAATTTTAAAATCTATCATATTTTAACTTTTTTTTTTTAAAGAAACAGTGGTATACAGTCAGTCTGAAACAGTCAGACTGTATTTATTTGTGCAGATCAAAAAAAAAAGATTGGAAACACTGAACATAGCCAAGATTCAATAGATCAGCATCTCTTGCTTAGAAGACTCAACAATTTCTACACTGCAGTGTGACAAAAACATTTAACTAGATTTCTATTTTTATTATTTTCTTTAAGTGGACATCCACGGTGCAAAAGTGACACTTGTTTAGAAAATCGTAGTAAATGTTCAAACTACAGACCCTTGTAAAAAGTATTCTGACACTTGACGTAATTCCATAGACTTACAAGTCTAGATGTTATTTCAGTGTAGCATAAATAATTTCCATGAAGTGAGTTTAGGATGGATCTTTGTAAAATTTGACAGGCAAATTTGAAAACATCTCTGCTCTGCGCACATAATTTCAGCTCAATTTTCCGACCACTATTTAACTAATGACATCACATTTATCAACTTACACAACAACTCCACAATGCACAATCCCATAGGCCGCCATGTTGAAGGAGTTCACGGCACTGTACAATTGTTGATTAAATTGTTGCCATTCCATAAATAGGCAACGGAAAATTAAACAGAAATTATGTGATTCGGTAAGATGATTCCTCACAAATGTGCACAATTTAACTTTGATCTTACGAAAATTAAATTCAAGAAAATTATTTATGCTACACTAAATTAACATGTAAGTCTATGGAAATTACGTCTAGTGTCCGAATACTTTTTTGCACGACTCTGTGTGTTCCGGGCCTCTAACAGTAAACCTGACATGTGTCAATTTGTGATCGAAAATAGGACAATAACAACCTCTTTAATATATCCAATTGTTGTTCCAGCAAAATCAGTAATGTCAACATATTGCAGGTCTGTGGAAAACGATGCTGGGTTGTACTTTTGCTTATTACGAACAAATATTCGAATATTTCTTTGACGATTCATAGTTTCGATGCATGTTCCCGTAGCGTTCATCAAATCAAAACAATTCTAAGTTGGCGCCATCGCAACACCGCAGATAATAACAGTACAACTAAACAAAAGGTGAATAAGAACTTCCCAGCATATATTTTCTTGGAATTTACTTATATCATTTTAGAGTATTTTATTGTGTCGTCTGTAATTTTCCCCTCTACATCAAGACAGCAACTCCCATACCGGTGACATGGTAGTTAGTTGTCTATAGAAAATGGGTACGTCAACGACGCTTGTCAAAGCATTCTATACCAATAATTGTGTGGGAAACGTCTCACGGAAACCCCGAAACGGCGGTTTTAATTTAAAAGTAAATCACAACAATATGATGACACAGCATTCTATTAATCTGTATTAAGTTCATATTGACCAAAGACGCAAATGGATGCATGTTTATGTGCATAGCTATGACATACTTCAGGTAAACAGACACATTTCTAACAACCCTGAATGCGCATGTGGATACCACAATAAAGATATTGTTCATGATATTTTTACATGTGTTATACGCTGATGTTAGAAATGATATGTAAATGGCCACAGCCTCCAAACTGTGTTATATGGAATACCTCCAGCTATCGACAAAGTCAATAAGAACATAACAGAGTCCCTGCATCAATACACGACTTGCTAAATTATTCTAGATCAATATATATGTGCTCAATTAATGAAATGTAACTGCAAGTTCAAGGTTCATAAGGACGTACAATGCAAATATGTGATTTAATTTGTCGTTTGTGTGCATGCAGTTCTTGTGTATTTTGTTTATATGATATAGGTACTGGTGAGGTATTAATAAAAGCAACGTTTTGCTTGTTTATTAAACCAGGTTCTTTGGGAATAAAAATATGCTTAAAGGGGTATCGGACAAAAGCCCCTTGGATCAAAAGCCCCTCGACCAAAAGCCCCTCTGGACAAAAGCCCCTCGCAAATTTGAGCACCCTTGTCAAAAGCCCCTCGATTCATGTATTTCATAAAGGAATGAACATTTCTCATGGCTCTTATTTATTTTATACAGTGTTATAAGTAGGAAAAAGTATTTCATATTTTATAAAGTATAATGAACTTTTCCCATTTCTCTTATATATTTATAAAGTATTTTAAGTCTTTCTTTTTGTGTATCTTTCCCAGATAGCACGTCGGTGGTGGGCCAGCCATGGCCCACCGTAAGCTGTACTGGTGGCTGCCACCGGTGGGCCACCTATGGCGTGTCCAGCTGATCTTCGATGGCCCACTGGTGGCACCAGCGGCAAACCAGTGGCCTACAAGTGGCAAGCCACTACACCGTAACGTATAGATTTGTCACCATCATCCTATTGCTGGTCTACGGGCTAACCATGAAGATCCGGGTTAGAATTGTTTCCCAGTCATAACAGACGACTAACGGGATCCTGTGGTCATGCTCGTTGACTTGGCTGAGTCATGTCATTCATCTTATCCCAATTGCTCAACATGTCAATAATGAACAGGGTTGTCTACAGACCACAGTCATATAGCTGGAATAGTGCTGTATGTGGTCTTAAAACATACAGAAACACACAGTCCACCACTATAGTTGTTAGTCTATAGTCACCTCTAGAACCACCCAGATAGCACTGGCCCACAGGTGGTAAGCACTGCAACCTAACGGGTAGAATCTGTAACCGTCATCATATTTCATCAATGGTGAGGGAATTCCGCGCTTTTTCACCCAGTTAAGTCTTTGTAATTCTTGTCTAAGTGTTTCATTACATACCTGAGGACTTCCTCTATTAATCATCTCACTTCTGATATTCTCAACGCTTTTTAATTTTCCCCTACTCACAATCTGCCTCCCACATTGAGTACTTTACTACATGGTGTACAGTTCGTTTGGATTCAAATGAGAACGACAAATGATTAAAAAACTCGAAATTGGGATAAGTGCACAAAACATAAATAAGACACATGGTCCTGAAACCTCTGTACCCAGCAGGGTCTGAAATCTGACGTTTTATGATCGATCGCGGAAAAAAATTGTTTTAGAAACCATCATGTAATATTGTGCTATTTTCACGTGTTGGGTACAGAGGTTTCAGGACCATGTGTCTTATTTATGTTTTGTACACTTATCCCAATTTCGAGTTATTTAATCATTTGTCGTTCACATTTGAACCCAAACGGACTATAACACCTATTTTAACATTCTATTATCAGTATTAGGAAACAAAGATTGTCTCAATAATTTCTGGGAAAACTGTAATATTAATTTATATATAATTTAGGGTCATTATATTATGAAGCAATAAAATGTTTCATGTCATTAATGATTTCTTGTCTTGAATTTTCCCATTAATACATAAAGTGAGGGGTTTGGGGTCATTTTACGAGGAGCTTTGGGTCATTTTTCGAGGGTCTTTTGTCCTGAGGGTTTTTTGGTCAAGGGGCTTTTGTCCCGAGGGGCTTTTGACCTAGACTCGTTTAAACACAATACTTCATTTTCAGACTGCTTATGTTTACACGTGGGCGATGTCGAAGTATTAATTACACTGGCTTGGCCAAAGTAGAATGTACTATTTATTTTTTAAATTATGTTTTTAATATAACGTGTGAGCTATTCTTGGAATTATTGCATATTAGCTATTTATACACAATCACCATCACATATTACACAAAATCTCGGTTAATGTTGCAACTGGAAGGTATGGCACGGCTTGTTGACTATCAAACGATATGCTCTTACAAAAAGACAGGTCTTTGTGATTGTTTCAAATATATATTGTGAGAGCCAATGTTTCTATCCAAGTTTTACATCATCGTCAAATGTAAACTATCGCTAATATCCGTGCATTGTAACCTACCTTTCTTAACAGAATGTCTACGTGTTGTTTTAATATGTGTACACAGAACACAGAGCGTCTCTAAAGTCATGAAAATATCAACAATGTCAGGTCACCTACACTAATGCACGGTGAAATAAACACTTTGTCATGTTGTTTCTCAGATTCGACCCCACTTCGACCAACAGACCGCAGTCCTAGTTTGGTGCACATCAAATTTTATATTTTGAAAGTGTAGTCTTTCCTATAGTACAACCAGAAATTATTGAGAATTTTAAGATTGTAATTTATTTGTTTTTCACTCATTACTCACGTATTAAATGTGAATATTAGCAGAACATAACGCCAGATTCAAAGACAGGTGAACAGTTAGTATTTTGTCAAGTCACCATGGGCAGCAATGCAGGCTTCAATGCGGCGGGGCATACTACTGATAAAAGAAGTTAGAAAGTCGTGGTCCATGCTGTCCCAATATCGGACCACCTCTTCTTTCATTTCAGCAATATTTGTCAGATTTTTCTTATTGACACTTTCCTTCATAAGTCCCCAAACATTTTCTATTGGATTTAGGCCAGGGCTATAGCTTGGCCAATCTAATAATGTCATATTTTGGGTCCGAAACCAGGCCTGTGAATGCTTTGAACGATGTTTTGGGTCGTTGTCGTGCTGGAAAATCCAAAAATTTCCATAGAACACGTGAGCAGATGGAAGTAAATGTCCCTCGAGAATATCTGTGTACCGCTCACTGTTCATATTCCCTTCAAATACACAGAGGGGTGTTGCCCCTAACACAGATATGCCACCCCACACGTTAAATTTCGGACTGTACTTTGGGCGCTGATACAAAGGTTTTTCAGTTTGTTTGGTCCAGAATTTCAGTGTATTAGGAAACAGCCACACAGAACTTTCATCTGAGAAAATCACATTGTCCCAGTTAAAATTTATATGCTGTAAGCACCAGTTCAACCTTCGCTCCTTTTGTTCAGGTTTCATGATCGGTGATGGAATTCCTCGACTTTTCTGCCAACCCATTGCATGCAGCTCAGTTCTAATTGTCTCCCTACAGACAGCCACAGTTTCTCAATCAATCATATCCAGCCTTTAGAAACAAGAATACCGAGCCGCCTCCTGTCACCGACAGTCAATTTTCTGGGCCTACCTGCGCCTCCCTGGTGCTCAATGCCATATCCATTTGCAATATTTTTCAAAACACGATAAACAGTGGACAAAGGGATGCCTGTTCTACTTGAAATCACTTTAGTTGATCTGATGTCCTTGTTATAATACTCTAAAATCAACTTCCTCTTCTCTAAATCATCCATACTGTGGATCACTGAAAATGTCGTCTGCTAGCAAGTAAACAAAGGGGATAACTCTTCACAAACTAATGAAAAAGGATTAACGGAGTTGTCTCTCTTGAATGAAACCAAGCACTTGATAGCTGGTCAAGGTTGTTTATACTAAAAATCCAATTAAACATATTCCTAAAATTCTCAATAATTTCTGGTCATACTATAAGTAGCAGACTTTGTTAAAACGCAATCTCATTTGTGTTTGTCCTTAAAAAGACTCCTTAGGGTTGTATAATCACTAATAAAAAGGAAAAATAATATAGGCAGAGTTAAACAGCGATGATCGAACTCCCTTTCAGAAATGAAATGCGCATTGTTGCCATTTTGTGTAATATTTGAGATATATATATTTCACGGGTGACAAATGTTGAATGACACCGGTACGGATATAAGCTCCGAACATTGCTTTTTCAAATGACCTAATTTAATGCAAGCTTATAGCAGCGCGTGTACCTTTCATTCCAACCCCGAAATCAATGATCATATCGCTGCCTGGAGTTGTGAAAAGGTAAATCTGTGTAAGGAGTTGTCAAATAGCGGGATTTGTGATAAGCTTAGATTTGTGATCTCTCCTGAGTGGCATAATATAATTTGACGTGTGCGCAATCACATTAAAGAAAAAATGTTGGGTTCGAGCTTACATCAGCTAGGTAGGTGTTGTTTATGCATTTCCTGTCTAGGAAATTGTAGACTGTATTGATAAAAGATATTTGTTATTCACAGAATAAACTATTTTCTAACTCTTTGGACTTAATAGTGTTCGTGCTATGTACAGCTTAATTTGCGCCAAAATAGTTTTCTCGATCTAATGTTTTCATCAATGCTTGTCTAAACTCCTTACAACGTATAAAAATCATGTAATTTGTGTGTTTAATTTGAAAAAAAACTGAAAACATTTCATGAACTCTATTACACAAAATGTACACATTTTTTACAATTCTTTGTTATCATGGTCGTCAATGTGCAATATCAGCGTCTTTGTTTTTCTCATTTCAGGAAACTTTACACAGTTGATGCCCACTCAAGATGAGACCACAAAATCACAACATGTCTTTACAGTGAGAAATGATGCATTAATTGTAGATTAGCCAACATTCATTGAATTATCTCCTGATCACATTATTTTTGCAAATGAGTATGTATTCGTACAGAAAATGATTTTGGTCCTGATTTTGGGCAAAGATTTGACATGAAAACGTCTCACTCAGGAAAACCATCATGTTTGATGGAGTTTATGTTGAACATGCCCTGCAAAATTTCTTTGGGAGTTATGAATAAAGAATATTTGCCATTGGACAAAGCTAGTGCTCTTTACCCTTCTGAAAATGGTAAAACAATTTACCTAATCATGCAACAGCAACATCGTTTGAAATAGATTAGAATAAAAACACAACTTGTGATATTGAATAGAAATGAAAATAGCCGCACATTTTAACTAAGCATGTTTATTGTGAGTGTAGCTAGCATGTTATATGTAGTGGTCAGAATGAAAAATTGGAGTTTTCCATGGGCTGAAATATTACTACTGCATAAAGCCAAAAATGACTTGTATTCTTATATTTCGTATATTTATAGGAAACACACAGATAGCACATTTAACAAGAGTAAGATAGACTTGGCCTCTAGTTTGTTGATCAAAGACTATGAACTTATTTTTTGTGTGTAAAACTTGAGGTATTTTACAGAAAAAACTTTTTCAAAATGGTTTGCAGATAAAGTTCTTGAGAGGCAGATAGTTGGATATGACCAGTGGCGTCTATGCATAGTTATATTTAATGACAGACTGTGAGACATCATATACATGATATATGTCATATACTGACATCTTGTCACATGCAAACCACTTCAACACATGACATGATAGGGTAACACTTCAATCAAGTAGTGTGTGAGTTACGTTTTACGCCGCTTTTAGCAATATTACAGCAATATCACAGCAGGGACACCAGAAATGGGCTTCACACATTGTACCCATGTGGGGAATTGAACCCAGGTCTGCGGCGTGATGGGTGAATGCTTTAACCACAAGGCTACCCCACTGCCCCTTCAGTCAAGTAATTAACAGAGGTCTAATTAAGCCATTTGAAGTAGATCTGCATCATTTAGTGAATCAGTGGCATACAAACTGAGAATAGTTAACTCAGTATACTTTCATATCATTATGCATATCTCATTTTGATGTTTGCATTGTTTTGTATCTATGCATGACCTTCTGAAATGATGCATGTGAGGGCTCGATTTAGTGCTTTGTTACTTGCACTGGTGCAACACAATATTACAACGTGCAACCTAGTTATTAGTATAACTTGCACCAGGTGCAAGTCAATGTTTGAGAAATAAATCAGGATAAATCTATAAACATTACAAGTATAATTATGTCAGCTCCTTTTTCTTCTAACCGTTGATTAGCTATGGCACCTCTGAGCTATGACAGCTGTGTGGCTGTGTTGCTATGGTTTCTTGGGTCCTACTTCACTGGACCGCCTCCATGGTGTAGTGGTTAAAGCGTCCGCCCGGAGAGTGGAAGGTAGCGGGTTCGATCCCCGACCGCCTCATACCAAAAGACGTTAAAATATGGTACTTGTTGGTCCCTGCCTGGAGCTTGGCATTAATGGGTACAACAAGGACTGGTCGGCTCGGAGTCAATATACTGTGTCTGAGTGGGGTATTCATGCTTCACTGCGGCATGGTATCTCAGTGAGCTAGCACTATAAAACCAGCTTAAGTCTGGGCTAGTACAAGCAGCGCGCACATACACATACACACGCATACACGTCGTCATATGAGCAAAATATTCTCAAGCACAACGTTAAACCCAATTTCACCTCACCTACTTCACTGAAATATGTTTATGTGCACTGAAACCTCTGACGTTTTAACACACTGTGTCATCATTTTAAGTGATAGCTGACAGATTTATTGCACATGGCTGTGTGAAACCGCTAAGCTACCTGTGATCTTTAATGATCCAAATCGTGAATGAAAATAACCATGGATAGTAAAACTAAACAACAGGCAAGCATTTAAACATTTTTCCTGAAGAAATCAAGTGAAGTAGTTGACAAAAGTGGTAAATAAAACTCGAAAAATGAGAAACGTGCCAATACAAACATGAATGATTCCATTGTCATTGCCCATGTGTGTGGCATTTCGAGGCCGGGTGATAAAACTACAGATGATGAATTGAGATATTAATTAGAGATAAACGTGAATCCAGCCACAAGCAATGCTAAAAAAATTGAGACTTATAAATTTAAAGAGGAATGGAAAAAAACAACAACAGAGATTGGTTGCATAATGATGAGATTGAAAACATCACAATAATTCAGTAGCATATATCGTTCATTACATAATGCAATAAAAGCAGTGCAACTGGAATTTGGCTGGTGCAACTAGGTTTTTGTCTTAGGTTGCACCTGGTGCAAGTAGGTTAACATATCTTAAATCGAGCCCTGCATGTTAAAAGATGGTATTATGAATATGATTAATTGAACCAGGGCTCCAGATAAGGGCCGTATCGGCGTATGTACGGCTAAAACATATGCACGATACGGTAGGAAATAATTTAGAAAACGTAGCAGATACAAACCACAGCAGGTGTCACGGTTTTAGAATCATTTACAGACGTATTTATTTGAAAAAAAGTATTGTTTTATTAGTTTTTTACCTGTTCACACAAGAGTAGCAATGTTGTGGCGCATATATGAAACGAAACACAAGATTACTGGTACTCCATTAAATTCCATTCAGTACTCTAAATGTACTCTTAAGGTTTTCCAGTACTCCTATATTGAACAAATAAGGAGTATACGTACTCCTGATGTTGAAAAATTATCTGGAGCCCTGATTGAACTCTGTTGAAGGGTTACTCCCAACCATGTCAAACCTGTTGCTGTTGCAGATTGCTGTGGAGGGAAACATAGGCTGTGGGAAGTCCACCTTTCTTCAACATTTCAAACAGAATCCAAAAGTTGAGGTATGTTTTCTGCAGCATGATCAGTAATTGTATGGATTTGTGGGAAAATCATGACTTTTCAATCATGTGTTAGTAACAACATATAGTAAAGTATATTGTTAAAAGACAAGATTGAAGTGGGCTTTTTCTATTCGGTGTACAGTAATAATATGTTTTACTCATTTGAAATCTTGCTCTTTCAGGTGCTACCAGAACCAGTTGACAAATGGAAGTGTGTCAAAGGATATAACAGTCTGGTATGTTGCATGTTTATGGTATAAGATCCTTAGAATATTATTTGGAAATGTTTCATATGCACTTATATAAACTCAAAGGAAAACAGACAAATCAGTCATAAATGAACAACAATTGGAACAAACTTGACTGGTTTAAAATATGACTGTGCCAATCCCAAGTCATTGCTGATTGTTTGTCTGTGGGAAAGTGTTTCTGAGGTGATGTGAACTGTACTTGCTTTGCAAGGATGTATACCACAATGCATACAAATCAGCCATAGATTTTGAACATGCCAAACTTTTACAATGTTTGCATTTTCTGTCAGTCTTTCTGTGAAGGATCAAAACCAACTGAGGTTTTGTTTGAAAAAGTAAGCCTGTGGCAGAGGGAAATTGGGAAGGACTGATAGGCCTGACCCAATTTCCTGAGGCCAAGGGCTTACTTTTTCAAACAAAATCTCAGAGGAGGTTTCGATTCAACTTTTGAACTGACCGAAGATGTACACATACACAAGCATGCACGTCGTCATATGAGCGAAATATTCTCAAGTACGACGTTAAACCCAATTTCACCTCACCTCACCTCACAAGAGTAGCAATGTTATGGTGCATATATGAAACGAAACACAAGATTACTGATACTCCATTAATTTCCATTCAGTACTCTAAGTGTACTCTTATTGTTTTCCAGTACTCCTATATAGAAAACATAAGGAGTACATACTTCTGATCATGAAAAATTATCTGGAGCCCTGTATAAAAATCGCTTGCGTAATGAAAAAGACACGACTGCTATCAAGTTGTACTCTAGTATAGGACAAGTGTTGTACAGTCAGTATAGGATGGGTGATTTTTTATGAAATCATTTCCATTATATTTAAGTTGGTTTTGATTAGGTATGACATAAGGCAGAACATACCTGCTTAGTAAACTTACTCAATGGCATAATACTTAGGTGAGTAAAATGACTGTAAATACGCACATATTTGAAAGCAGTGGGTAACAGGAAAATTAAATACCCCCCAACATTCATAATACCCACTCCCACAAAATACAGTGGGTACAGTACCCACATGAGCTAAGTCTTATCTGGAGCTCTGTATGCTGGAGTGAGAGAGTGATTGGTCTCCCTTGGCTGTTGCAGGACTTAATGTACAGGGATGCGGCACGGTGGAGTTTTGCCTTCCAGTCCTATGTGACTCTCACCATGATGGAACACCACGAAACCAACAAGGTATGACAACAGGCAGTTTCTCTTCTTATTCTGTGTTTATTTTATTACTACCTTTGTTCAAGCAGTTACTGTAGATCATGAATTCAATACAGAAGAAGAGAATGTCCCTTGCAAGCTTCAATAGGATGACATTTTATTTTGTATATAATACTTCCACCTCAAGTGTTGTCAGTTAACATAAATAATTTAGCTCTTTGATGGTCGCCAAGTATGTCAATCTTTTAGGTAAATTTAGGTTGAATCTTACATTGGTGATGCATTATTTTCATGAGCTTGGGTGGGTTCAAAATATTTGTTATAATAACCTGCGAATAATGCTTGTAGTATATTGTTTAACATACTCCTTCAGACATTATGAACATTCAACATTTGTAAGTGTATTTTACCTGTACAAACACATCTTACTTTATTTGCAGGAATCACCTAAAGTCAAGATGATTGAACGCTCCATCTACAGTACCAGACATTGTTTTATTGAAAATCTCCACCAAGGGTAGGACAATTCTTCCTTCAGAGTTTTACACGACACAAAATATTGCATCCTGACAGGGATTGATCTGAACCTGCTCAGGTCATTTGTCTGTGGTAATGACTTAAATGGATGTCTTTATACACTGTTCTGATGGAGGTGACATGTAATTCACTTTGGGAGTATTTATTTGATTTGTATGAGGGGGTGAGGGCTGGAATTTTGAGAGCAAGGAACATACTATTTTCCTTCTAGCTGTATTCAACAATCTGTATTTTCTGAGCACCATCAAACAATTTATTCCTTTTCAATGAGAAAACAAAAACAATGTTTTGGCATTTCCCACGAAAATTTTCAATTTTATCACAACTGCCAGCAATCATTCATTTTGGAAATGTTTCTGGACAAACTATGCTATTAAAATATCTTCTAACAGCCTGCAGAAGATTAAGTTAAACTATATTTAGGACTTAGGATGCTTAGTTTCAAAACACGTCTTAGTAACCATGGTTACATGATTATGATTGTCTTGTTCCCTAGAGGGCTGATTCCAGACATTGACTACACTATCCTGAGTGAGTGGCACGACTGGCTCCACCAGAACCCAACAACAAACATCGACCTCATTGGTATGTTAATTTGAGAATGACATTACACTCACAGCTTGTAGAGGTTGCCCCTATGAGATCCTGGAGAAGGATACTAACTTTTCACTTTGATATTTCTTTAGAAAAATTTATTTCAAAGAGAAACAATGAAATCGAAAAATTCACTCTTAAATGGAATTCACTCATCCCAATATTCAGCAACTAATTATTATTACATCTCTACAGCAATGTATCTTCACCTTTTCTGTGCTTGTTGCTACCATCTAATACCCTTGTTATTGACTTTGTAACCATGGGAACAAATAACACCCCCCAAAAAAAACAAAACCAAACAAAAAAACCCAACTTTTCACCAAGATATTTAGCCAGACCTGTTCAGATGCTGATATTCATTTTGCAGTTTGAAGCAGATGTCAGTATAAAACTTCCAAGTTGGAATTATCATTTCTGAGTTCATTTTGCTGCAGTTACCATATTTCCTCCAATAAGCACTGGGGGTAAATCAACTGTTCAAGAAATAAGGGCGAGTGTGCCACATGTTTACAATGGAGTTTTCAAGTAAAATACCAAAGGAGAATCTATATCTATCACAGTTGAAACTTTAAGCACCGTGTCTCCAATAAGCGCCGGGCCTCTAATAAGTACAGTGTCTGGAAGTCTGTTGAAAAAATAAGCGTGCGAGTGCTTATTAGAGGAAATACGGTATATCTAATGTTATGGCTTTGAAGATGTGGATTGTATTTCACTGGAAGCAGGACCAATATAAAGGAAGAGACTTTCCAACTATTTAGGGGCAGTGGTTAAAGCATTTGCTTGACATTCTGAAGACCCAGGTTTGATTCCCCACATGGGTAAAATGTGTAAGGCCCATTTCTGGTGTCCTCTGCTGTAATATTGCTGGTACACTGCTAAAAGCAGTGTAAAACCATACTCACTCACTCACTCATGCTAGTTTAACATTTTTGCATTGCATTGTCAAAATTGTTGAAGGTTCATTACAGTTAGGTGTACCTATCTATTCATTTCAGTCTACCTGAGAGCAAGTCCACAAAAGTGTTTTGATCGGATTCATAAAAGAAACAGAGACGAAGAGAAGGATGTCCCAATCGTACGTACTAGCACTCATCTGTGATTGATGTTTTAATGTTGGACGGTGAGGTAGTTTAGTGGTTAAAGCGTTAGCTTGTCACGCCGACGACCCGGGTTCAATTCCTCACTTGGATATAATGTGTGAAGCCCATTTCTGGTGTCCCCTGCCATGATGTTGCTGGAATAGTGCTACAAGCAGTGGAAAACTAACCTCACTCACTCACTGTAAACCTCAATCCCTTTAGAAGACAGAATTGAACATTTTGCAAATTTTACTTGGAAGTATGAATGAATGGGAAGAGATCATGCATTCAGTGGCCATGGGTTCAAATCCCACATTCAACCTGATCATGATTCTTGGTTTGCTAGCACCTAGTCTGAACAGAGGGTTCCACAATAGTAGTAAGTGCACACGTCCTGCATCACTATGAGTTTTACACCCACATCAAGCGGACACAGTGAAATGAGTGAAATACTATCCAACTTCACTTACACATTTTACCACTCTCTCACAATGGCTCCCTAGTGTGGATGGTGATGACTGATTTTGAAATTTTATGTGCGCCTTCCAAAATAATGCTTATTTTGCATTTGGGTTGCATATTTAATTTTTGTATGAATTTTTTATTTAGAAACTTGCCATAATTGTGGCTGGTGGCAGATTTCAGTATGTGTATTGTGAGTTGAAGTAAGATCCAATCTTCAGCATGTTCTCTGTAATTACCAGTTCTCTGGTAATGTGCTTGAAAGCTTCGGACATGTTTCTGTCAACCTTGTACTGGATATCATGAAGAATGCACCATCTAAATCTTCACCACTGGATCCCATTCCTACCTGGCTGTTCAAGTCTGTGCTATACTATTTAGCACCTGCAGTATGGGACATTATGAACTCATCTCTCTCCTCTGGTACTGTTCTGAGTATTATTAAACATGCAATTGTCACGCCAGTTCTAAAGAAACCTGGAGCTGATAAAAACAATTTGAAAAAATTCCAGTCTCCAAACTTTCATTTGTATGTAAATGTTTAGAGAAAGTGGTAGCTAGCAAACTGAAGGTGCATCTTGAGACAAACCACCTCGCAGAATCGTTCCAGTCAGCCTACAAGACATCTCACAGTACGGAGACAGCTTTGGTGTGAATCCACAATGATATCCTTGAAATACACAATGCCATTTAGAAAGTGATCAAATGTAACATATGTTATATTTGGGATTACACTTTCTTTGTAAAGTACAGATTCTAGTACTTTTTGTTGGGTTGAGTCCCATCTGGGATTCGAACCCACACCCTCAGAGTCAGGCACCTAATCGCCAGCACACAAAGTCAGACGGTTAGACCGCTCAGCCACCGTGGCTTCCATAAAAATGGAAGTCGGACAACTGGTAGTCTAGACTGCGGACTTTGTATACCCCTCTGATAAGTGTTAATAACCTAATTGGCACGTCCGAAAGATAGGAAATACACAATGCCATTTAGAAAGTGGTCAAATGTAACATATATTATATTTGGGATTACACTTTCTTTGTAAAGTACAGATTCTAGTACTTTTTGTTGTTTCGCTGGCGTTGTTGACGTGCCAAAATTGGCCCCACATATGGCCTTCGGCAGTGGATTCCAGCAGCCCAAAGACGACCCCTAATCGTATAGCTTGGCACTGCTCCCCTTGACCCAAGAACTAAGGCTGCTGTTACTGTTGCTGCTTGAGTTCGGTTCCTTAGATGAGTTACCTGGATGAACCGATCTTGCGCATGAGTTGTCACTTGTTTCAACCCGTTTGCTGATGACGTTGAGCAAGTCGTGTAATGGTGGTAAGATGACCACCCAATTGTCTTGCTTACAGCGGTTGCAGAGCTTCCTCCGTGCAACTTTCCAATGGCCATTCCCTTCTGCTCAGTCGTTGGTCTAGGCATCGTTTGTGTGGCGTGTACACCTCTTAGTGTCAATACTGGACTGTTTTTTGACACAAACCTTTATAAAGGACACCTCAGAGTGGAATGCATGCTTTCCATCCAGAACCATGGATGCACATTCTAAAATTATGGTTTTACTGCACTGTTGGTGTGTTTGTGCGAATGGTTTGTATGGACGTCAAATTGCATGACATCATCTCATCTGGGATCATTACGTCACTTCACCATGAACGTTCCATAAACATGAACGCTTACCTTAATGAGATTTCATTTTTTCGAAACTTGCGTTTCTTTCACTGTTCAGTATATTTGATGTTGAATGAGGAGAAGACAGAGTTCCTTCTCATTGGCTCCAAACATCAGCTCATAAAGTTGAAGACTGCCTTGCCATCACCTTCACTTCGTATTAGTGACACAGACATCCTACCATCAGAAAGTGCCAGGAATCTTGGTGTCATCCTCAATTCCAACATGTCCATGGATGCACACATCACCTTCATCAATAGAGCCTGCTACTACAACATCCATAAAATAAGTCCGCCACTACCTTGATACTGACACCTGTAAACTTCTGATGCACTGTCTTGTCATATCCAAACTCAACTACTGTATTTAACTGTATACCAACCTCTCTACTAAATCACTTCAGAAACAACACAGTCTAAGTAAACTTAGGCTCAGTATTAGTCGTTACATTGCTATACTGAGTCTAACAAAATATAATAGAAGGTCGCGTCAGCTAACCTTTTGGACTGACCAATAAGAACACAGCTTACCAAATCGCCAAAAGTTTTAGCACATACCGTTTGAAGCTTTACCTAAAAACTTGAGCGATTGAATGCTACCTTCCGCGATATTCCGAGTGATACACGCAATGAGTAAACAGTCGCTGAAAATAGCGTTTTTGTCAATATTCAAGGATGTCATCTTGCGAAAATATAAGCAAATAGTAACCATGTCATTAGAAACCCCCTAAGCGTATATGCTGCAGGTCAAATATCTGTGTTTTATATGGATTTTCTTTTATTGATAGATCAGTGTCAGCGACCAGGGAAGAGAAAATCCAAAATCCGTTTTTTGTAAGTCCCGCCAAACCCTAACAAGTAGTCATCTGATTGGTTAAATCCGTTAGGCCATCTCTCGTTTGATTGGACGGTTATAGGTCACTCAAAGGTTAGCTAACGCGACCTTCTACTAGGTTTTGTTAGACTCAGTATAACGAATAATACTGAACCTAAGTTTACTTAGACTGGAAACAACAAAGAATCCAAAATTCTGCTGCCAGATGTATTACCCACACTCATGGTCATGACCATATCACCCCAGTACTACAGTCTCTACACTGGCTCCCCATCTCTGCAAGAATTACCTTCAAAATCCTCATTCTGACTCATGACTGCCTCTACAACAATAACTTCCCCGACTATCTCAAACATCTCCTCTACGTGTATGAACCTCAGTGAAGTCTCCGATCCTCCTCTGGCTCTCTCCTCACCCAACACAGATCTCCAAACCAACTGTCTGACCGAGCCTTCTCCTGTGCCAGCCCTAAACTGTGGAACTGTCTTCCAAAGGAAATCAGGAACACTTCATCGAAAGAAACTTTTAAATCTCTGCTAAAGACCCATCTATTCAATGCTGCCTTTCTGTAAAGTTATATGAACTATTTCCTTCCCCAATATTGTCACAGCGCCACTGAGCATCTCTATGGTGGATATTAGGCGCTTTATATAGTACAGTAGTAGTAGTAGTATGTTCAACATCATACACTTACTTAGTTGTATTCCAACATTTGCAGGAGTATCTCAACTCCCTCCACAAGCTTCATGAAGATTGGCTGATAGAAAAGAAGAAAGGAGAGTTGCCTGCTCCTCTTTTGGTGAGAAATGGTCTAGGTTGTTTATTTAAATGATTAATGCTTCCTCCATCAAGACTAGAACCTCCACTGAGACTTCCGTATTAACAAGAATCACCATTATGTTTGGTATTAACAAGACTTGAGACTATTCTGTATCAGCATGTGCATCTATTGGGATTCTTCTATATCTATATTCTATTGGGAATCTTCTGTATTAAGAAGGATATACATTGAGAGTATTCTGTATTAATAAGAATCTTCTTTGCAAATGTTATGGTGACTATTCTGTATTAACATGAACCTCCATTGAGACTCAGGATCGCTGACTTGGTTGACACATGTCGGCATATCCCAATACATAGATTGATGCTCAACGATTCACCCAGACCTCGATTTTTCATACAAGAAATAACATCAGATTTCTCACAGTCCGCCTTTTTAGCGTGAAATCCATTGTCAACTTGGCGATGTCTACTAACAATAATTCTCATTGGATAATTAGCCAGGTGTCGACCAATCATGTTTCGTTTTTTTATCTTAAAAACTTTTTTTGGGAAAATTTGTTGGAAAGTTGACATGATGAAATATTTCTCACGTCTATTTTCTTTGACCTCTAATTTTATTCATACTTGATTCTTGCAACATAAATGAGTTATCCAATACCTAAAGACATCATATCCTTGCATTCACTCAACACTTTGGGAGTGAAACAGGGACTGTAAGCTTAGAGTCAGTATACTGTATCTGAATGGAGTATGCAGGTTTAACTTAGGCATGATATCTCAGAGGGCTGGCAGGATACAACTGTGTTTCAAATTTGGGAGCTTATGATGTTTAAAATCAGATAATAAATCTTTCTTTGCAGGTCCTTGATGCTGATTTGGGTCTAGTCGATCTTCAAGCCAAGATTTCACAAATGGAATCAAAGATACTCAGTGGGAACTTAAGCTGAAGTACATCCAGTACGGTTATTAATTGCTCAGGTATAAGATATACCTACCTCATAATGTCCCATAATACTGGTACCTCATAATGCTGGTGTGATGGTAAAGAGGCTTTGCCATGTCCCATAATACCGGTACCTCATAATGCTGGTGTGATGGTAAAGATACATGTCCCATAACTCACTCATGTTACCTCATAATGCTGGTGTGATGGTAAATAGGCTTTGCAATACAATACTGATTTCAGTACAAAGCGAACAATAAATATTTGACATTCAGAAAATAGTTTTCATACAACCCTTTTTCATTCCATAGTCATCATTCGGACAGTATGCATTTGTTATCACTTACTTTTGTTAAAGAAATAGGAAGAAGAACCAGAAGGTTAGTGTTGTAAGTTTGTGTGACAATAACTCCACTTAATGTGATCAATAGTTGCAAAATGACATTTTTTTCTGGTAACTAGTACTCTATAACTAAGTCATGTAACTTCTAAACAAGGCTAAAGGTTCACAGTTTGTATTGCTACCAAAACTGCATATTTTCTGTTAACCACTGAGAAAGTATGATGCGAATTTGAATCAAATTACAAGTAACAACATTGTCAGCTTCAAAACATAATTTTGAGATTGTGCAACAGTTCCAACAGTAAGGATAAATATTTAATATTATGAGTCTTGTTTGAATATATGGTGTTATACCAAGAGTTGCAGCCCTGTACCATTGTCACTCAGAATTGTACCTCATCATATTTATCATCCAAATCTGATGTCAACAGGAGATTGGCTGATAGAGATGATAGAAATTTCATTTGGGTGATATAAAGATATAACACCCTAGAATTATCACTGCAATAAAACTGCATATTAATGACATGACCACTGAATTCAACTGACATCACAATTTTTTCCATTGAAGCTGTAATGTTAGACCTAAGAAACCTATTATTGTATACAATCTGAAAAAAAGATGAATGATTTGGATGATAAATCACACTTGTCAAGAAAAGTATAAACTTTATCAACCTGTGTTGATTTATTTGATATCCATAGACACTCAGGTGAGATTCTCCATGTTTTGCAGTATTTGCTCTTACAGGCAGAATGTGTACCCAATATTATTATCATCATCATCATCATTATTATATTTAAAATGCTTGGAGTATTTACAATTCATTTCCAAGAGCCCCATGATCATGCTTCCAGCAGAGCACAATGGCCAATTCTTGTTACATGAACTCACTGTTGAAAGCCTAAACTTGATTATTTCATGGTCAGTGGGATGTATCCAGAATATTTACTTACTTCAGCATAAAATAACTTTCATATTCCTTCTAGCTGGTTTAACTTTTATATCCAACCAGTCAGTGTGCGACATAGTTTCCAAATTTTCCAGCCAGTCGGGGGAACTATGCCTGAAAGTTACTAGCCCACAAAATGATTCACTAGCCTGAAATTTGAATGTTGACACAGGTTTCATTATTAGGCTGCTGATATGATGAAAATGTTTATCAGGCCATAATCTTGCATGATTTAAAAGTGTGTTATAACAGTGTTCACAGGAATGGTGTCTGTCTGACCCATTGAAAATTCACAGGACCCATAGAATAAAATTAAATACACATTTGAGATTTAACATTTCTTATAATTGGCATTGAAATTATTAACAAACATAAGATTTATAAACAGCAAACAAGTGTCACATGCCACATATAACAACTTCAGTCAAAGTCATTGTGAAATATACAGTCGGACACTTGGGCTGGCATGTTGTTGACTTCAATCGGACCGTTGGCGAATTTGCCGGATTTGTCTGAGGGTCCGACGCTATTCATGAACACTGTTATAACAAGGAAAACTGATTTGTATGGATAGTCAACTTCTTTATTGCAATGAGTGCGATGTTTTGGTGTAGGTCACTTGCTTGATAGCGGTGTTAGTACCTACACGAAGCGTCGCACTCATTGCAATAAAGAAGTTGACTATCCATACAAATCAGTTTTCCTTCATCTTCACAACTTCTAAAATGCCTCTCAAAGAAACTGTTATCACAAGTCTGAAAGAGTGATGTACTAGTATTTACTAAATGACCCCATGAAAATTCACTAGCCAGTTGGGCCAATGACTGTGGAGATTTACTGGCCTGACAGAATTTATACTAGCCACCGGCTAGCGGGCCATGACTATTTTGCACACTGCAACCAGGGCCCATTTGCAGAAAGATAATTATTGCTACAACTATGTTAGAGTATGGGAGTTAAGATCACCATTCAGGAAAGTTCACTGTGCATGGGGCCCCAGTAATTAATTAATCATCACCAAGTTAAATTAAATGATACTTGTGTTAACATGACTGAGTAGGATTTCTGACCAGTATTTATTCTCATATTAGTATTTATTTGTTGATTGTACATAATTTGTATTGTTTTGAATTGGTTTGAAGACGCATTTTCCTAAAACATTTGGGTCAACATTTGGTGATTTAGCTTCCTAAATGAAATTCCTAATGCAAACCAATAATTGTGATTTGAAACTATGATTGTTTGTTAAACAACTTTTATCCTAAGTTGAATAAAATTCTGAGATTTAAATGTTCAGTTGGCAAGGTAAAATTATGAGGATTCGCAATCTTAATCTTTCTCTTTATTCAATTTACTTTTTTGTTTAAATTGAAATTCAGCAGTACATTTTCACTGCAAACGGCTATAGGAGATATCACTCAGCTTAGATCAAGCGATGACTCCAAATACCGGTATATATCGCTGCAATGAATATGCATATCAATGCTTTGAAGACCATTATGATGTCATCAGTTATTATCATGTCACAATCCTATGACATCACTGATCTTTCTGCTTCTGAAGCAAGTAAGCAGTACTTTTACTGCTCAAGACACAACTATTTAGTTTAAAAAACTGAAATTGTTGGAAGAATGATTTTAGAAAATATATGGAAGCTAACACAAATTTCTTTTGATAAAAAAATTATCACTTCATGCAAATATATTTAAATAGAAAAGATTGGTGAGATTCTGTTTTGGCTGAAATAAACTGAATTACTTGTTGAATCAAAAACATTTTGTCCTTCATCAAAATGTTCAACATCAGTGATTTTTTGCTCAATGTAAGTACAACCCAAGTAAGTGAAAAATACTGTCCATTCAGCAAACAACTTTTAAAAAATGATTGCATTTTTCTTGATATGTATTAAGATGCCCGTTTATTTCTACATGATCCACGTGCCATTGTGAAATGAAATATTATATTTGTACATTGTTTTTAACATGATTTGCACTGTTCTTATGAATATTTAATCCTGAAGTTTTTATATTTCTGAGTTCACTTATGTTTGATATCTTGTATTTTTTAACTTTTAGTTCAATTTATGTTTTAACGTTGTGTTAATATTTTGACACACGTCAATGTTTTATATTCTACAATGGAACCACATGGCTTCTGAAGTTACTTTACTGGTAAAAAAACCAATATTTTGGAGTTGGTTATATGATCATGCAAAAATATACATGATATACAGAGATGCCAACCCTTACGCTTTAGGTGTAATTATTACGATTTTGACCATTAAATTACGCCATTACACTTAATCTGCGAAAATTACGCTTTTCTACTCGTTTTACGAAAATCAATAAAGTGGATAAATTTTCACAGGGAAGTGTTTCGTAACGCACAGGTGCAGGGGTGCAGAAATGGCCTTGCACCGATAGGAATCGCTTACTCTTAGCATCGCACTCATTCCAATTAACTTGCAAGGAATTAAAGTATTTTGAGTCACATGACCAAATTTTTTCGATGTATGTAGCTTCATAATGATTGGTCACATGTGTTTCTGTATAGAATCTTCCTTTCATGAAAACTTGTACCATGTTGAAGCGATCGGCAGACAAGTATTACACTTTTAAGGTCCAAATTACACTTTTTGACCTCTAGTAATACACTTAGGCCCAAAATAGGGTTGGCATCTCTGGAAATATCATCTTCCCAGGGAGAGGACGTTTCTGGGTTTGAACCCTAACCATATCATATCAGAGGATGTTAAAAGATCGTACTTGTTGTTACTCTGCCTGGTGCTTGGCATTGAAGGGAATGATCTTTTAGGCATACCCCTAGTCTGTCTCACAGTCCCTGAACCACATTATTTTCCCTACTGCCTAGACCTCCCTACAATGCTATGTCCCCATGTTCAGGAATCTCTCCTGAGATTGGCTAACATACCTCCATCAACCGCTAGATTGAATTGTGAAAATGTTTACATCAGTGATAAGGTTAAAAACAAATCATTTATGACTGAAAAAACAGCCATACAGAACAATGACACCTGTACATAAACACATACACCTTCAACAAAGTTAAGCCATGATTATCACCTTGATTAGGTACTTGATGTGGTGTCGGTTGTATAAGAATCCATGAAGTCATATGTTTCATTGATTCAAGAGATACACTTTTTTGTGCTCTTGTTAGTTTTAGCATTCTTAGTGCTTGTATGTTCATGTGTCCAGTGCATTTTGTTGCGTATATTGTTCAACCACTGCGTGTATGCAGTCTGCTTCAGATGTATATATACTACTCACCATGTACTTTAGAGACAAGTACATTCCAAAGAATGTCCCATCTTTTAAGATGATAGGTGATCTGTCGTGACATAACATACCGGTACCAACAGTTATGTGGAAATATTTTTTGTAACCACATACCAGGGCTCCAGATAATTTTTCAACATCAGGAGTACTGGAAAACCTTAAGTGTACATTTAGAGTACTGAATGGAAATTAATGGACTATCAGTAATCTTGTGTTTCGTTTCATATATGCACCACGATATTGCTACTCTTGTGTAAACAGGTCAATAAACAATACAACAATACTTTTTTCAGATAAATATGCCTGTAAATGATTATAAGACCGTACTCCATTGCTGTGGTGCGTATCTGCTACGTTTTCTAAATTATTTCCTACCGTATCGTGCATATTTTTTATCCGTACATACACCGATACGGCCCTTATCTGGAGCCCTGCACTTACGGAGAAAAATGTTCATCATGCCTTCAATTTCTAATGTTCAGGGCCTAGGTTTTGAAGCTCTTTTAGTGCTAAGATGGTCGAAAGTTAATGTTCATGTGTGGCACTTACGACTATCTTAGTGCTAAGAGAGCTTCGAAAATCTAGGCCCAGTGTCATTATTCCTATTACTCTCAGCTATTACTTCTTATTGATGACAATATTGATCTGAACTAACTGATAGCTATACACTTTAGTTACTTTAACCAGCAGACATTTTTGGTGTACTTCTCTCACTTGTTCCCTTGAATCCAGTTTCATCAATTATCAATACAAAGTCAAGCCTTGGCACACATACAACAGTAATCCATGGTTTACCTTGATTTATTCATGTATACAAAAATACCTATTTTGGAATAAAAAAGAAATCCTAATAAAAATGTACTATATACATACATAAGAGTCTTTGTTATCTGTTTCATGGTCACCAGAATGAATGTTTTCTTTTTATAACTGCAAAATCTGCAACAACACAGCCTACTTGTATTCTGACTATATGTCTCCAACGCTTTCAGTTTTCTGTGAAACCAGACTTTTTATAAAACTCTCTATAGATGCTTGATCCCAGTCTATGATTAAAATATGTCACAGGCATCTGGCTGAAGTACTATTGACAGTGTTTTGCGACCTTGAATCCAGCAATATGCTACCCTATTGTCTGTGACCCTATCTTCAGCAATATGCTGTCTTGTCTGTGTAGTCATGACCCCTGACTTCAGCAATATCCTTTCAGGGGTCAGTGGCCCTTGACTTCAGCAATATGCTATCCTGTTGTCCGTGAACCCTCACTTCAGCAATATGCTATCCTGTCTGTGAACCAAGACTTCAGCCATATGCTATCCTGTTGTCTGTGAACCAAGACATCAGCAATATGCTATCCTGTTGTCCGTGAACCCTGACTTCAGCAATATGCTATCCTGTTGTCCATGAACCCAGACTTCAGCAATATGCTATCCTGAGGACCGTGGACCAAGACTTCAGCAATATGCTATCCTGTTGTCCGTGAACCCAGACCAGCAATATGCTATCCTGTGGTCCGTGAACCCTCACTTCAGCAATACGCTATCCTGTTGTCCGTGAACCGTGACTTCAGCAATATCCTTTCAGGGGTCAGTGGCCCTTGACTTCAGCGATATGCTATCCTGTTGTCCATGAACCCTGACTTCAGCGATATGCTATCCTGTTGTCCGTGAACCCAGAATTCAGCAATATGCTATCCTGTTGTCCGTGAACCCAGACTTCAGCAATATGCTATCCTGTTGTCTGTGAACCCTGACTTCAGCACTATGCTATCCTGTTGTCCGTGAATCCAGAATTCAGCAATATGCTATCCTCTTGTCCGTGATTCCAGAATTCAGCAATATGCTACCCTGTTGTCCGTGAACCCTGACTTTAGCGATATGCTATCCTGTTGTCCGCGAAACCAGACTTCAGCAATATGCTATCCTGTTGTCCGTGAACCCAGACTTCAGCAATATGCTATCCTGTTGTCTGTGAACCCTGACTTCAGCACTATGCTATCCTGTTGTCCGTGAATCCAGAATTCAGCAATATGCTATCCTCTTGTCCGTGAACCCAGAATTCAGCAATATGATATCCTGTTGTCCGTGAACCCAGACTTCAGCAATATGCTATCCTGTTGTCTGTGAACCCTGACTTCCGCAATATGCTATCCTGTTGTGTGTGGACCCAGACTTCCGCAATATGCTATCCTGTTGTCCGTGAACCCTGACTTCAGCAATATGCTATCCTGTTGTCTGTGGACCCAGACTTCAGCAATATGCTATCCTGTGGTCCGTGAACCCTCACTTCAGCAATACGCTATCCTGTCTGTGAACCCTCACTTCAGCAATGTGCTATCCTGTCTGTGAACCATGACTTCAGCAATATGCCATCCTGTTGTCCGTGAACCCTCGCTTCAGCAATATCATTTCAGGGGTCAGTGGCCCTTGACTTCAACGATATGCTATCCTGTTGTCCATGAACCCTGACTTCAGCGATATGCTATCCTGTTGTCCGTGAACCCAGAATTCAGCAATATGCTATCCTGTTGTCCGTGAACCCAGACTTCAGCAATATGCTATCCTGTTGTCCGTGAACCCTGACTTCAGCAATGCACTATCCTGTCTGTGAACCCTGACTTAAGCAATATGCTATCCTGTTGTTCGTGAACCCAGACTTCAGCAGTATGCTATCCTGTGTTCCATGTGACCCAGACTTCAGCAGTATGCTATCCTGTTTTCCATGTGACCCTTGTTCTGTGATCTGCCAGCCAGTAACACATCCCGGTACCACAGATGTTCACAGATTGAGTTCAAGATTGGCAGGACATCACTCAGATCATTTCGGCTGTCTGTGTGATGGTATTCTGGAACATTCTTAATCTTCAGTATAGGTATTTTCCATGTGCTCTCAAATTCACGGATGTCTCTCTGGGTAATCTCGCTGTGGGCATGCTGATCAAATCTGAACTGAGTTAAGTAGGAGTTGACAAAAGTAGCCCTCAAGACAGACAATTTCCATGACATTTATTGGGAACAAATAGGCCACAGTAAAGAAATGTAGTGTTGAAGGAAGACAATTTCCAGGCCATTCCAATTACAACTACTACAAAACTGCATATACATATACTACCTGAAATATAATGCACTGTCCGATATTTTTTGGCTCTACATTGAACCTGTCATGCCATGGCCCTTAATGTCTGTTGACTAATATACATAATATATAATTAAAATATATATAATACATAAAAAACCACATTAGACAACACAGTTGTGTAAGCTACGTTCTTAGCACTTTCAATATGACGATATATATTTTTCATGATTTTTAAACAATAATATAATGCCATAAACGATTTAAGTAGTCTGGATTATTTTTATCAAAGCACAGTAACCATTACACGCGTTCTGAGTGGTTTGTCGTATATTCGCACATAACAAGTATCGAGATGAGGACGAGTCTTCTTGGAGGTTACGGAAACGGGCGAGTGGTGACGAATGTACACTACTATGTCTAACTTACCAACCAGAACATAAGAGACAAGCCAGCTCACATCACTCACCTAGCCATAGTGCAATGTTGTCTTAACAAGACCTTTTTGGATAGACTCTGGCTAAGTGAGAGTGAACCCGCCTACATGGTGGGTTGGCAATATCATCAGCATGGGAGTCAGTCCCATTGATCAAGATTGAGTTAGCATGAAATTCAACATTGAAAAACTGACTAACGCACAAAAAGTATTTGAGGATGAAGCCCACGTGAATGGACCAGTTTCATGAGGCTAAAGATATCCTAAAGTCAACATTCAAACAATTATTTTCAGTTGCTGTATGTTATCACAATTAGGCCAGTAGACTTTACTGTATTGTTCTTCACATGACAAAGGATACTTGGTTCCGATGACTATTTTACACACACCATCATCAGGATCAGTGAGTCTAGTGATGAGCTGGGGGATCTCCTCAAAACTGCCCTTGTCCACGAACGAGTAGAGGAGGAGGACCCCGTCCATCTTGTCCACACAGGCCTGGAAGTATGTGATACAATGTAAACAAGTTCTACACTGAGGACTTGGCGTATGATACAAGTGATTCATAGCTGACTGGGTATATGATACAAGATGTACATGGCTGACTTGGTGTATGATACAAGTGATTCATAGCTGACTGGGTATATGATACAAGATGTACATGGCTGACTTGGTGTATGATACAAGTGATTCATAGCTGACTGGGTATATGATACAAGATGTACATGGCTGACTTGGTGTATGATACAAGTGATTCATAGCTGACTGGGTATATGATACAAGATGTACATGGCTGACTTGGTGTATGATACAAGTGATTCATAGCTGACTTGGGTATATGATACAAGATGTACATGGCTGACTTGGTGTATGATACAAGTGATTCATAGCTGACTGGGTATATAATACAAGATGTACATGGCTGACTTGGAATATGATATGATAGCGACTTCATAAATTGTACACTTTGTGAGTGACAGATTGTATGACATATTTGGCTATATAAAAGATATGGTGACACCACATTTGTACATTGTATTAATGTATGGCTGATCAGCTTGACATGTGAGTGACAGATTTTATGACATATTTGGCTTATATAAAATCCCTGTCTCCAATATAACAGCATCAGAGCAGTACACCAGAAATTTGCTTCACTGATTGTATTAATGTATGGATTCAAACTCCAGCCATCAGCGTGAAAATCCCATGCTTCAACAAGGATACCATAGGCCTGCTTAGTATAAGAAGCAAAACACACTAAAATCTAAGAGATTGAATTAAAAGAAAGGTCTTTTCAAAAAGACACATGGACATACCGGGAGAACATGATCAAACTTCCTCAGTGCATTCTCCCCAGCATCCCACAGCTGAATGTTGAAGAGCACTGTCTTGTTCAGTTGAAGAATCCGAGCTGGCCAATATACAGTGCTTGTCTGAATTCCTGCAAATTAATGAATGAGTTTGGTTTAACACTGCTTTGAATGGTACTGGAGCCACAGCTTGTGCAGATGAGTGAGTTGGGTTAACACCATGTTTAGTAATACTCCAGCAACATCATGGCAGGGGACACCAGAAACATACTTCACACCTTGCATCCATGTGGGGAATCAAACCTAGTCTGTCATACAGGCCATGAAGCAAATATATCAAAGAAAGCCCATGCAAGTCTAGAAAATGTGACAAGTCTAGATTTCCACAGTTTCTGAAAATGAAGAAAGTCTCAGGGCTCCTATTCATTATATATATTTATTTTTTTTACTATGAGGTTTTTTCTGTAAAATATGTTCATTTCAGAGACTAGTTGTTAGTCTCAATCAAACCCATCCTCGATAATCTCCGGGGCATACATTACGATAAATCTCCACTAAACCCTGATGTACTAGGGCTCGGCCCCATGATTTTATTATCTCCCTTGGCTGGCTTTTTATCCAATCAGGTGTCTATGCTTGGAAGTTGAGCCTACCAATCACAACTCACTTTCGCTTCTTTTATCTAACCGATTGAACTTGGCAACATAATTGTTGCAGAGGTACTCTGAAAGAGGTTGAAAGAGTTCTTGCATATATTTTTTAAGGATTCACACCTGTCAATTTGTCTGTATTATTTCCCCCAAAATCTGAGTCACACTGTGAACAAACCTTTGCGACTGCGACCGCTATCTTTGGCAAGCTCGGCTGTAACGGTGGCTTAGCTGATTGGCTACTGTGAGATCCAGCAAAGGGAGGTAATAAAATTATCTGGCAGAGCCATAGATGTATCCAGGGTACTAGTGGAGATCTTATCGGAACGTATACCCTGAAGATTATCAGGGATGACTCAAACCCTGGCCTTGGCATTATGAGCAAATACTTTAACCACTTAGCTTCCCAAGTACCCTTTGTGTAGAAGATGAGGGCCCTCACTGAACAGTTTACAACTGTTGTAAAACTCAAGAGCATGAGTATTAGGTCTGGGACAAGTCCAAATTTACTTCTGAGACAACCAAACATATTACTAACCCTACCCAGGTAGGCTCTGTAGGATAATCCAATTGCTATAGATATGTCTGATTGACATTTTACCGAAGCTCTTGCAAATCTGTTCAACAACACATGTAAAACAATCTGATCATGCCCGCACTGAACTTGACTGAACCTTCATCTTTACTCGTATATATAAAACTCAGAATGCGCACAGTCAGAAACAACGGTGAAAATTAACAACTTGTAGAGTAATAATGGAGAGTTGTTATTGTCATTAAACAATCTATCACATGATTAATTGTTGTTACCTGGGAACTTGAAATTGAGTACAATCTGAGTTACCTGTCCTAGGCCCAGTGGGTATGCATTGTTTGCAATTTCCTACAGGGGTGCCAATGGCAGTGCAAGAAACATAATGGCACAAAGGAGATACAGACAAAACACCCAAAGAAGATACAGACATCTAAGTTCTAACTCATGGTTGAAAAAATATTCACCCAGTTTGACTATGATCCTTGTTGCCACACTTAACAACTGCTTAAACACCAAAGTACACACTTTATCAGTTCACAGTGTCATCACTGAAAAATGCTCAATCTCTTGTATGGTCATATTTTTCTTCAGAGATAGGTGTATCATATTTTCTAGTTTTTACTGAAGCATGTTTTTCCATTACCTCCATCCCATAATAAACCATCTTATTTACAACCTTTACATGTGACAAAATATCTGTCTTTTTATCATGACCCCAAACTTCTTCCAGTCCACAAAACGACCAAAAGGCCCATCAGTTACACAGATACCTTATGTCTCAGAATGAGCTGAATGTACATTGTTGCCACTCAACTTGGCTATTGTTACCATTTTTACCCACAATGATCTTAAATGACATTCTTACCATTCAGCTTGGCTACTATCATAAAAGTTAATTGATGTTTTGCAATGGGCTGAAGGTTCACCACTGAACTAAACTACAGTTACCAGTTACCTGATGTTTCACAATGTGCAGAAGGTACATCGTTGCCACTCAGCTTGGCTGCCGTGCTTGTCTTTCCAACTCCAGACTTCCCCACAAGAAACAACTTATAGGTGAATTCTTCCAGAGGAGGAATGTTTGGCCTCTCAAGTAACCCTGAGACAAAATCAGCAAAAAGTGCTCAAAACAAAATTGTCTGGTATCCATCTCTTCAAGGATTTACACAACAAAAAAGCTTGGAATCAGTTCATGTAGACATATTTCATTGATGAAACTTGATAAAAATGTTTGGAAAGTGAAAGAATGTTATTTACCAAATGTCTTTCTCCTCAAACCATTATTCTGCATAAAGTTGTTGAATATCTCCCTTCCTTCTTGGCTGCGATACCAGTCTAACTGAAGTAACGATCCAGGGGAGAACATCGCGGGACGATGGCAGTATTAACCAATATTTCAAAATTACTTCCCTCGGGTTAATTTCAAGTTACTGCCACTGGTGTCCCCCCGCTGGGGCCTGTCTCATGGAGCTTGCTTAATTTTCCATTCGTTGGACATGCAAAGATGGAAAAGATTAACGGTTTGATCTACTTATATGATATTCAGAATTCAGTGTGTATAAATAGCTTTATGTATCTCATTTTGACACAGGCGAACTTCGTAAACTTCTCAACATGCATGGTAAACAAAAGGGAGATAACTCTACTCAAAACTTTCCCTTGGTGTACCGCTATTGATAAACGAACCAAAAGGGCTGCTGAAAGTAATAAACTTTTTGTTGGAATATTTTATTTCAAAGATCAGTAGTCCACACTCCCGGAACAGTGGGAATTAAAACATCCTAAAATAGAGGTTAGATCACGTTTTTTTAAAAATGCAGAGGCAGCCAGAGCATATTTGTCTTGTTGATTTATTTTATCTCTTTTCAAATGAGGGTTTTCGGACACTTAAGAACGTCCGTTTTGTTTCTCGAATATTGCTTGGGCAATTGTAAAACACGTCACTAACTTATTGAAGACAACTCTATGTTACATACAAGCCATCATCCGAGTTTTTACAATATCTGTGAGACGCAGATTAAAACACTGCTGTGGAATAACGTATAGCATCCGAAAGCCTATGATCCGACGAGAATTTTACGTTATGGAGTGACCTTTAAAAATCACATTTTGTGAATGACGCAGATGATAAAGCAAATGTCTACTTTGCAGGTCACGAAATCACGAGGGAGTGAGTAGGGTTTGACGCTGCTGATAGAATTGATCTCAAGCAACCCATGGAATCGGGTGGTCAGGCTCGCTGACGGCTGAAGTATGTCATCGTGTCCGTATTGCGTTGATCGATGCTCATGATGTCAGTCACTGGATTGTGTGGTACTACAGACTCGATTATTTACAATCCACTGTCGTATAGGCATTATAGCTGAACATTGCAGCATCAAACGACACAGACATTTAATGCTGCCATCTTGACCACGTTTCATCTTAATGTGGGAAGTAATGAAGGATACAAATCTATGGTCACTACCTTGGCGAAATTAACGCGCACTGACCATTTCCCATACGCCGGATACTGCAGTGCTGTACGCGGAATACCATGAAATGTTTCTAAGGTACGCAAATGTTAATGTCCCCACGATGGTAAACACACCAAGCATGAGAAGAGATAAATAAGCGTTGACGACAAACATCCCATAAATGAATGCTTATGTCTGTTATAATTAATACCAATACACATGCACGTGTCGCAGTAGCGCCGCACACGTGCATACATGTATGATTCATGGGTTACCAGCACCCAACTGGTTCTCACATAGTTCACCGGTACTGCTACTTTCACTTTTCATATCGTGTACTGTCTATGGCTCTGCTGTCTATGTTGGTTTGTGACACAAAAGCGGCAATGGTTCAAGTTCAAGGGACGTAGGAACAGACGAAACCGTATCTACCTGACCATAACTACAATTTAATTTTGATTTCCAATACTTTTCATAAATTAACCACCCTACCCCACCCTCTGAAAACCGTTCCTACACCCCTGAAGTTTCTCAGCCAAGCAGTTACAATATTTCTGTAGCTCACAATTCACTATTAACAATGTGTAGACAGTCTATTCACCCGTATTCACGAGTGTTTCAATGGTCATTTAATAAACCTTCAGGACCCCACCCCGGATCGGCCTATGCATATCATCCGTGCCGGATCCATACACCTCATCAGCTGGCAGTTTGACGCGACAGCGAAAATATTGATAATCAGAGTGAGTTAGTGAGTGAGTATGGTTTGGTGCCACCTTTAGTAATATCACGATGGGGAACACCAAAAATGTGCCTGAAATATTGAACCCATGCAAGGAATTGAATCCGAGTCTTCCGCGTGACGGGCGGAGGCTTTAACCTGGCATAATTAGGAAAATAGACGGACACACTTAAATGCATTTTCTTCAGGATTTTCCTGGTATCTGTGCAGAAAGTACATTAGACATACGTGCCAAATAGAATGATATGTCGTCCGTCAGTAAGCGTCACTGTTTGCATGTATTGGCTCATCGTGTCATGGATCAATTCTTCTTCGTCCCAGTTTTCCATGTTCTTACTGCCGATGACATGTCAAAAGTTATGGTCATCCTAAAAGTCAAGACTTCCTGATTTGAGGACTTGCAGTTGGTCAAACAAACTGGACTTTCTCGGGATGATAAGAAGGAAAAGGTGAGTGAACAAATAAAGTATTTTTGTTTCTGTTTTGAAGTTACTGGTTGAAGGTACATGTATTTTTGTCGTATTTTGCATGTAGGTCTAGTATTGTAATACTTACGTATGGCAAGTGAATACAAGGCACATAAACCAATTTTCAATAAGTTGCATGTTCTGTGTCCCATTGAAGTCCAGTTTGTGTACCTGTAGTCCTGCCCAAGACTTCTAATCGATCCTAGACATGATCCCATAAAGTCAACTTTGACATGATCCCCTGAATTCCTCTCAAGACGAGATCACCTGAAGTAGTCCCAAGACAAGATCCCCTTGGTCCATCCTTGACTAGATCCCCTGTAGTCCACCCCATCAGTCTACAAATTCATCCCTGGTCCTGGCGAGCTGGATCATCTGTACTCATCTCTAAACAGCGTTGCAGTTGGCCTTAGCCTTTATCTAGTCCATCTTGACTAGATCCCCTGTAGACCATCCCTAGACTAGATCCCCTGTAGACAATCCCTAGACTAGATCACCTGTGGTCCACCGGTTCAGTCCACAAATTCATCCTCAGTCCAGGCTAGCTGGATCATCTGAACTCATCTCTAAACAGCGTTGCAGTAGGCCTTAGCCTTTAACTAGTCCATCTTGACTAGATCCCCCTGCATACCATCCCTAGACTAGATCCCCCGTTGTCCACCCCTTCAGTCCACAAATTCATCCTCAGTCCAGGCTAGCTGGATCATCTGTACTCATCTCTAAACATGGTTGCAGTTTGCCTTTATCTAGTCCACCTTGACTAGATCCCCTGTAGTCCACCCTAGACAAGATCCCCTGTAGTCCACCCTAGACTAGATCCCCTGTAGACCATCCCTAGACTAGATCCCCTGTAGTCCACCCTAGACTAGATCCCCTGTAGTCCACCCTAGACTAGATCCCCTGTAGTCCACCCTAGACTAGATCCCCTGTAGACCATCCCTAGACAAGATCCCCTGTAGTCCACCCTAGACTAGATCCCCTGTAGTCCACCCTAGACTAGATCCCCTGTAGACCATCCCTAGACAAGATCCCCTGTAGTCCACCCTAGACTAGATCCCCTGTAGTCCTACCTAGACTAGATCCCCTGTAGTCCACCCTAGACTAGATTCCCTGTAGTCCACCCTAGACTAGATCCCCTGTAGTCCACCTTGACTAGATCCCCTGTAGTCCACCCTACACTAGATCCCCTGTAGTCCACCCTAGACTAGATTCCCTGTAGTCCACCCTAGACTAGATCCCCTGTTGTCCACCCCTTCAGTCCACAAATTCATCCTCAGTCCAGGCTAGCTGGATCATCTGTATTCCATCCCTAGACCCGGTTGCAGTTGGCCTCTATCTCCCTATGCCATCCCTAGACCCGGTTGTAGTTGGCCTTTATCTAGTGCACCTTGACTAGATCCCCTGTAGACCATCCCTAGACCCGGTTGCAGTTGGCCTTCACCATCATCACCAAGACTATTTATTAAGTTGGAATAAACATACAATATGATTGCGTATGAATGAGGGTATGTGTCTAGTTATGCACGAAAACAAACTGAAACCTTTCAGCTCATTTCAACACAAGAAAAAATAAGTAAACACAGAATCAGAATTTCATGTTTATTTCTTTCTTTTTTTTATAACATGACATGGTAGGTATATGAAGAAAATCCACAAACACTTAATTCAAATTCAAACAAAAATATACTATAATAGCCATATGAAAATATGATTCATTTTTTACTCATGATGATCAACAAAACAAAATGTGACCTAGTAAATAGAAGAATATAAAACAAAATAAATATTTCTCTACAGACAATGGTATGTCCCGTGGTCCCCCATACTGTCAACTTACCCAGTCTAAGTAAACTTAGGCTCAGTATTATTCGTTACACTGCTATACTGTATAGCAGTGTAACGAATAATACTGAGCCTAAGTTTACTTAGACTGTCAACTTACCTATCGTTTCAACATTTTTTAGTTCAATGAAACACAGATTTGAACAGTAATTCAGTTACATCAAGTATCTCAGTTTGTGTAAGAGGAAATCCAAAGATGTTCACAAGCATTTATGCTGAAAAACTTAATATTGATAAAAATGAGGGATATCGGGCTGGGACGGGTAATCAAAGATCAAACAATGTAATAAGTTATTCTTTCAAGATTAAAAGGTTGTATTGTCTTTGAAGATTTAGACATAATTTACAGCCACCTGGTTTGAATATAATACATGGTTAAGATATTGAAAAACTCAAGTTTATCCTCTGAGCTGAAGAATATATTGCCATTTCTTACAAATTTGATGACAGTAATTAACATAACGGGTATCAGGGTAGGGTAACAGAGGGTGGGGTACCTGGGTAGAAAATTTGGACCCGTCCCAGCCCAAGAGGGATTCAAATAAAACATCAGCAGATCCTGGCACTGCTAAGGAATGCAGCCCTGCAAAGATAACAGGCCTGCCATAGATAAGTCAAATTGGAAACAAGAGGTATGTCTCAGAGGTAACATCGTCCAAACCTTTGAGAATATTTAACATATAACAGCTCTGGCATCTCTGGTACAATGTAAAAAATGACAAATATTTAGTAGTTCAACATGACACCCACCCACCTTTTTTCAGTTTACAAACAAAACAAAGATTATATAACAAGTTCTGGGGCTTATTTAGCAGCAATTTCTAAATCTGTCAACTTAGAAATGTTTCATCAGTGTAACTGTACACTCACACAATATTTTCTCTGGGAAAGCATCCACAAAATGCTTATTTGAACAATAAAAACATCCAAAGTAAAGTTTAAAATATTACGACAAATAGTTATATATAAATACATGAAGTTCCTCAAAGGCAACATATATTACCTTTACCATATAAACAACTAGGCATGATCGATGAGTATGAAATACATAAATAAAAGATTAAGCAGTGTTAATGTAAAGCAAAATATGTCACTAGAGGTAAGTAATTTTTATTTTGTTCACAAAATGATGTAGACAATAATATCCCAAAGAAACTCACCCCCTGACCATATCTGATGGTAGTGAGTTCAGTTTTACACCACTTTTAGCAATACTCCAGCAATATAACGGCGGGGGACACCATAAAGGGGCTTCACAAATTGTACCCAGGTGGGGAATCAAACCCGGGTCTTCGGAGTGACGAGCGAATGCTTTAACCATGAGACTACCCCATCGCCCCTATCTGATGGTAAGTTCTTAACAAGAGTTGTATGGGACCCGTTCCACAAAGCAAGTAAGACTTTAGTATAGGAGTTACGATTACCCTAATGCTAGGACTGATTTGTGGAATGGGCAACTGGGGTTTTGTGAGCTAATAAAAATGTCTAAAAAATTTCACACGTAATAAAAAGTAGTTACAGTGTTTCAGGTACTGGAAAATTCAATTTTCTTGAAAAAGTGTATGTCAAAATGTTACAAAAATGGAATACATATTATTTTGAGAATCAGTTTATATTTGTCAATGTCACATTTTATAAAATGTTTGTTGTTTAATATGTTAAATATGATGACATCCTTTATTACTTAAAAATGGAGACCCCATTGGATCTGGGGATATGATAATGAAACACTACTAAAGCATCTGAGACAACACAAACATAATGCGAAGGAAAAATAGAAGCAAAAATGTGAAAAAACATAACATATGACAAACTGGACACAATTCAAGAACATTTTCAATTATCAAAATAAAAAAGACAGCAAATATTTTATAATCACATTAGCAAAGTATTTACCAGCAGAGCCAGGGTTTAAGTTTATGTTTCAGATGGTCGGAACTTATTAAAATGAAAGTTAGCAGGATTAACATCACTTTGAACCGTATTTCTGTTATAGTATATCAACTCAATGTAGAGTGAGTGAGTGAGTTTAGTTTTACACCACACTCAACAATATTCCAGCTATATGATGGTGGTCTGTAAATAATCGAGTCTGGACCAGACAAACCAGTGAGTGAGTTCAGTTTTACGCCGCACTTAGCAATATTCCAGCTATATGGCAGCGGTCTGTAAATAATCGAGTCTGGACCAGACAATCCAGTAACCAACAGCATGAGCATCAATCTGCGCAATTGGGAACTGATGTGTCAACCAAGCCGGCGAGTCTGACCACCCGATCCCGTTAGTCGCCTCTTACGACAAGCATGGGTTACTGAAGGTTCATTCTAACTCAGACCTTCACTGGTAGACAAGCCAGTGATCAACAGCATGAGCATATATCTACGCAAGTGGGATACAATGACGTGTCAACCAAGTCAGGGAGTCAGACCACTTGATCCCGTTAGTCACTGTTATGACAAGCCTGGGTTGCTGAAGATCAGCTCTAACCGGGATCTTCACGGGTAACTCAATATAGGATTAAAGTTCAACAATGTAGGAGGAAACTTGAACAAGGGAATGATTCTGACCAACCACAAAACATAATCAGTTTTAATCTGGGATTCAAATCAGCCATCAGCAATTTCTGGCACAATAGGAAATGGTTAGTTGAGATTGTCACAACTTTCAGGGTTACTTCTACAACCTGATGTGTTAACAAGGACAAGTTTCTAAATTCTAATAGCTTCTAAATGAGCGAGTATGGTTTTATGGCGCTTTTAGAAATATTCCACCAATATCATGTCGGGGACACCAGAAATGGGCTTCACATATTGTACCGATGTGGGTAATCGAATCAGGATCTGCAGTTTTGATGAGCGGATGCTATAACCATTAGGGTACCCCACCAACCAAAATATAAAAATGAAAATGATGTCAGATATGACTTTCCCGTGTGTGTTTATTTTTTTAATTTTTAATTTTTTTATTTGTTCCCATGGTTACAAAGTCAATAACAAGGGTATATGGTAGCAACAAGCACAGAAAAGGTGAAGATACATTGTTGTAGAGATATAATAATAATTAGTTGCTGAATATTGGGATGAGCGAATTCCATTTACGATTGAATTTCTCGATTTCATTGTTTCTCTTTGAAATAAATTTTTCTACAGAAAATATCTCTTTTAATACCTTTTTATAATTACTGAATTTTGGAATTGATTTTTTTATATAACATAAATTGATATGTTTTTTGGCAGAGATAATGATTTGATTATGCAATGTACCAAACCAAATCAAATATTTTGTGATGTTTATTTTTCGTGGTAAATTGTTATTAATCCAGAGTTCTAGATCATTCCAGAATTTCATGCTTTGACAGCATTCCCAATAAACATGACAAATGCTTGTGTGTTTATTGGTGTATGAACCTTCACTGGGTGAGGTCTAAACTGTATGATATTGAAACTTGCCAGTCTAGAAACAGATTGAGTCAACAGTTTAGATGGGTATCTTTTTTGTGTATTGTTCACTAAGATGAAGATACTCATGAACCAGCGTGTAGTCCAAGTGTCACACTGTACCCAATGTATGCTAAAACACTTGAGTGAAAAGAGATTAAGGGTAAAAGCCTGGAAAACAACTTAAATATTTATTCTTATTCAAAGGGGTTTCCCCATTAATATAGAAGTTGTAGCTCCCTGTTCTGGTGTTTTTCAAGAATACAGTCTCATGCAAAACAATAAATGTCAAAATATGTTATTCACATGCTTATGAATGTCAATTTTGTGAGAAAGCTACCAATGGGGAGCAAGAAGCTGTGTTTTGATCTTTATATATTAGCATATGGAAAATGATGACTGACTGACTGACTGAGTTTAGTTTTACGCCGCTTTTAGCAATATTCCAGCAATATCACGGCGGGGGACACCAGAAATGGGCTTAACACATTGTGCCCATGTGGGGAATCGAACCCGGGTCTTCGGCGTGATGAGCCAACGCTTTAACCATTAGGCTACCCCACCGCCCCCGGAAAATGATGACAATGTCATGGAGTCATGACAAGGAATATTACATGTACCTACATTACTATATAGAGAGAACTTACAGAGGTTACCCTCTGTATTCATGGTCACATCTATAGCTTTCTTAATGTATCAAACATAATTGTCATGGAATTACATAAATATTATATTGTTTTCTAATATATACTCCCACAAAATCAATTCAATTTGCATCATAAAGTTACATATGTCATATATGTTACTTCATTGTTTAACACCAATATTCCAGTTATTCTGTAAAAATAATACAGCCTGGACTAGACAATCCATTAACTGACGTAATGAGCACATTGCTATAGGCAACTGGGATATAATGACATGTGTCAACTAAATCAGTCAGACCACCTGATCCCGGCTGTTGCCTCTTATGACAAGCAAAGGTTCCTAAAGACAAACGTATACCTGGCTCTCCCGTTTTACTGTGTTGGGTGTACTCTGTTGCTATATATGGCAAGCATGGGTGGTGAAGAACAATCATAGCCCAGATCTTCATGGGTTAAGTAAGCAATATTATCATGATAATAAGAAACAACAAACAATCAATTCATACAATAAAGTAAATATTTTACAAACAGCGAAATACTTCTTTTAATGACCAGGATTAAATTTGTCAAATGTATAAAGCCTTTACAGAAAAACTGACACTTCTATTTACAAAAATAAAAGAATAATAAATGTGAACATTAATTAGGGAGTGGTATTTTATAAAAGTCTGAGGGTTAAACAATCTGTGTTTCTTACCCATGATCGGAGGATCCTGGAACAGCTATCAAGGGAAGCAACTCTACATAGCAAATTGCATCATCTGAGACGACTCAATTACCTCTGCTTACACCCCTGCCCCCCAAATGTCTATACTAATGACTCCCTATTCCTCAGAAGACATTTAGTCATTTGATGATCATATATATTAAAAGTAATGGGAGTGTGTGCTGGGATATGATTTGCTTAGAAACGTGATTCATAAAATGGACAATTCATGGACTATTTCCTTCAGGTGAATCCATTTCTTAAATAGTATGTTTTTCTCAATCCTAACTTAAAAGGACAAAACGTGTCATTTAGCAGGGCAAAATGGAAACCATATTAATGAATGTTAAGTTTGATCATTATTGATCAGAATAATTTCAATTCAGTTGTTTTCCACATTCTGGTAAATATGTGTTGTTACTACTGCAACATAACACAATGTATTCGCATTCCACTGTTATGCTGCAGCATTTTTGAGTGACGTCCTGTCTGTCTCACACCTGTGTGAGTCCATGTAGAAAAATTGTTGTTTTTTCACAGGACTCATAACTTTTATTCTCTACAGATGATTAATATCATGTCTTCATACTTGCAGGTGTTGTTGAGCATTTGATGCTCGGTACAATGCTAAAGATGGGAGTTCAAAGGTAAAAATATCCAGGTATCGGTTATCACATCAGTAAAATAGGAGTGGGATTTGGCTGGACACGATGGGCCATGATAACCCTTCATTGTCATGTTGTTTTCTTTGTTTGTTTGTTGTTACGCCATATACAGCAATATTCCAGCTATGACTGTAAATAAATAAGCCTGGACCAGACAATCCAATGCCTGACATCATGACCATTGGCGTATGATGACATGTGTCAACTATGTCTGCGAGTCTGATCACCTGATCCTGTTACTCATCTCTCACAAGAAGCATGGGTGGTTGAAGATCAATTCTTACCCCGGGTTTCCAGTTTTGGAGGGTGCAGTTTACCCTGCTGAAACATTCTTGTCAAAAGTAAACCTGATTCTTCCATATAACTATATTTAATCTGTAATGGCATGACAGATTAACTTCAGGAATATGAAAGAATCAGGTCATGTCGTCGGCAAGACAAACTACAGCAATATGAAAGAACTGGATGTTCCTTAATGCCTTGAGAGTAGTATATGATCAAGCTCACAACAGACAGTAAACACCCCAAAATATCTTGTATACATATGTTTTTGGCGAGTTAGTCCGGCATCTCAATGGACAATACCGGCACCACAGCTCTAGGCTGTTCATCAATGAGGTCTTTCTTTGATGTGCTTGTCTTCAACTTTTCTGAAGTGTCCACAGAACTCTCTTCAGATTCAGGGTCATTGTTTTGTATAGAATAGGATATGTTTCCATATTCCTGAAGAAATGGACACACACCAAGAACAAACTGACAAAAGTCTTTCCTTATTCCAAACCACCCTGAAAATAAAAGTCTCTCATTAGACCAATGGTTAAAAAATGTAATCGACCAACATAACATTTTCATTACCATAGAAAGTACCCTTGGTTTTCAGGATTTGGCCAACTGTTAGTAAATAGTTTAGGATTTGGTTGGTTTGTTGTTTAATACCACACTCAGCAATATTCCAGCTACATGGCTGCGTTCTGTAAATAATCAAATATGGACCAGGCAATCCAGTGATCAACAGCAGGAGCATCAATATACTCAGTTGGGATTTGATGACGTGTCAACCAAGTCAGCGAGCCTGACTACCCGATCACGTTAGTCGCCTTTTACAACAAGCATGGGTTGCTGAAGACTAATTCTAACCCAGATCTTCACAGGTATATTAGTTTAGGAGGACTGACATTTTTTCGAGAATAACTGATGAAATATGATGCATTATGGATCAGCTGTTCTGAGCCAATAAATGATGTTAATCTTAGATTGAGGGATTTACAGCATAAATTCGAAACATACAGATTATCTGTCACTACAAGTTTCAAGTACCAGTAAGTTATTCTGTATATTATTCATGGATATTTTCAGAGAGAAAATGTAGAAAAACATATGAATGTCAACTCTTCAGATTAACCTCACTAAAGGCAGCCATCATCAAGTACTCAAGTTGGGCATTATGAACAACGGATGATGTCAAATCATATTTTCTCAACAATCCACTGTAGTCAAATTGAGAATCTAAAAATAATTTATTGGAAAGTTATTACACATAATCATTCTACCTGTATGGAGAATATTTACGATTCCTAATAAACATGTACAGGCATTTGTCCAGAAGATTAGCATATTTATAAAACACTTGTTATCTAATATAAAACTTACAGATTATGTTCCATTATTCTGATTGGTAGTGAAGCAGTCCTAGCAACGTGATATTGCATCAGTTTGTTTTCAATACCACATAAGGTCTGTTTGACTTGGCTTCAATAGATGGACTGAGTTGAGTTTCACTTATGATTTCCAAAGCATTTTACATTTTCCTCAACAAAAAGGGAACAATGTAAAATATGGAATAACCCATATAAACTACTGAAAAGAACACCCAAATCTTTGTCATCACTACAGTAAGTCAGTCATGCCATGATGGATCAACTATAGAAATATGAAAGAATCAGACATTCTTTGACTTGAGTAGTGTATGTAGGAATAGGCAACCTAATGTTCCAGTAGGAAGCGGTACATACAGTGGTTGCCTCCCTTTGAGCCGAAGGACAGACAGACCAGCGTGATGAGGGACATGAGAAGGGGGACTGTCACAGCTGTGTAGTTTTTGGGGCTGTCAGTATTGTTGTCCATACGGTCGGCAAGTAATATCTGGAAATACATGAAAAAATGTATCTACGGCAACCTGCTAATGTATATAAGGTCCTGAAGGTTGTAACTTCAAGGTCCGTAAATAAAATGTGAGTGTGTGGCTGTTTCATAATATTTACTATTTCATCCATATGACAAAGGGATGGAACCAATAAATGGCTTCACACACTGTACCCATGTGGGTCATTACACCCACATTTATAAGATTGGTTATGCATTGTTAAGCAACTGTCATTTACCTTGACCAACAATGAAGGTCACTGTAAACTGTACCACTGAAATGCCCCATGTTTCTAAGTTATTATGAACTTCATACAAAGATTAGTGCAAAGAGTTTTCCAGCTTATATACCAAATATAGTGCTCCTGGGTGGAATTTAATTTTCAAATATTTTGGTGATGCTATGGTCATTTAAACCAGAGACCTGTTTAAACCCCCTGGGCCTAGATTTTCGAAGCTCTCTTAGCTCTAAGATAGTCGTAAGTGCCATACATTAACATTAACTTATGACTATCTTAGCGCTAAGAGAGCTTCGAAAATCTAGGCCCATATTTCTAACAATGATAAACTGCCATCACTGCACATCTTACTTCAAATACTAGAAGAGGAATGACGAGAAAGGAATAGCCGACGGCCGAGGAAATGTTGCCTCGACGTTGCTCAGGAATAATGTCAGGTGATTTGAGTAGAATGACAGCAAGCACAACAGCATACAGCACACCGATGAGAGCAACACACATGACAATCCAGATAGGAATAAACACAATCTGAAACACAACATTGTAAATACAATCTTGTGGCTGAGTGAACATACATATGTAATGTTTCAAAATCACAAAGTTATGAACATACATTGTTGTGGAATTTTCCACAAATTAGTAAAATCTAAATATTTTTTATATTTGTATACTTATCCTGCTCTACTTTTTTCACAGAGATTTTGATACAAGCAGGCATTCTTATATTCCTCAGGAGATAAAAACATGAAATCTTTCACAAGTATTGATAAATGAGTATGAGGCTATGAACACAGATTATTCATATATCGGTCAAGAGACTGCAAGAATTTCTTTATTTCACATATTCCTTGATCCTATAAGGACCATTCAAAATTTATGGCAAGGGTGATGATGAGTTTTATGGAAAAGCATGTAAAATGTGAATGACACTCCCCCCACCCCTAAAATGTATATACAAAGTAAGTGACCCCCTCCACCCACCTGCATGTCATATACAAAGTCAATGATCCCACCCACCCAACTCCATGTGTCCAAAATTGATCCCCACCCCCTGACCATAACGTGTGACCCTTAAATTCATTATCTTACTCTCTCCCCCCCCCCATTAATAGTGAACTTTCCGTTTGAGCTTCCCTTTCAACAAATGCACTGATTCAGTATTCTGTCTTAGAAGGCTTCATTTATCAAATGATGTCAACATTATTTCAAATTTGAGAAATTACATGACAGTATTGAACACTTACCACCCAGCTCCAGTTGATGATGTTATCCAGTCTCAAAGCCAGAAAAATAAACTGCAGAACATTGACAGAACAAAACAACTCCATCTGGAAAACAAAATAGAAATGTGAATGGCTCTGTTTCATGTTTCATGTCTCTTTGAATGAAAGAGGAAAGCAAAAATGATGCAGGCCTCAGACTCCCACTCTGGTGAAATACATAATAATGGTTATTTATAACGTGCCTGTGTCAGACCCAATTCACTCACACTCCAAATAATATTATCACTCACAACTTAGTGGAGGAGACAAATACAGGCCAAACTAGGCAAAGTTAATAATCTTGGAAATTTGTCACCTTTTCAGGTGTTCAGGCAATCCAGAGGATTTGTCTGAATTTTCACAAGGTGGCAACTGGCAACAGTATTCCATGTGCACGAAGCAATCTCAACATTACATTCATCGTAAATATACAATACATTCTAAGATGCTTCTGTGAAAGATCAAAGGTGCCGACAGTACTTTATCAGACGAAAATGTGCACTTTATGCATTATGTCACTGTGTATTGGCCATTTTAGTCTCCCCCCTCATAATCGAACAACTTTGCATTATGTCACAATGTAAGCGATATCATGATGCATATCGGTTGTCATCGCCTCGCACAGCCTCCTCCAACATTTATGTTTTCCAAGGGTTAAAATGTCTCAATTCGACTCACAAGTTTTCAGTGACACGGTAACGTTCGCAATGTTTACATTCCCACAATGCAATCTAGGAATGTCGCTTGACTACTCAGCTTCATCTCGATGTACTGATCTAAACTTATGTTGGTAGTAGAAATGGGACATTCATCTTGCCCCATATGGTTTACGTTAATCACAGATGTAATTAAAATGATTTAGAGAAGATATTCAATCCGAACGTAAACTGTCATCAAACTGTTTATCGTTTGTTTTTTCTGGTAACGTTCGTCTTAACATAGGGGGACAGACACATCAATAGAACAGCGTGCCAGTTAGCTCTGTGCAAGGATTCTTAATATAGGTCACCGACACCGTCGTTTGTTTTCTGCCTTAAATTAAGCGTCCTCGTGCTTTAACTATAATACTTCAGGGCGAAAGTGTGCTTTATTACACTATACATGGTGATAGATCGAACTGTATTTCTATGCTAAAGATCAAAGTTTTGTTTGTTGTCTAATGCTGTATTCTGTATTCTGCTGTATGGCGGTGGTCTGTAAAAAATCGAGTCTGGACCAGGCTATCCAGTGATCAACATCATGAGCATTGATCTTTACAATTGGGAAACGATGACATGTGTCAACCACAGCGAGTCAGTGAGTCAAACCACCCGATCCTGTTAGTCGCCTCTTACGACAAGCATTGGTTGCTGGAGACCAATTCTAACCCGGATCTACACAAGTCTTGTGTAGATGGTTCTGAAGTTAAGTTGCAACTTACCTCAAAAGACCTTTCATTCTTGACAGCCCAAACACAGATACCAATAGACACGACGGACATAAACATGAGTGGAATGAAGACGAGGATCCAAGAGTGGTTATCCGTCTCTAGATTATCACAGGCTAACACCTCGAACATGAGGAGCAGAAGGTGAAGACCAGTACACATAACCATGGCCTTGTACTGCACATAGCTGTCACCTTCCATCCTGTACAACAACAATACACATACTTTAGGAGGTGAGGTGAGGTGAAATTGGGTTTAACGTCGTGCTTGAGAATATTTCGCTCATATGACGACGTGCATGCGTGTGTATGTGCTGCTGCTTGTTCTAGCCCAGACTTAAGCTGGTTTTATAGTGCGAGCTCACTGAGATACCGTGCCGCAGTGAAGCATGAATACCCCACTCAGACACATTATACTGACTCCGAGTCGACCAGTCCTTGTTGTACCCATTGATGCCGAGCGCCAGGCAGGGACCAACAAGTACCATATTTTAACGTCTTTTGGTATGACGCGGTCAGGGATCATCATACTTTAGGAAAGAGGTGAGGTCAGGTGGAGTTTAATGGTGCATTCAAGATTGCACTTTTAAAGAGGGTGAGTGAGTTTAGTTTTACGCCGCCTTTTAGCAATATTCCAGCAATATCACGGCGGGGGACACCAGAAATGGGCTTCACACATTGTATCCATGTGGGGAATCGAACCTGGGTCTTCAGCGTGATGAGTGAATGCTTTAACCACTAGGCTACCCCACTGCTCCAATCAGGAGTACAACAAAGAGTATATTCTGGAAACATTGTCATGTCTGTAGTTTCTATGTTTATCTTTCTAATTTGATTTAATTTGAACCTGCGAGTTTATCTGTCATGTTGTTCTCATCTGAATTTTGATATTTACCTTACTGTTTTATTGTGCCTATAAGGCAGAAAGTTTGCCTGTGCAATGTAAAATTAATCTTTCTCATTTGCATTGTCCCACTCATCCACCTATCTATTCACTCACTCATTCATGCACCCATGTGCATGTATGTGCTGTGTATGTGGGTGTGCATGCATGTGCACATTTGTGTGACTGTTGGTACTAATCTAAACCGATGCCATATATATAGTTCTTGATAGTCCACTGATTAAACCTCGGGTAATATACTCCACTCAGTTACAGTACACTATGTACCTATGTTGAGTCTAATACATAACAGGACTTATGGTATATCAAAATGCTTCGCATGAAGTTGGCAATTTAAAGGGGAAGTGTACACGAAAATTAACCTTTTTGTCTTGCACTTTTTCATTATAAACAGTGTTTATCAAGTAGTTTTATATCCAATCCCGTACATATATCAGAAGTAACTAATTTATTTTTTGCGTTATATCAATTCATATTTTCAACATTTACCGAGAGTTCTATGGCCACAATAAACACACCATGGCTTATGTCCCTTGGAAATGACGTCATTGGTGCCCAAACGATAAACGAATGACATTGTTAGACCTTATTAGACCCATTTCACGTGGTGCAGGTAAAGGTGTGGTTCTTGTGGTGTCTCGATGCGCAGGCTACTGTTGTAATCCTGCTGTTGCCTGGTTGTCAGGTGCTTATGTGGGCAGTTCTACACTGTGATGACGTTGCAGTTTGAAAAAATGTATACATTGTACTAAAAGTGTTACAAAGTAACCAAATTGTATAACATATTCAACCTGATTCGGTTGCCTTTCCAACAGTATTTTTTTCACTAAAACTAAAACTACATCTAGCTTGCCATCGGTGAAGGTGGGGCATTCTACGTTTGTTACTAAAATTCCTACATAAATCGTACGATATGTCCCTCTTCTTCCACCTTCACTTTGATATCGATAGTACATATCCAAATACATCACGCAGAAAAATGCAATTTGCAGTTTTGAACTCTGTTTGAAATACGTTTTTCTATGATATCATCCGCTCATTGTAGATCAAATAAAACCAGCTTCAGTCTGGGTCAGTACAAGCAGCCTCACATACACACACACACACGCGCATGCACGTAGTCATATGAGCGAAATATTCTCAAGCACGACGTAAAACCCAATTTCACCTCACCTCAAATATACTTCATCGCAAATCTCGCCAGTTTAGACAGATTACTAAATCACCATTCACTGCGTTTTGCGTAATTTATAGTATGTCTTAATTAAAATGTCAAATTTTACTGGGAGAATGGAATTTAAAAGAAAAAGACGTATCATTGTGCTCAGCGGTAGTTTTGTTGTTGTATGATCGAATCACCAATGCTCGTTCTGAAACATTGTCGATGAACAGAGAATTGCTGAGAATGTTTTGGAAAATACGCAAACACAATTAACGTCAAAGTGAATGTTCAGCCATAGAACAGAGTGTTTATAAAATCACGTCACATGTATGTCGGTTATGTTTCGTACATAAAATCAATTGTATAATTTAAAACACCATCTTCCTTACATGAATCCCTGGAATTCCTCATACAGTTCAAAATAAAATGACAAATGGACTCTGTCACCAATAAGAAGTGTTTCAGTGTAATCTAACGAAATATATAAGATGCCGCGTTGGGAAAGGACCACTTGTTTGAAATATAAACAAAGCCAATCTCAGATTTTACACTGTGTATCCGTTCGCCTACTTGTTGCATACACTTGCTCATTAGTTTTAGAACATACATGGGAAAGGTATCGTAGCAAGCGATAGTTAAATAAAATAGGTGTATTCCAATGATTTTCTAGATTCATCACCACATATTATAGTTTCTGAAAGCATGACGCCATGACTGACGCAAACTCACGCACAACGATGACGGTACTTCTCTTAATTTCTGACTATTTCTCTTGGTCACAATGAAAGCAAAAGAAAATAACAACCAGCAGACTGACAGAATTTTCGGACTACTTACATGTCACATTTATGCACATATGTTGCTTGAAACAACGAAAATTTCCTTCGAAAACTCTGGCATTTTCGGATGCGTGTCGCGGTCAGTGAACATGCCATTTTGAAAAAGTCGCTTCCCGATAGTGATGTCATACGGATGTCAACATTGTTATACATAGAATCTATTTGGTATTTTCATTGAGGTGAGGTTATGAATGAAAATACACATGATCAATCGATCAATCCATCCTACTGCTTACATTTTCTGTTCTTATGCTTCTTTCGTATTTTCACAAACTTTTTTTCACTTGATTAAATTTCAGTATTATTATCTTTTGATTTGGGACTAGACAGGCTAAAATCAAGTGGCAACAATTACGTCATAATCGAAGGGCGGTAACTCTGGCCTGTTTAGCTCGGCAAACAAATACCTCATATTGGCATAACATTTCAGCACTTATTTTGAGGGTTATACTTACATTGTAAGAAAAATGAGTGTATATTTTCAAACATTGGTATTAACTAATTAAAACAGTTTACTTTGATTCACATAAGAATAAATGTGATTTATTCGTGAACACTTCCCCTTTAACACAACACAAATTGCAATATACATTGATACCTAAGGGACAGTTCATAACTTATGGCTAGTGTGTGTGTGCGTGCGTGCGAGTGTGTGTGCGTGCATGTGCACAGAATTGCTGACCCCACCTAGTACATCATTACATGCGTATAAAATTGCAGCCCCCTACCCCCATCCACACACACACACACCTCTCACATTGACAATGTTAGAAAGTTTCTGTGCCATCAGCTTATAACTGTGGTTTTTCTACTACAGTGTGCATCAAGAACAAATTTGTAAAAGATTCTTTGTTGTTTCATGACCGTGACCTCTCACCTATAATGTGGGTTTTTCCACCACACATAGCTCCCTACAGCTGCTCCAACTATGACGGTGCCCTTCCATAACCAGATAGGTAGGAATATGACCCAATAGCTCCATGATATTGAGTTATCTTGACGCAGAGCGAATAGAAGTGAGAACACCAACAAGCAGGAGAAAACCAGGAACTTACTGAAATACGAAGTCTTCATTAACATCATTATAATAAAAGCTCATTAAAATCACTTCTATTTCTCATATATGATATCTTCCTCCACATCACATGAATCCTGGGCGAACTGTGATACCTCCTACTGAAGGACGTGTTCTTCAGCCAATCATATATTGGTCAGCTTCATTCATTTACCATTTTGATTTGGAAAGTTTGATTTAAACGGAAAAAACTCATTAAAAACAAATATTTCTTTGATGGAAGTCCCTGTTGGATTAGAATGCCAGAGTGAGTGAGTGAGTTTTAATTATACGCCACTTTTAGCAATATTCCAGCAATATCACTGTGGGGGACTCCAGCAAAGGGCTTCAGACATTGTACCCATGTGGGTAATTGAACCCGGGTCTTCGGCGTTGGATTGGAAGGGAGGAGGTTAATGGTACCCATGTGGGGAATTGGACCACAAGGTCAATAAGAGGAAAGATTTCCGCCCGTAACCCCCGCTTGAAACGTATTCTATTTATTATGATTATTTCAAGGGTTTAGGGTTTAGGTTTAGGCTTTAGATTCAGCATTATGTTAGGTTTTGGGTTAGGGTTAGGATAGGCTTTCTATAAAAAACATCTATTCTTACTATAAATCTTAGGAATAGAATGGTAATAAAACTCTTACCCAATAAGATGCCAGATCGCCCAGAAACTTATGCATTAAAACTATCCATAATAATATAATGGTGCTACCTTAATATTGTCTACTTCAGGACTCTTAGGGACCACAAATTCTAGTTTGTTATAACTGTAGTTTGTGTGAAAGATTGCCTATCACGAAAAACGTTAATCGGTCACAACTTTCATTTTCTATTCATCATATTCTCTGTACACAGATCTAGTGTTTGTCGAGTGTTTACTGAATGAATTCACCATGTTTACATCTGCATGAAAACTTCGTTTAACATTTATCAAGATATGACTAGTATCAAAAGAAGTAAACCTTGGATTGAAGTCTTGAAATAGGTTTTTCAGATTCATGTTCCGTCATAAATGAGGTATTTTCATTCCCATATTCCCAGGACACCAACAACAAACGGAACACAGAAGTCTTCGGGTTTAGGTCAAATAAATTTATTATCAATTGTGTGATTTATAAAGTTAAGAATCAAAATATATTTGGAATAAAGTTGTATACTTTTGTGATATGAATTGTGACGTTTGTGTGAAGACAATAAAGAAAATAGCGAGAATGAACGTTTGTTATGCTACTAAGGGACTTGTATATGATAACTTCCGTTTCCGGTTGTAAACTTCCTCGTTTGACAGTTTTATAAGCAACATTCTCTATTAGTAGTCCGTAATTCTGGTCATGAATGGAGAATTACGATAATCCTATTTCGTTTGACGTTATGGAAAGAGGTGATATTCTTCGAGATGCCGTGCTGGACGGGGATATAGCAGAAGTAACCGCAGCAATTGAAACGGGCACCTGTCGTCCTGAAGAACCAGACGCAAATGGCCGAACAGTGTTACATTTGGCAGCATGCCGAGGTCACACTGCGATTCTGCGATTGTTGATAAATAGTGGATGTGATATAAATGCCGAGGATCGGCAAGGAAACACGCCTCTTCATTGGTGCGGTCACATTGATACCCTGGAAACCCTGGTGGAGATGGGAGCTAATGTTAACGCACGGTCAGCATCATCTTTGACTTACCAACATGGTTGCTTCTTCTGTAGTGTTCAGTGTCATTTTGTATCCTGGTAATTGGGAATAATCCAGTTACTGAGTACCCTTTTTGGCTAGAATGCACTTTACCGGGCGCAGCCCTCGCTGCTCCCTTTACGATCCTTAGGGTTAGGGTTTAGGGTTTAGTAGGCTGTAGGTGAATTCGTAGACCAGACTGGTTCGTAGACGTGGAAATCCGGTGGATTCGTAGACGGATTGAGCGGTGGATTCGTAGACTTTAAAATGGGAAAAGTTCAACCTCAATGATGATGAAAATCGACGAAAAGTGTTTGCATTTTGTGAAAAAAAAAAAAAAAAAATATCAGGTAAGTATGATCGGTGGTGAAAATATGCTTAAAATAATAAAATATGCTTCACAGCGGTCCACGTCCGACGAATTCGGCCAAATCATAGGCAGCTAATATATTAAATTCAGTTGTGTTAAATTAAAAGATATGTATTAGGTAAGTATCGTCATTCAACGTTCAACTATGAGACCAGCAGAGAAGTAGCAGAAAACACTTCTTAAAAACACTTACATCTCCTACAAAGAGTATTTGCAATCAAAACAACTCACCACTTCCTAAGTAACATTCACAACAACTCAGTGAAACCTGTTAATCCTCCCACAACAATGAAAACAGTCGGGAAACTATGATGAGTAGACTAATTTTGTCTGATCCACGACAAAGTTTACCTGTACAAACACTTATGGTATATAAACCTCAAGAAGGTAAGAAGAGATCATTCTTCAATCACACTTTCTTGTCCTTATCTGCCCTTAGCTTCATTATCACTGAAAACAAAGCATAACAACTTCGTTATACACACTCTAAGTAAAAATCAAACTTAATAAATACTATAATTCAATTATTGATACCGTGCCTCTGAAATCACCGTCTACGAACCAGTCTAGATTCACTTAATCCACCGCTGGCTTATTTAACTGGTTCAGTCACGAAATCACCGTATCCCATTTAGTACCTGTGTAAAAACGTCCTTCCTTCAAAGGAATAACCACCAATACATTGATTGATTGCTCATTATTGGCTAACTTTATTACTTTTTTAAAGATAGGTGGACACAAGTCAAAACATTGATTACACAACAGTCTCGTTTCCTGCTGACTGGGTTCCGTCCTATTGCACAACTTAGTACAATAACCAGTCCAGAATTTTGAGACCAACTCATTCAACTGGATATATAGATATTAGCAGTATTATTACATACATCTAATCACTTGCATATTGCAATCGCAACACTACGTTCATCCTAATCTTTGCAAACACATCGTTGCAGCATGCTCTGTAGTCTGTCTCACAGTCCCTGAACCACATTAGCCCTAAATAAAGCAAGTCTAGATTTCCTCAGGTTCTGAATCTCTGGTCTCCCTAGGGCTCCTTTTCAATATAAATGGGCTTTGTTTGTTACTATCAAAATTATATATATTCAGAGACTAAGCCTTAGTCTACATGCTCTGTTGTACAGTGTGCTCTGACAAACGCAAATCTCAAAACGAGGCTCAGCCGCTAGAAAAGTTAGGCAGTCTTTTACGGTCTTGATATTATATCAATCACATTGTACGTTACGAGAATACACTTAATAAGCGCAAAGAGTGAGTGAGTGAGTTTAATTTTACGCAGCACTCAGGAATATTCCTGCTATATGGCAGCGGTCTGTAAATAATCGAATCTGGACCAGACAATCCAGTGACCAACAGCATGTACATCGATCTGCGTAACTGGGAACCGATGACATGTGTCAAACAAGTCAGCGAGTCTGTCCACCCGATCCTGTTAGTCGCCTCTTACGACAAGAATGGGTTGCTGAAGATCAATTCTAACTCGGACCTTCACGGGTTAATAAGCACAAAGAACACATAACAGGTGTAACTAGTGAGCCAGATGAATTGTGAATCATTTTATGACCTAATCAAACAGGGGCAGTCTGTGACGTCTTAGTTAAGGTCATGCTGTCTAAATTACTCCAGATAAACTAACCTAAACTCTAAATCACAACTAACCTGAAAACAGTAGAGGGGAACCTAACAGTCATGATTGTAAAGGGATGTTTGATTGGAAAGTGATCCCTAGTGATCATATCAGGGTCCTTCATTAGAAAGAGGACCAAAGGGCTAAGGATAGAGATCGAGGTAACCTACCATAACTTACTAAGGACTGGAGAGGCACGTGAGATCAGTAAATCATTGGTTAGCGTCATTTATGAAATGTGTTTATGCACAAATAAATAAGGAAAAAACCATGTAGTTCTTTGGGGTTTTTTTGGCAAAATTTCACATCTTTAAAGGATGACTAGTATGGAGGAACATAAATTTCTTAGAGTCTTTAAGATAAATTCAATCATAACTTGGAACGAGCTTGTAGTGCTTATGAAATGTCACAGACAAAACCAACCTAGTGAAAAATACTGTTTATGAAAACAAGTGTTTTAGAATGGTTTGTGTTCGATTATGAGAAAACATGAGCGATTGCTTGGTCGTTTAGTCACTGCGACCAATCTTTGATTATTTCAATTAATCGGACCACCACTGCACAATACCAAATACAAATGTAGATTTTTATCTTTTGTTGACTGGAGTTTGTTGTTTGAAGAGCAGTTTAGGTACTCTTTTTACTTTAGCATGTTAAATTTCATTCAGCATATGATATATTCAAAATATTTGGTGAATTTGAAGGCAAGTGTCTTTTTGTGCATTAGTGAAGGGGATATAAATTCTTTACTGTGCATCTGACACTGATTGTGAAAAGTCTCTCTTAACATGATTTATGTTTGTAGATGAAGAATTTGCAGCTTTGTATATAAACTATACTTTTCTCAGATAGTAAAAGCAAAGTGGTAAATAGCAGTGATTTTGAAGTTACATTGTTTATTTGTTCCAGAAACAAGATGGGTTTCACCCCAAAATTATTGGCACAGAGACGAGGAGTCCCCAAGTGTACTCTTGAACTGTTCGAACACTTTGAAAAGGAGAATGCGTCACAGGCTTCCCACACAAACACCACAACAAGCTATGTTAATCCACCCAGACCCTCAGTAATACCAAGTGTTTGGTATGAATTCTACTGTGAAATGGGCACCCAAAACACCTGTCTTCTTGTCTTAGGCCTTCTTGGGTTTTCACTTTACCTGGCCTACATCCTGACCGGCCTGCATCGAGGGTATGAAGAGAAGATCCCACTGGATGAAACCAGCTATAAGATACATCTGTAAATAAACTGACCCCTCTTGACATGCAGGAAACAAGTATCTATAGTGATTAATGTCTTGTTCAGAATGGTCTCCTGTGCATGTTCATCAACATTCATCAACATTCAGTTTTGCTTTGGAGCCCTGCCTCCATTGAAGATTGTTGAAATGCCTGTAATAGAAGTGATGTGTGGTATAATCTGAGAATATGAACAGTGTCATTTTGTTGCATGAAAGCTTGTTTGTTTTGTCCATTTTACTGCAAAAGTGACGGCAGATGGTTCAGTGGTCAAACATGTCCTTGAAACATAGATCTGTGCCAGGATCTGCCGATAATGGTTCCATACCATCCAGGTCATGGCTACATACGACATGGATCATCCCTCTGTATCACCCTGATATATGGATCCATATTCCCAATGTTATACAATTATTGACTTCCAGTGAGGTTGATCCAATGATTTATTGACCTTGGACATGTGAAATTCACCATGAATATCTCATGTCCAAGGTCGATAAATCATTGGATCAACCAAACTGAAGTCAATAATTGTTTTATTATATGACAAAAGTACTGAATACATTGAATACACAGTCTTGAATCTCTGTGGTGTCGTTTCGTCTGCCATTTTGATACAGATTGGACGTAACTCTAAACCAGCACAGTCGCAGGGACGAAGCGATGCCTATCGCATTCTTATCTAACATGACGCACGCTGTGCCGAGTTCACAGCTGGAATATCCCAAATCTATTTTTAGCCATGGGAGGTGCTTGGATTGTTATATCAACGTGTCGCTACGTGGCGAAGTTGACATCGCTTAGCGTCAATGCTGTCATGTGACCAAGTGGGCCAATCAGAAGGGGGGAAAATCTACCCGTCATGTAATAATAGCCCTTATTATGATCCATGGATCCATATTGCTCATATTAACCCTTATTATGATCCTAGGTTGTCAGCTCCATACCCATACTCACTGGTTTCACCGAAGTTTGAAACATGTCATTTTGAAACAGGTTTCTCCAGACAGAACGATGACATGCTTTGATATGACTGAATACTGTCTTAGTCACTGAAAGTTTAGCACGCCTCAGTAGAGAACCAGTGTGTAAATGTAGGTGTATGATGAGATTTCACACACTTACCGATCCAAAACCAAGCCGAAAAGGTGAAAGTCAAAACTGTATTATTAGTTTAAACTGATAATCTCAAACGTGCTGTGTTCCATCTGTGAAGTAAAATGATGGTATATTTCCTAGTGGTGGTCCGATTAATTGAAATAATCGAAGATTGGTCGCAGTGACTAAAAGACCAAGCAATCGATCATGTTTTCTCATAATTGAACTCAAACAATTCTGGAACACTTTGTTTTCATCAACAATCTTTTGCACAAGGTTGGTTTTGTGTGTTACATTTCATAAGCACTACAAGCTTGTTCCAAGTCATGATTGAATTTATCTTGAAGACACCAAGAAATTTATGTAAAGATGTGAAATTTTGCCTTCTAACATATCTTTGATAGTTTTTAGTAATTCATAAAGGTAGGAGGGTAACGTTTCTTTTGGCGTTTAGTGTATTTGTTTCTGTCTGGAGCATATATTTGTTTCAGCAGTATTACAACTAAGTGAGGAGGTGTCTCAAAAAGTGAGGAAGCATGTAGCAAAGTGAGGAGGTGTCTCAAAAAGTGAGGCGTGTCAGAAAGTGAGGAGGCTGGTCAAAAAGTGAGGAGACATGTCAAAAAGTGAGGAGGTGTGTCCAAAAGTGACAAGGCGTGTCAGAAAGTGAGGAGGTGTGTCAAACAGTGAGGAAGTCTGTACCAAAGAGAGGAAGCACTTCAAAAAGTGAGGTGTGTCAAAAAGTCTGTACCAAAGGAGGAAGCATAAAAGTGAGACATGCAGGTGACTTCAGGAAACCTATGGCACTCAGCCATCCAAAAAATGTCCAATCTCGCTGATGTTTGAGAAAAGAATTACTTGTATTGTCAGTGAAATGTTTGTGTCCTGATTATTAATGTGTTTGTCAGCTTCAACAAGATGTACAACTGATAATAAAGTTTCTAAACACATACATCTGGAGACTGTGCTTATTATGCATTTGTAGAAGGTATCAGCATAAAACTGGTCCCCAGTATCTGAAACTTGCCAATTGAGCTGACAAATGATCATTTTTTGTGTGTGGATTGATCATGTTGATGCTCATGCTGTCACCCAGGGATTTGTCAGATTCTAAGCAGTATTCCTATATATCACAGTTCTGAGCAGTATTCCTATATATCACAGTTCTAAGCAGTATTCCTATATATCACAGTTCTGAGCAGTATTCCTATATATCACAGGTCTAAGCAGTATTCCTATATATCACAGTTCTGAGCAGTATTACTATATATCACAGTTCAAAGCAGTATTCCTATATATCACAGTTGAGCAGTATTCCTGTATATGCATTTGTACAAGGTATCAGCATAAAACTGGTCCCCAGTATCTGAAACTTGCCAATTGAGCTGACAAATGATCATTTTTTGTGTGTGGATTGATCATGTTGATGCTCATGCTGTCACCCAGGGATTTGTCAGATTCTAAGCAGTATTCCTATATATCACAGTTCTGAGCAGTATTACTATATATCACAGTTCTAAGCAGTATTCCTATATATCACAGTTCTGAGCAGTATTCCTATATATCACAGTTCTGAGCAGTATTCCTATATATCACAGTTCTGAGCAGTATTTCTATATATCACAGTTCTAAGCAGTATTCCTATATATCACAGTTCTGAGCAGTATTCCTATATATCACAGTTCTAAGCAGTATTCCTATATATCACAGTTCTGAGCAGTATTCCTATATATCACAGTTCTAAGCAGTATTCCTATATATCACAGTTCTGAGCAGTATTCCTATATATCACAGTTCTGAGCAGTATTCCTATATATCACAGTTCTGAGCAGTATTTCTGTATATCACAGTTCTAAGCAGTATTCCTATATATCACAGTTCTGAGCAGTATTCCTATATATCACAGTTCTAAGCAGTATTCCTATATATCACAGTTCTGAGCAGTATTCCTATATATCACAGTTCTAAGCAGTATTCCTATATATCACAGTTCTGAGCAGTATTCCTATATATCACAGTTCTGAGCAGTATTCCTATATTCCTGTATATCACAGTTCTAAAGCAGTATTCCTATATATCACAGTTCTGAGCAGTATTCCTATATATCACAGTTCTAAGCAGTATTCCTATATATCACAGTTCTGAGCAGTATTCCTATATATCACAGTTCTGAGCAGTATTCCTATATATCACAGTTCTGAGCAGTATTCCTATATATCACAGTTCTGAGCAGTATTCCTATATATCACAGTTCAAAGCAGTATTCCTATATATCACAGTTCTGAGCAGTATTCCTATATATCACAGTTCTGAGCAGTATTCCTGTATATCACAGTTCTAAGCAGTATTCCTATATATCACAGTTCTGAGCAGTATTCCTGTATATCACAGTTCTGACCAGTATTCCTATATATCTGTTCTGAGCAGTATTCCTTTATATCACAGTTCTTACCAGTATTCCTGTATATATCACAGTTCTTACCAGTATTCCTGTATTACACAGGTCTGAGCAGTATTCCTATTTATTATATAGGTAGTATTTTTCCTGTACCACGATTGGTCAAAAGACCATCACATGATTGACTACAAAACACGATATTGACTTGAGTTTTCTGATATATTACGATATTGACTTGGGTTATTAAAAATAGACAAGGAATTCCATACGAAGGGGCTTCCCCCGCTTTTCAGCCAATCAGATCACTCGGATAGATGGCACAGTGTGTGTATTAAAAGTTTTGTTAAAACCCGTTTCTCTTTCATTATATAATAAAACAATTATAGACTCTTGTAGAGGTCGATATCGGTTTTTATTGACCTGAGAAAAACCGATATCGACCTCTACAAGAGTCTATAATTGTATAATATCATACCTAAGTTATGTAAAAGATATTGAACATGGGTAAAGTCCCAAGTGAATCCAGGGTTTCACTGAGATTTGTTCAGAACCCAATACAAACCTGGGTCTGAAGAAATTTTCAGTACAACTTCCATAGTTGGAATAAGAAAATATATTATGAAGATGTTAGTGTTTCATCAACAACAGAACCAATATACAAAAAGAGGCTGTTATGTTCAGGTTTACATTTTTGATGTGAACAAAATATTAAAATACCTCAGAATTTTGGAAAAGCAGAGCTTGTAAGCCTGAACATTGACATACAAGTCTCTTTGAATTTTGTTTGTTACAGAATCAACAGCAGTGTGCAGGAAAAACAACTGAAGACAACCCTATAAAGTGTTAAGATGTCATGGTGAAAATTATGAAAGAGCACATCCTTGGATTTCGTGTGTGATCTTCAACATCCATCAAGGCATACAGATGGTTAGATATTCTTGATTTTTCAATTTGGGTAAATATAAAATGAAGAAATTCATGAAGATTTCAACTAAGTTACAAGTATTCAGTATCAAATGAATATTTTGTGCTGGAATCCTGGAGATATTCCCTGTGTTTCCATTGCTGTTACTAGGCCTTTGTCTATTGTACACCATACTTCAAACTCTTTATTCTGGGCTGAGTGAGCTGACAGCTCAAAAGCTTGAGTGAATATGGTTTTACACAGCAAAATTTAACAAGAGTCATCAGAAGATGACATATCCCCCGCCCCACATCTTTGAAAGAGCAAATCATCTGACAGTTATGTTAAGTCCAGCTTGAGTTTAGACTAATTGCAAATCGTTTCCATGGAAATCATGAAAAAAAAATGACAAAAATCTGCAAATAGCAAAAGGCACCACTTCAAGATCTGCCTCATATATCAGCCAAGTTTTAATGAAAGATATTAAGAAGTTTTGAGTTGTGCCCGGAAGCGAAACCTACCCGCCCTTTGAGACTATAAGTCTGAATTGTTTCCATGGAAACCCGAGAAAAATAACAATGACAAAATCTACAAATAGCAAAAGGCACCACTTTGGGATCTGCCTCCACATATCTGCCAAGTTTTGAAAGATATTAAGAAAGCGTTGTGCTCGAAACAAAACCTACCCCTCCCTTTTTGAGACTAAGGCCGCTAATTGTTTCCATGGAAACTGAGAAAATAATAAATCACAAAAATCTGGAAATAGCAAAAGGCACCACTTCAAGATCTGCCTCACATATCTGCCAAGGGACTGAAAGATATTGAGAAGTTTTCGAGTTGTGCTCCAATGAAACCCACCCCTCCGGAAAAATGTTTCCATGGAAACCAAAGAAAATGACAAAAATCTGCAAATAGCAAAAGGCACCACTTTAGGATCTGTTTGATATATCTACCAAGTTTTGTTGAAAAATATTGAACGGTTCTTGACTTGTGCTCCGGAAACGAAAGCCATCCCTCACTTTTGGGACTAAGTCCAAAATGTTTCCATGGAAACCAAGAAAAATAAAATGACAAAAATCTGCAAATAGCAAAAGGCACCACTTTAGGATTATGTTTGATATATCTACCAAGTTTTGTTGAAAAATATTAAAGCGGTTCTTGAGTTATGCTCGGAAACAAAATGATTACGGACGGACGGACAGGACAGACGAGGCGAGCGACGACTATATCCCACCGCATTACATGCCGGTGGGATAAAAATAGTCAAGCAATATCATGTCCAGCATAATCAATGGGCTTCACAAATTGTACCCATGAGGGAATCAAACTCAAGTCTTCTGTGTGAAGAGCAACTCCTTTAACCACAAGACTACCCCGTGCTCCTCTCCAAAAGAATCCTGGGATGAAATTTATAAACCTTTGGATACCTTAAGTAGCTCCTTTTTGATAAGGGCTTATCTGTATGAATATTTGTTAGTTGTCTGTGATGCTATATTGCTCCTGCCCGAATGGATTGTTCACAGACTGCAACAATTATCCTGGACTACAAAATGATTGCAGTATAAAAGAAACATCCATTCTTCCACCAAACCTGACAATAAAACTCAATTTGGTAATATCAGTGTATTGATCACAACAAAAATATGCGCAATATTTTCTTCATGAAGACAAAACAAATGGCTAAGGACAATGGCAGTTTATTTAATAATATTAAGTTACAGAGGCTACTAAAGTGACTTATTTTCAACAAAGGCATGCACAAAAAAAAAAGAAACAATACTATTGAATATCCAGCTGAATGGAATACATGGATGGTAACAAGGGCGTAATAAATGACTTTTGCAGTAAAGAGTATCAGTATTCAATGTTGCATATACTGTAGATCTGTGCGGGCAGAGTGCACAGGAATCCCCAAGACCATTGTACAATTTCCGAACTCACAATCTTTGGACATTTTACTATTTTGGAATGCCTTAACATAGCATTAAAACTGACCAACAAGATGGCAGCACAAACTGACACACAAATGAAGCCGATTTATCAGTCCGATGATCAATATGGAGCTTGATTTCATTGATTTATTGTCCTTATTTTCCTGTAACTGGCAACCACTTCTGTTCATGTTGTACTATTAGCCAGGAGAGGATTTCTTCTGTTCAAGTTCTTGCAATGATCAGGGCCAATCTGCGGTTATTGGCAACATATTTTAAGAAATTACACGTTATATCTGAGTACTCTTGATTTGAACACCTCGAAATTGAGTTAAGGACTGACTTAAACCTTCCACAACACTGACTTGCTTTAAGTGTTTAGACATGCTGACTATAATACTTTTAACAAGGAGTTGTACCTTAACAGGTCAAATATAGTAACAAAAAAGACCATCCTTACTACTACATTGCTGTAACTTCAGTAACTTCTACAACTTATTCGTTGACTTTGATAAATCACAACATTAATAAAAGAAAGAGATAACTAGGAAACAAGATTTCTAATATTTGACTTCCTGTTCAAGAACAAATATTTAAAAGCTTAATACGAACAAAATTTATATTTACTTCCATTAATTCATGGACAGAATCATTTGATGTCATGATCGAGAACCAACATTTGACAAAGTTCATGATATATATATTTGAACAACATATTCTCGAACTAGTGTGTCTGAAACATGAGAATATTTCGTATTAAGATGCACACAAGTAACAGATTGGCATCAAACAATACTAAGGTGTGAATACTAAAGTGATGTGAATACTTTGGTAAAGTCTAAAACAATATTCTATGATAATAAATATGTATATAATGCTAAAGTCTGGCTTGTAGTTCACAGGAATATCACATCTGTCAATTTTCAAGAACAATATCTCAACTTGAAATTCATAAAAATCAGTTATAAATTTCATAATTCATGAACTGAAAATAGTTCAGTGTTGTGATAAAAAGATGGAAGCTTATTTGAGTCTTTACTGTAACAACATTTAGACATTTTACCACAAGAAATTAAAGGTTTCAATGTGTTTTAGAAACAGAATTTGTAGCATCACTCTTAACATCAGTCAACCTGCATGTGTAAATATTTGTAAATATTTCTTGCGGCTTGTCTTAAACAAAATTCACTAGGAGCTGTTTACTAGGAATACAAGCAATGCTCTTTATAGACATTAACAACTACATACCGGTATCTGAAAACATGACTAGGGCATTTTTTTCCAGAGACAACGGGAAAATCTGTGAATATACTGGTAATAGATCTAAAATCATGAAGTACATGTAACTGATAATTCCTAGTGACCCTGTACTTGAAAAATATGACGTAGAAATACACTTTTCTTGTGATATAATTCAGACATCCAAATTCATATTCAATATAAACAGTGACAATGGCATAAAATATCAAATAAATTTGCACAAAACAATAACATGTGTGAAATAATACTGTGAGAGACATACTAACCCATGCACCGACAAATCCGTACACTCACCAAGACAACGGGTGTGAAAACCCACCTTACATACATGTACATAGAACAAGAAAACAAGGACACAGTTTGATTGTAATTTAAGAAGACACTTTACCCAAGAAAAGGGTAGATCTGGGTTACAATATGCGGGTACCTATGTGGACATGCTATTCTACTGCCTCACATAATTTTGTTAACTGACTAAATGGTAAATACATCTTGTAACAATTTTTCACCAAATGGCAACTATTCAACAGTATTAATATCGATGAGAGATTATGTTAGGACATAATTCACCTGCCAGATTTCGTGTAGTAATCTAGATATGAATCTCAATTTCAAAGTCTCAATTTGCCCAAATGGTGTGAGAGTTGGTTTTACAATCTGGATTTTGAGATGTGATTGGCCTAAACTCATTAAAACCATTTGAGGTAATGCAAATATGTACATTTTTAAATTTTGATTCAAACTTGATGTCCTGGATATAAAAGATTGTTTATTACGAGGACAATGATTCGCAAAATGACAGTTACTGATGGCAGAATTGGGACATATCATTTGAGTACATACTACATCTATTGTATTGCCACTCATGATTCGGACACATCTTGCAACTCACGTCAAAGGATATAGCATCCAAGCAAACACGTCCTACAGAGTCAGCTCAAGTTACAATTAAACTGTGCCAGTGATAACAATGCCTCTGACCAAGAGTACACAATGATGATGAAATGACTAGAAACCTCAGCATCACCACCATGACAAACAGCTGATGAGTATTTTGTTAGAAGCTCTTAAAACACATAACCATAACCAGGGATGCTTTCTCTATATTCTTCATGGAGCACCTTAAAAAAGCTGGAGCCGTTGACAAGTAACACGAGGAAAGTTCTCTGACCCATTGTGTGAGTGTAGTTTTGGCACCATTTCTCTTTAAAAATGAAAGCTTGTCAGTAAAACTGGAAGATCGATATTCATATTGATACATATTTGTACAAATGAGTATGGACTAACTGGTGTGGCAAAATCTACATGCAACATGACATACACAATAATTAACAATGTCTCAATATATAGCATGCATAACAATGACTAGGTGTGGCATGCATACACTAAACTACATAGCACTTGAAATAATATGTACCTGGTGAATCTTTTTCAAACTGAGCTCTATATTTTATCTTTCAAAGAAAACTGGCTATTATTCTTTTAGCGTACAGTTAAACTTGCATTACAAAAAACAAACTAGTTTCCAAATAAAATGCACATTTAGTTTTTCTTTCACATAGCACTTTTCTAAAAAATCTTTAGACATGAATAAATTAGGTTTTCTACATCTATAAAATCTTGGAACCTGGTAACTTAAATTTCAAAATAATTCATTGAATTTCACATGAAAATGATGCAAAAAATCCATAAAACCAGGCTTACTTGAAATAATATAATCATTCAATTGTCAGAGAGAATACTATTCAACTTGAGCATGTGTAATTCTCGAACGTCAAATTGTTTCCATGATGTCTCAGAAGGGCTTTCTGGAAACAATGTAAATGGAACTAGAACAGCACCAAATGTGGAGATTCTTCATAACATATGACAGTATGACAGAAACAAACTGACAATACTGATTATATCGTTACCAGAGATGAGGAGGAAACCCATAGAATTCTATGGTAAGGCTGAAACATGTCATAATTTCAGTTATATCCATAGCTGGACAATACAGCTGATAACAACCATAGGTGAAGACATTCTAGAACTTAACCAGTTCTTTCCAGTAGAAACTAGTGTACGTGTCCTTGTGATCACACACAAATGGAAATGTTTTCACAGTTTATGAACATCTTAATCATTGAGCAGACTATTTGACTAGTTACAAACACTTCGACCTGACAACTACCAAGTCTTTGTATTCTCTTGATATAAAGTGCAATAATTATCTGCAGATATGACTTCAAGGTCCCTCTAAGCCTCTATGACCACTGCCCATGTGTTTCTCACTTACTGACCAACAAATAAATTACCATCCATCATGCAAAATACCAAGACTACTGCATGCACCACCTACAAGAGTAAATAAATCATATATGGCACAATAAACAAATATCTTAATACATGTGGAAGCACGGACACGTTATAACGAATAATTTATACAGTCTGCCTGGCCATTTAGAAACACATATATGTTAACATACATCAACAAACTGGAATAATATCAGTGAGTGCAATGTTTGGCACTGCCAGAGGCTGTCCTTCAGTATGGAAGCCCCCAAGCATCAACAACCTCATTATTACAAAGTCTCCCTTTTGCAAATAAGAATTTATGCAAATATGGTTGATAATTTTACTTGAACTACGACTGACATTGAAAGGATATTTCATGTTGATATCTCATCTGAAAAGTATTTTTTTATCAATACATTGACCGAGACCAGAACATTGCATTTACATTTCTGGGTGTACGAAAAACTCAAGGATCACAATGTGAGGAAAAAGATTCCATGTTTGTTAACATTGACATTTGTTTTGGTTTTAATTCCTTTAACATTCAACACAGTTGACAAAAGAAATTAATTTTCAATAAAGAAGGCCATGTAAAGGGGGGGTACCCCAGCAACAACTATACCTGTACCGATATCGTCATCGTCTACCTATACAGCATCAGGAGACGTAAGTGTACAGACATTGATATTTTCAATGACTGCCCTACTGGAAACTGACCAGTTGTACAAGTAACTTATACCTGCATTGGTGAACAATTATGGATGGAACTGTAAAGGATATATGAAAAGACTTGAAAGGCATAAATACTGGCACTATTCCAACTGCCATCTCTCTTGCAAGTTCATGTTAGTTGTACAAAGATGAAGATGAAAGGGCTGTGCATACTTACTTTCCTGACAAACACAGATTTTGTGCACTGAGTATACATGGTAGAAGGCTGTCATCATATCTTTAACTGTACAACCCAGTGTCAAATGTGCCAAATGACAAACGAGCTGTAGGCATTTCCAATTTAATTTCACTACTGATTTCAATTTTAACCACTACAATGCAATCATAACTGCAAATTCAAAGACTATATTGCAAAACACAGATTCTTTTTCTTGTATATAACTTAAAAACAAACTTAAAATTTCATGAGGCAGTGAAAATAATGAAAGCAAAATGCAATTATTTAATGACTGAGGTTTTTCACACAAGGAATGACGTAAAAAACATATCGCAAGTCATGAATTAAAAGATCTAAAGTTGTCCAGTTGTAAGTTAAATGCAAAAGGGAATGTGTTTAATGAGCATGGTTCAATCTCATATACAAAGACAATAGGAAGAGGCAGAAAGAATGACCCTAGAATTCCATCACCTTCAACCTTCACTGACAAACATCCCCAATCACTTTTTTCTCACCAAAATTCAGTCTTAAAAGGTTTAGCATAAAGAAAAGCTAAAAAACGATGCCAGAAGCAGATCATAAATAAATTCCACAAATTGCACCAAGGCAGGCTTCAAGATAAATCTAATACACCATCAAAGTCATATCTGACTCGATCGCAGTAGCCATATCTAATACATCTTCAATATAAAGACTGATAGCAAAGAAAAGGATTGAGGTTTTTGCTGTCAAACTTCAGAGGCATGACTTCATTCTGTACCCTTGCATGAAGTTTGAAAAATAAAAACTATTCTTGTAAAGAATAATTTGTAAAAGAATTGACTACAGATTGCCTTATATAAGCAAATGAAAATGATTGTGTTAACATTTTTAATTCCTCAGGAATAAGAGGAAAATGATTGTGTCAACATTGTTAACTCCCAAAGCAGAAGAGTCAAGGAAGGGTCATTAATACATGTTTGCACCATATGTGGAAGCCATAAGCGGAAGCCATACTGTTTCTCAGTTCAGTAGGTTTGCAAGTGGACCCGGTTGTCAGACTGGAAATTTTCCACACATACAGTGGGAGCCAATTTTCCATGAAATCCTAGAAGTTAATTTCATGAATGTCCATTTCCATTGTCTTCACTGTGTTCTGTGTGATGGCCAGTCTTCCGACGCTTGGCAAAATGTTCAATTCTGTCTTCTAAACTATCTGTAAAACAAAAATGGGATTGAGGTTTACAGTAGGTGGGTTTAGTTTTACGCTGGTATTGGGCAATATTCCATAAATAACACGGAAGAGGACACCAGAAATGGGCTTCACACATTGCACCCATGTGAGGAATCGAACCCGGGTCTTTGGCAAAATGAGCGAATACTTTAACCACTAGGTTACCACACTGCCCGTTGAGGGATTGAGGTTTACATGGCATGAAAGGTAAAATGTAGTGACGTACATGCTCATGTGCATGTGCATGGATGTATTATGTTTAAGTTCAAGTTAATATCGCTCCATACAGCCAACCCACTGAGATACCATGCTGCAGTTGAACATGGATACTCACTGAGTGCCGAGCACGAGTCAGGATAATAACAAGTACCTTCTTTTAAAAACATTTTTGACTCTACCATGGATCAAACCACCCACCTTACACACTGTGGGTAGATGCTCTAATAAGTTTAGTTTTATGCCGTTTTTAGCAATATTTCAGCAATATCACAGCGGTGGACACCAGAAATGAGCTTCGGGAATCGAACCTGGGTCTTCGGTGTGACAAGCTAACGCTTTAACCACTAGGCTACCCCACTGCCCTGGGTAGATGCTCTAACTGTTACACATCATGGAGGTGCACTAAGCAATATCACAGCTACATAGTACTGGTCAATGGATTTTCAAATCTTACAATGAATCGGAGATCAATTTCCTCGCTTAACACAAACAAGTGTTGCTGGGGACCTTCACTTTCAAACTGGATCCCCATAGATATAGAATGAGTGAATTGTGTTTTACACAATTTTGAACAGCTATTCAGATTCTAAAAGCATGAAAAAGGAAGTCCAAATAGATGGCGTTCGTAGATGTTAGCAGCTGAACTGACACATTTAACCACAGGTGACCAAGAATCATTGAAATAATGAGATAAAAGGAGTCTAACTAAAATCAGGGGAAACAACTCTGCACGTTGCTGAGACAACACATGTATGTGGAAATAAATGTGCTGCTCTTACCGCACATGGGTCGTTCCAGCAAAGGCCTGTATATCCTGGGTTTGTTGCCCGGTGTGAGCCATTCTGACTGCTGCAGAATGGGTGCACTCAACTCATTCCATGGAGCAATGTCAGACTCTGAAGGATAAAACATTGTGTAAGTGTTTACACCAGCATGATTAACCCTATATTTGGTATAAAAATGGAGGTTTCTGATACGATAATTAGTGGTATTTCACTCATTTCAGAAAGTGGGCCAACACCTGTCTGAATATGGGACAACACGTTTCATGATTTTTATCAAGTTTATGACCTCACTATCTCACTAAGACCTTACTATCAGGAAAACATCACTCACGAATTCCAAGAATGCAATCAACTGACTTAGATTTTTGTCTAAGATACAAGTCACAGCATAAGAATGACATGTGAATAACTTGTCTTACTTTTGGTTAATTTATATCTCACACTTTGTCAACAATATACAACCACTCTTGAAAGTTGAATGTGTGTCCAACAAATCCCCAAACACTGCTTACCTGTTTCAACTTTAGCTGTGTCAAGCTGGTCCAACATGCCTTTAATCATGGCTGCCCTGTAGAAAAAGAAACAATTCTCATCACTATTTACAAACTGCAATGTCACATTTCATTCAAACAAGGTCAATGAAAAATTTACTATACAAAACTAAAATCATAGTCCGCTATCTCAACTTCAGGGTTGTAATGACTGATCAAACCCCAACAACAACAGCCTGAATTTACTGCATTTCAAGTGGAGTGGAGATCTGGGTTGGCCGCATTCAGTAATATTCCAGCTATATGGCACCTGGGTTAGTATTGGTATTGGTCAATAATTGTATACAATCACATAACAGGATAGGCTGACTGTGCAAACAAAGTTGAACACGTGACTTTACCTGACTGCATGTTGAGCCCACAGCTGCTGAAGATGGCGGATGTTGTCTTCATGCCAGTCTAAAGGAAGACAAACGCATTACAATAAATATCTTGAAAGTGATTCAATGTATTCATGCTTCAGTAAACAACGAGAAACAATTAGCCACACACACAAGCAGACTACTGTTTTCTGATTGGCTAAAAAGGGGATCATGTTACATTATTGTGTTGACCGATCTCACAGAATTTGTTTCTACAGTTACTGATTAAATAAGTCATCTTCAATGACTAATTTATTTATAGTAATAGACTTTTAACATATTGTTGCATTTTTAGAGGTCTATACAGATTTACTCCGTGTTCACGTCAGTTTTACAATTTGCACACAAACGTTTACATTTGTACCATCGGAAAATGAAAAAGATATTCTAAAAATCCAAAAACAACGCTCTATTCTTATGGGGGAAAAATTGTCCTAGCTTGTCAAGGCCAGCAAGAATACAGTCATATAGAACTTGTCATAAACATATTCTTGTCCACACATACCTGCTTCATAGACCCACTCAACATCATCTCCAAAATCACAATCATACAGCACAAGAGGTATTTCTGAAAGTACAAAAGGAGTGAGTGAGTTAAGGTTTTACAGCGCTTTTAGCAATATTCCAGCATTATCATGGCAGGGGACATTGAACCCATGTGGGGAATCGAACTTAGGTCTTCATTGTGACAAGTGAATGCTTTAACCACTAGGCTTCCCCACTGTCCCATAAGTACAATACAAGCCATGTGAAATAAAAGATGGACATTTAAAACAGCATACTTTTCGTGCTCCCATATTAATTATCAATATATATCTTTTCTTTCTGAGTGACAGAATTGATAAGGCACCAGGGGTAATGAGGGGGGAGTCAGTATGGTATAACACCTCCTTGAACAGTATTCCATAAATATCAGGACATGGAGAGGAAGCTTGAAGGTGACGCAGGTCTCAAATGTTTACCATTAGGCACAACCCGTGAGTACGGGCAATATGCTGAAAGACCCAAAACAACCATGGTGAACCGATTTCTGAACCTACATTAAAAGCATTTTTACATGCCCAAGGTATGTATCCCCTCTTATTGCTGCACCTTAGAGGACATGTAGAAACTCATGCCTTTCATCCTCAAGCCCATAAAATCTCCCAACAGTGGAAGGAAGACATAAAGCATGCAGCTGACAAAATTTTAAACAAGAATTACTGCATATACTGAAACCGTGACTGATTTATCAACAAGATCAATCGGCTCTGTTAGTTACAAGTTTTAATAACAACATATTTCCACTGCACTTTTCAAATGCCATTCACACACATCAAGTTGTGATCTGTTTTCTTACCTGAGGCCATCGTGTATTGAGGTTTTCTGGGGTTCTGTTCGATGTTCAGCAATTCATCAATAATCTGTACGAAAGAAACAAAAATGTTATTCACTTACTCTCTGCTCTTAACAGCACTGAGAAAATCAGTGATTGAAACATGACAACTAGACCATAGATAATATTTGCTATATTTACTTAATAGCAGGGGATATTCAAATCTTGCTATGTTGTAACCAACAAACGATATTTGCGCAGCCAAAAGAAAGACATCTTTAATTTTACAGATAGCAGTTGCAAATTGTCCAGTTATAAACTTTTCACTACTGTGGCCACATTTTTTTTTTTTTTCAACAAACACTAGGAAGGGACACAGTATCAAATCCTGAAAGGTGGTCTTCTGTAATATCCAGGTGACAGTCAGTACTTACATCTGGCCCCTCCTTGCCCTGTCCGACCAGCATGAGGATGGCCACAATACATCGTACTTGATGCCACAGGAAGGCCTGACCCACTATTGTCAGCTCACACATCTGGTACCCATTTTCTCTGCAATTGAAAATGTTTGTTGTAACAAATCTTGCTCAAATTTTTGTTTAATGTGCATCTGTTCAAGACACCATCACAATCTTATGTATGGGGGTTTGGTGGGTGAACTGTCTAAAGCACCTGGCTAGTGATCCAACGAGCTTGAGGTGACGGGATCGAGCCCACCTGTGACCTGGTGTAAAAACCTTAGAGTAAACTTTGTGTGCAGACTCTTTCAGATGGTGGCCACATAAATACGTGCAAACACCTAGTTGCGGGTACAGCAACGTACAGTAAACTTTGACAAAGTACTGTGACTATGTCTCCCAGTCCACCCAGCTGTGAATGGGTACCTCATAAGGATGGGAAAGCCACACTAACTCGGTGCGTCTAGTGGCTGCAAGAGTTGTATAATCCCCAGGGAGTTGAGATTAATAATAAGATGTGCCATTGAGATTGACATCCAGTGATCGAGGGAAAAACAAAGCACCTAAAGTTAAAGTTGGTTTCTCCTATTGTGCCTCTCGAACATTTCACAATCTTCTTTTACATGTTTGGTTATACATTCAGTTATGTTCGGTTTAATTTTTGAAAACGGTTAAACCTTTCAGGCCAATGTGGAAATTCATTGCTTATAATAACAATTGAAAATATGATGTGCAGTTGAAATTGACATCCAGTGCTCGAGGGGAAAAAAACAAACGCTTTGAGCATGCATGTGGATGGGATGGACTATAGCACTATATAAATACCCATATGTATAATATATATAATAACAACCTTTCATCTAAAATCTTGATCTCTGCAGATAAGATTCTTCTTGTGAAGTTGACAACACCATTGCCCACATCCATCTTGCAAAGGTTGCGGAAGTCATGCTCTCCTATCAGTTTAGCTGATGCTTCACACATCGCCTGGAATTAAAACGTAAGTTTAATGTGCAGTTATCTCCCCTACAACCAGAAATCAGCAATAGAACAATTATCTGTGATCAACAAATGAACCCAATATTCTGTCTGTGACAGCAGGGTTCAACTTGCATCATACTAGTGAAACCAGCACCAGCTTGGTACCACCTCACTGTAAATAGTACTTTCATTATTACACGGCTTGAAAGATCATATGGGAGGAAATCCACAGGTAGACATTATTGGTCATATTGAACTAGTTTGTGGGTCGTTTCTGACAAATGTTAACATGAAAAACGATTTTGAGAAAACAATTTACTAGTCTAAATTTTCTGTAGTCTTGGAATATGAGACCAGTAGCTGTGTGTATCAATAGGAAAGCCCAACACCAGGTCCCCAAGTATTTTTTTTTATAAAACCTGTGAGCATTTGTGAGGCACTGACAGACAGTGATTTTAGCATGTGGCTAATAAGTAATAGAAATCTTACTTACTCCCAAATCCAAATTTCCTTTGGGGAAGTAATACTTGTAAGTCCTTCGTTTACAACTAAATCTGCAATAAAACAACAATGTGTCAACACACAAAACATGAAAAGATTACAAAAATAAAAATAAAATAGGATCATGTGTAAATCCCTCCCTTTAATCTTTTACACACAATTTTTACACATGGGGACTGTTATTGTTTTAATGAGCAGCTAAATTAAGATAGCTGGTGAATACATAAATCTCTGCCAGATAAGCCTGCTGTTGAAAGCATGAAAAGAAAGCCTGATTGAACAATAACATATTGTCTCCACTAAATCCACTGAAGTCAGCACTTATAAAAAACATGCAGTGCAAACTGAATCATAAAATCAAATTTAGTAGAACGTACAAGACAAACTTGGACTTCTCTCAATGCTGTTTGGTTTTGTTAACACTCACTTTGCCATGTTCAAAATTCATAAATCTGGGAAAAACATATTTATTTACCTAGCACTAAAGTTGTGTTCTACTGGTGCCCAGGCCAAGACCCTGATCTCGGGGGGAAGAACTTTGTTGAGAATATGTACATAGCGAATCTCGGTACTCTTTTCACCTGAAACACACAACATCACATTTGGCAATCAAGGTAATGATTTTGTTTTGTGTACGGAAAAAGTATCCAGCAAAACAAACTGGTACTGGCAAGTTAATACACAGTTCATACAGGTTCTGTCCATGAGTATTTTTTCATATGGAAGTTAGTGAACAGTGAGTGAGTTTAGTTTTAGCAATATTGTAGCAATATGACAACGGGGGACACCAGAAATGGGGAATCGAACCCAGGTGTTTGGCGGGATGAGTGAACGCTTTAACCACAAGGCTACCCCACCGCCCTGTTAGTGAACATATATACCCTTTGCACAGGCAGCACAGCTGGCAGACTTTCTGTAGAGGACAACCAGATTGAATGTAGAGGAATGAATATTTGGTTTCCCAAAAATTCTGATGAGCCCATACCTTGTCTGAGGTTGGCTGAACCACCATCCCTCTGTTTCACACCTGGCCCATCAAGTAGGTTGGTCCGTAGGTCAATAGATATCACCTGTAACAAATACCTTCATAATAACAAAAGAATAGGAAAACTTTCTACTGCACGACTACTGTAAAATTTTGTATTTGATTCTGATGCATTAAATTTATCCTGACAAATTAATACACATTTTCTCAGCAAGAGCCACATCACTGACGCAATAGAGGTGGTCTGTGAAACCATGAAAGCATTGATATGATATTTACCTGGCTGAGAGCGCTGACTCCCTTGTCTGTCCTCCCACATCGGTGATAGTTGGACACCTCTCTGCAACATCAACACACACATTGTCACACAATGCAATACTTGGGAAAATGCAAAAAAGTTTATAATATTTAGTGAGAATTAATGATAGAATCTGGGCTATATTGGTACCGTATGGGAAACATTGAAGCAATTACTTCAGTGAGTGAATGTAGCGTTACAACAATACAACCGAATGACAGCAATATCACAGCTTAATAAAAAATATCTTCCATCCATGAAACACCAATGTGACACCAAAATAGTAATAGTTCTTGAAAGTATTCTGGATCTCATGGGTTCAGTTTTAATATCTAAGAGCTTTGAGTCTTAAATCTGAGAGACTATGAGTCTTAAATCTGAGAGACTATGAGTCTTAAATCTGAGAGACTACTTGACACTTTATTCAAACCATTAGATTTTGAATTCAGTTCAGTTACCTATATATTCCAAGTCACTTCAAGCTGTATCTTTAGTTAGCATACTCTTTTGTGAATTATCTCCCCTTGACCATCCCAAGCAATTAAGTCATTACTGATAAGCTTAGAGTATATGTATGCCTCAATACAGTTGTATATTAACTGATTATAATTTATAGGGACAGATTTAAACATGTGCTAGCTGGACCCTTTGAAGATATTTACCTTGGGTATCCAACATCATAATCACAATTGGTAAAATCACATCATTGATCAGAAGCAAAATGTCAAAAATATAACAATTCAAAACAAGCATTGTCACTAACGTGACATAATCCCCCGCCGTAAATTATCAAATCAAACTTATAAAGTAATAAAAGTTTAAGTTAAATGTCAACAAAAACATGACCAGTCAACCTCTCTTGATATCTTGCTCTTCAGGTGTTCAAACACACACATATTTTCAAGACTGACTTTGACCTTGACATGAATGTCATAGTGTATGAAATATGCAAAAATAGTACTAAAGAAATTGCTTATTGAAAAACATTCAAGGGAAGTCTTGAAAGTCTATGAAGAAAATCCAGTGAACAGTTCTTGAAATATCTTGCTGACAATTCAGGTTTACATGCTGAAATCTTCAGTGTCGCCATGACCTTGAAAATTATGTGAAGGTCACCAAAATCGACTGGGCCCTGCGCCTTCCCTAGATAAAGCTTGGTATTGAATATGAAAGTAAACCAGTGAACAGTTCTTGAGATAGCTCAACATGCAGGTAAAACGTTAAAGTCCCCTTGTGACCTTGAAATGAAGGTCAAGGTCACCAAACCTGACTTCGACCTTTCTTATACTGTGTTGAACCCAGGTACCAAATATGAATAGAATCTAGAGAACGGTTCTTAAGATGTTCCAATTTGTACGTACGTATGTAGCCTAATACTATATCCCCCGCTTTGCGCTCAACGCGCGGCGGGGGATAATAATAATTGTGAGGGCAGAAATGTCCACGAGTGTCTTACCTGGATTCAATGAGCCGTGTTTTGAGCAGGGCGTCAAAGAGAGCTGCCTCGATGGTCTTGTCTGTCTCTTCCTGAACCACAAAGCCCTGGTGGTCCCACCCCAGGTACGCTATCTTCAAGGCAATGTGACGAGTGTTGTACCTGACAAACAAAAAAGCTTGTTTAACACTGCATTCAGCACCAGTCCAGGTAAAAGGAGCGTGAATTGGTTGGTTGGTTTATTGTTTAATGCAGCACTCAGCAATATCCCAGCTATATGGCAGCAGTCTGTAAATAATCGAGTCTGGACCATGATTGTATGTACACAATTGGGATATACAATGGGTGTGAAATGGAGGTTAATCTAGCATTCCAGATTATTTCAAGTTTATAGCAGGTACATGCGAGTGTACATTGAAGATACCATGTTGCAGCTGAATATATATTCAAGATTCCCTGATGATTAGTGCCGGTCAGGGTAATAAGTGCCATCCATGACACCAACCTTCCACTGTTCCAGCACTATGCAGCAGCCTGACAACAATTACAATGGACCAGGACCAAACATACAGGTGATCCAGTAAGTCACTTATACCTGACAAAGACAGCCCACTGGGATCAACTGTGTCTTAAATCCCAACAAACTACTGTAGAAATAAAACAATAACAGTCATGACAATCACAACACTCACTTTGAGAAATCAAACTCTCTTTGGACCTTCAGTTTCTTCTTGCAATCAACCTTCACCTCTCCCTTGAGCACAATATTTCTCAGCTGGGTCACGTGAGCCTCCAACTGACGGACTCGCGTTAACAAGTCCTGCAAGGGAACAATCAATGGTCAAAAACAGGGACACTTGTGGTCATGTGGTGTCATCAATCTAACTTTGTGCCATCAACCTAACTATAACATTACATGTTGTATATGTAGTCAGCAATATTACAGGAAATGCCATGAACAACAACATAATGGGTAAATAGTCAAATTACAAATGGACTTATCTTCATTATTAGCATTGGTGCAGTCAGAGACTTGTTTTGAGGGACAGAGTCAATGAGTGATTGAGTGAGTTTAGTGTTACTCAGCAATATTCCAGCTATATGGCGGCGGCCTGTAAATAATCGAGTCTGGACCAGACAATCCAGGGAGCAAAAGAATGAACATCGATCTACGCAATTGGATACGATGACATGTGTCAACCCAGTCAGCGAGTCTGACCACCTAATCCAGATAGTCGCCTCTTAAGACAAGCATGGGTTACTGAAGATCAAATCTAACACGGATCTTCACGGGTCTTGAGGGACAGAGTCAATGACCTTTCACTCTCAGGGTGCATGAACATAACAACCATTAACTGGGTGTACAAACAGACACCAATGAGATCCAGGTCACAAATACCATCTTTCATGAGTCCTGACTGCCACCCATGAAACATTTTACATTGTTAGTCACCTCTTCCGACAAGCACAATCAACTAAACCTTATTGTACCAGAATTTACATATTCACCACTCAATGGTTACCATGGTGAAAGTGTTTCTTTGCCTCACATACACATGTGAAAACTGGGATCATGATAACTAGTATTAACCTTTTTTCATAAACATTTCTACAAAATATATCAAACACAAGTAATCCCATATCTTAGTAATAGATGCAATAATCAGTTTGTGTACAAAATCAAATACATAAACTCTGCAGTGATCCCATACAAGGACAATCTGCAGTTACCATAGTAACATAATAATCATGCATGCTCCTATTTGTTATGAACATTTCATCACCATCAGACAAGTAACATGCATATGAACATTGTGACATCACAAATATATATTAACAGTGTGAGACATATACACAATTACAACTCACAATGTGTCACAATGTGTCATGCACCTCATATACATGCCAGGTGTCACCGACTCATCAATATTGTGGCAAAAAATGCTGGGTTTTTTTTCCAATTAATTGATATACATGTAATTAGTTCAAGGATTCAGCATACCCGAAAAATTGAAAATAAAAAATAAACATCTCAAAAACATCATGAAACTTAAAGCATCACCAAAGAGAAATTGTGCAATAGGTTGAAAATAGCTTCACTTTCACCCAATACATGTTCTTATGTATCTTTAGAAAATCACCAAAACATAATCTGAGCTTTCAGACAAGAATTTCCCACAAAACTAAGCAGAATTTCTCACTGAAAAATGTGCGAATAAAAACATGTAATTTTTCAAGTAAAATTGATATTTTTATACTTATCCTGACTCATGAATATCTGACCTAATTACTGATCTTAGAGAATTGTGAATTATACAATATGTGACTAGTGCAACCATTTTTTCTGTAAAAAAACATATTATTATATAGAAAAACACTCCACTATCGGTATGTTATTGGTTACTAATTTGAGAAATTAATTAAGCTACTAAATTACTCACTCAAAAAATAAATAAAAATACTCCACATCCATGAATAATTTGTCCAAATTCTGACTTTCAAATCATTTTGCGGAAAAAATGATGGCAGCACTTTAAAATTCTTGTTGCATTTGAATTTGTTGAATATTTCTTTTGCCTGAATACATGATTATCATTTGATTGAATCATTATAAAAACATTTGGAATACAAACTTTCATTCTCTTTCCTTAGAATTAAACGCTTCAAAATATTCTCAAAGATGAGAATACCAAATTTCTCCCAAAAACATCTTGAACACATATTTCTTGAAACTTAAACCATTCCATAGCATCAAATTTTTGTGCTTTTGCCTTTTATCCCTTTTCAAAATAATTCAAGCTGAAATCCAAATAAATGGTTATATTTGTCTTTATTCATTAAATAAATATGGATAGTTTAGGGAAATCAAAACTCCTTCCCCAAAATGAATAAACAAAAAGTAGCTTTAACTACTGCATAATCTAATTCAGAGACGGGTCAAATACAGCAACAACACTTCCTACCAGGTTGGTCTTAAGTCAGCAGTCACGATATCAGCGATGGCAAAAATAAACAACAATCCCATGTCCATCAAAATATTAGAAAGTGTAAAAAAATATAGATGAAAATGTAAAAAAACTGGGCGTGAAAGAAATATGTTTACAGTTTAAAGAAACATGCTGTGAAAGATGCAATTCCGATGTGAAATTAACTGAAACAAATGAATTTGTGTTCATGAGGCTGGGGGAACTACTGCACAAACATGATAGAGACTACTTGTCTGTTAAGTCAGGTTGTTCTCATGTTCATGCTGTGATCATCCCCATGCATCTGTTCGTTCCATAATGCGTGTAATTCCCATGCCATGTCTATATTTGCAAGACAACACAACACGAACATGCATTCCATTTCAATTTGAACAAGATTCAAATGATGCTGTAGTGCTACATGTGCGAGTAAATATATTCAGATATATATATGTACACCATATTAGTTATTCACCACCTTACAAAGGCATCCTCCTAGGTGTAAGAATTATACATTTATTCAAGCAGACAATTGAATTGATGAGATCTCTTGAAGATTAATTGGTCTTCAAACATAATCTAAACCTGAAACATTGAAATGGATTAAATGGTTAAGCATAGTATCACCCACATAAAGGACAACCACAGCTGAAGTGTGTACACTGAACATCATGTACCATGTAATGTTGCCAATCACCATTTTCTTGGGTTAAGCAATGTTAAGCATGTGATAAATCATTTCAATGTCTTGCACCAAGGAAAACCAGACACCAACCAAACCATACAATGAACATTGGACTAACAAAATCAGAACTGCCTGTTTTAGTTTAATGCTTTGTTGTAATCAGAACTGTTACTCGGTTCAGGAATGTACCTTTTCTCTGGGCTGATCTTAAACAATGTTAAATAAGTTCAATATTATTCAAACCAGCTTTGAGAATTATGAACATGGCCGTGAATCTCAAAATGATTGTTGCGCTACAATTGTAACTCATTTACTGTAAAATCAGTAGTATACCAGGAACTGGCTTGACAAAATAATGTAAAAAGGTGAAATATTAATACATATGCATTCTCAAGCAATTAAGTTTTGTGAAAGGAATTTATGTTATTATAACAGATGTGTGTATAGAATGATAGAAAAAATTCAGAAATAACAGATTCAAGACATGAATGCAGTGTTCAGGCAATTCTGATTGCTACTGTAAGACCATTCCTTGTCAAAACAAACACCATGAAAAGAGCAGCTCTCTCAGGACAGAACTGCAGGTAATGCAGCTCTCCGCAGCTTTAGGCCAGAAGCTACCAACATCCAAAGCATGCTACAATCTTCATGCACATGCGTACCACTCAAGTGTGGCTACCATGACCATCCACTAAACCAGGATATACCTTTTCTTCGTTGTCACTTTCCTCTGTTATCATATCAACATACTCCTCTTCGATGTCATCGTTTGTGTGACTGTCCTCGTAAGTTTGAGTCTCTACCACAGAATCGTCGGTCATACTGGAGACATCATTATTGTTTTCCACATGATTAATCTCATTTAATTGCCGAGGCTGGATGGCTCCATGACCATTTGCGTATGCTAGCATGACGCCTCCGAGGTACGCATCATCAACTGGCTCCTGTTTAATGGCCATTGTGATGGGAGATAACTGAGTATTGCCATCCTGAGAAGTGGGTGTGGACTGGGCGGGTGACTGGACATGGTTCACAGAGTTGAGTGAGTATGTTTCAGGAAATACAGGAATATTCAAATGGTGACTAGTTACTGTCAGACTTGGGGAGTTACAGTAGACTTCGGGAATAGATATAGCACCACGCTTTCCAGGGTTACGGACCAATTTCTTCTCTTCACTGGCATTATTGGAAGTAATTGCAGGAACTACAGTCTGTGTATAGCCTTCGTATTCTGATACCATTCTTTTCACGTCAGTTGCAGTAGGGTCAGGCTCATCGGTAAAGTTTGAATGGTTGCCCAAAACTTCCACAAACCAGAAGTCTGCGAAGCCTAGCCTCATTGTCAGTTTCACACGAAAACTACACTTATGACCACGAACTTTGTGTTTCTCACATCCTGCAATAGATGAGAACAAATATGTCACACAGTGCTGAAAATATGTATTAACATTTCATGCCATCACTCTTATGTTTAATTAAACATCAAAGGGTTCCCTGGATTAACATTACAATTTCAGAAAAATCAGAATGACTTCATATTTACAAACATACATCGACCCAAGACATAATACTCCTGTGAATATCCAATTTTTACATTCCATTTAAGTCAAATGTCTTTGACAATGCAGTCAATTCAAGTACTCAGTTTTCTGAAGAGTTATTCCCCTTCAACTGTCAATCTTTAATCTTAGCACTCAATGCCCTTACTGATTTCAAAATCTGATTTTCTTATTTCAGTAATTTCCAAATACAGGTTCAAACACAGGGTCAAACGCAAAAGAGATATTATGAATGTAATAATGCAGATTATAACAAGAAGGGAGAGCATTATATCATTGATTTTTCCAGAATAATTTCTGTTGAACATTTTATCTTTTTGAAGTTCTGAAATTAAATTTCTTTTAACATTTATACTGATTTTGAAAACAAATGTTGCTATTTCAGAAATTTAATCACAAATTAAGGCTTCATTTATATATAATGTATTTAAAATATGGATTTGTTTAATCTCAATAGACACTGAAACAGTTCAATACCTGGGACACAAACTCCGAATCCACCACATCCTCTCTTGCATGAATTTGTCCCACTGCAGTACAAAGTCTCTCTTGCCATGACAATATGACGAACATTTTTAGCTCTTCCAGCTCTGACCGATCCATTTTGGAGCACCATCTTTCCAAACTCTGTCAATGTGAATCGGTCGTCAAGGAAACTTGGTCCCTTGTGAACTTCACAATATATTTTGTGCACCTCTCGTCCTTTCCGAAGCATGCTAGCTTGGCGATAATTATCGATGCTGTACAGGTACTGTCGCAGGTCCTGACAAGCTATTTTCTCTCCCTTCATTTTGGCGATATTTTCAGACATAAATGTATATACTGGCTGTAGGTTGAATATCACAGGAATTGAGTATTCTTCATGGGTAGTGATTGTAGTGTAGCACACAAGGCGCGCTAAAGAAGCCTGGCAAGCGAATGGCTCTGCATAGGAGACGCTCACCCCATTACATTGTCCGTGGTAGAGTATTTCTTGGTACTAAGCTGGACAGTAGAAAGAGAAGTGTTAGCACAGAAGAGGACAGGCAAAAAGGAAGCAGAGAGTGAGTGAGTAGGGTTTCACACCATATTCAGCAATATTACAGCCACAACACAATGGTCTGTATTGTTTATAAGGCCATGAACTGGCAATACAGTGGTCAGTGCAACACAGAACCAGAACATATGTGTATGACACATAACAGACTCTGCTGAGTGTTGGTCTTCCTAGATTGTCTCCTGTCTAAGTACTGACCATACTCTGCAGAAATTACTGTCATCCAATTTCCATTTTGACGCCTCTTATGGCAAGTGAAATGATGACTATCCTCATGAAAAGTGAATGATAATGCATTTTCAGACCAAAAAAGAGCTATAGATTGTTAACAGTTATCTACAAAAGGTGCTTGAGGAAGGCTGAACATCTGAAAATGTGAAAAGTATGTTTTTCTAATACTAATAACTTCTTAAAAGCAAATTAATAAATTTGGTTAAAAGCGGTATAATGCTATTTGGGCTTTACAAAATGACTGAGTATGGAATCAATGTTAATTGATTACAAGTAGAAAGAATAAGACTTTTAGAAATGTGTTAATGCAACAAAAGAACAAAATTTAAATCTATATGAAATAATACATTATTTTTATTATTCTTATTGACAATTTGATTTCTTTCAATATCAAGCACATAATTGGTGTACGTTTGACATAAAAAAAATTATCCACATTGCTATAGTTACATACACTTTTCAAACAAACTGCATCAGTGAATATATATTTAACATACATTAACATGTTCATTACAACATATAACACCATTAAAAGGGTTCATGGTGTGCGATATTTCACAAAAACATGAGCGTTCTCGATATTGACTGAGATCTCCGATGTTCTTGTTCGCATCAAGCTTCACCTACAGAAATAAATGTGTTAAGGTTTGGTCACATTTTTCTAATTATTGGTATCTAGTCACGTTTATTGATAAAATAACGGGACATCTTCCCACACATTTACAAGCTATCAACATCTGGCACATTTCGCCCAGTCCGAGGTGAACTCCTTGCAGCGAAGCTTGCGTGACGTCACACCACTCTGACCTGAATATTAAATGACTGAAAACGAAAGCTTTTACAATCGCACCCGTCTAACAAATAACATTTTCAATCAAACTAAGCCTTCAAATACATGCATGAAATAAACGAAAAAGCTCACTTGCTCAAATAGTACCTCCGCAGTCATCTAAAACGCCACAGTCATTAAATTTTTCACCAGAGTTGGGCGTAGCGCGGAGTCGCTTGGACACATCTGGGTATTGGCCGATCGCCATCGCTCGCTGCTGACAAAAGACCGATCTCCCCACCCCATTATAAACCCCCATTACCTTTTCCATAACTCACCTAACGGGCTAATATTCAGTCACAAACGTGTAAAAGCATCTACGATTGATACCAGCTCAGCCACTTACCTCCTTCGATAAATTTTCAAGCATAACGGGTGCAGTTTGTCGAGAGGGCATATCTGCAGTTGAACCGGGTGAAGCCATTTTGTTTCCTCTGCTGGGAAAGTAAACAGCGACCCCTATCCGGTGGGTGCGCGGACAGTACCCGTAACTCTGTCTGTTCCTACCCTCATTTGAATCTAATTAATGCCTTTGAAATGAATGATGTCATAAAAATATGAACTTTAATAATTTTAGATGTGACAAAGTGTATTTATAAATACCTACGCATTATATCACCCTCTAAATAATCCAATTTCACTTTCCCTACTTCTTACTTCGAAAAGAATTCCCCCAAATTACCCTGAAACCGAAAATAATATTTTCATTAAATCAGTTAAATTGATGACTCTATGAATGGTTTTCATCAATAACTGATATTGATCTCATTGATTTTTTCAGGATTTGTTTATAATATTTACCATTGACTAATTCAGATTACATAAATATATACAACACATACTTTTAGTTGTTTTCTCATTCACCCTCATACTGAAGAATTTATTCGATATCATTTTAATTTGATACTTTCAACACATAGACTTTTTACAAAAGGAAAAAAGCAAAACAAAAACAAACAAAAATAAAACGTAATAATGCACAAAAGAGGACACACGCCAACAAAATATTGTGAAATATACCATCGAGCAGTTAAGGCATAATCTTGCATTTTGATGGAGCGAAAATATACAGCGACAGCTCTCGACGACACCACGAAAATAAATGGGCGTGACCAAATGTGCTCGAGAGACGGAATTTTAGTTCAGCTTGTCGATACGGAAACTGACGAATGTAAGTGGAATTAGTGGAGTTTCCTTACTAAGAGGAAGAACCAGCACGTGGGTAGGCGAGATTTGATGATCTTAAAGACGCCTTGTTCAGAAACATTGTTAAGATGTCAACTCCGTTATAACGCGTTGTGGCCTCGTGTAAGTTCGTGTGACGATGAATCGCTATTTATTACGAACCAATTAGGTACATATTTCCAGTTGGCATTTGTTTTATCGATATCGATTGATGTCACTGCTGATACTAGGGCACCGAGACACACATCTGTATTATACCTCTATCACCATCATCATGTTATAGAGAGAAATTGCGTTACATATCCCACCGTTATAACGCGCAGCTGTCGTCGCTATGATCTAACAACAGCTGAAGTCATTTCTTTTATAAAAGATTAAAATAAATACAATAGATTTCACAAACATCACATAACAGTAATTTTGTGGTGACATATTTGAAATACGAGTATAATAACAATACCGTTTCGTTATAACGCGCACCTGCCTGTTTGTATATTGACAACTCACTTGTGAAATATTGATAGTGTTTGTCGTTCACTGTATGGAATATGTATAATTAGTTCGTGAAACTTTGTTAGTTTCAGTGCAGACATAACGATTACCCGGCACTGCGCAAAGGAGTACCCTGGACAAGTGAAAATACGAGCATTTTGATCATGTGTTTTTCTGATAAAAATAAGTTGTTTTTTCGTTGTACGTTTTTGGGACTGAAATACTTTTTTATCAACCAGTGATAAACGCTTACCTGCGCCTGGAATTGATTTTGTGTCGAACACCAACTTTATAGAAACCTTTATTCTGAAGTCTTATTATCCACACACTCCGATTATGCATTTGCATTGAATACGCAAGCGTACATTATGTATTTTCAAAGTAAAACTATAAACCTCGTTATAAAGCCAAGCGCGACAAATGTTAAGGAAGCATAGGGTAAACCGCGTCGGGTGAGCAATCCTCATGACCATAATCTATAAACATATATTTTGGTTCAATGAAAAAGGTGATCATTCTCTTTAAAGACATTGTAGGTAATCGATACTTGGTTATGGATTAAGAAGTAAAATCATGCAACTTGGACTTATTTGCTGAAAAACGATTCGAGCAACTGCATATTATCTTTTTAAACAAATACATGATCTTTCCTTGTTTAAAGCCACGCGTTGTTATTACTCACGATCAATGAAATCCTCGGTAAACAGCTATCGAGGAATTATGGCGATTTTGATAAAAAAAAACACTGACAATTTAAAAGAACCGATATTATTTTTTTATCTCATTTCCACGTTCAGTTTCAAATTGTATATCATATTGAATCGGATACTGAAATATATTAGATCTATATCTTGTTACTAAGTAACGGAAGAGCGCATCCTTGTATATTGTTGAAATGTATATAGACTTGGATCCTGTAAGTAACGGATCTAAGACAATAAGCTACTGATGACGGTTGAGTCTATGTTTTGTTTCACGACGTATGTTACACTGTGTCTAAGGACTGAAAATTAAAACAATATTATTCGAGAAAAGATAACAACATTGATTTTACATTCTCTATATCTATTGAACTGATTCAGGGCGCACCACATGCAGGCTTCATTACTGGACGGTGAGGGGAAAATCAATATGTGGCAAATATGTGGCATAAACTCCATTGTTCATAATGACCAAGAATAAGCCCAGCAGCCACGTACCTAATCCTAATCCTGCTCATCCCTACACAATAGCTGAGACTGAGCGTTCACTGCGGGCATCTGTCTGATGCTCACCGTGACACGATATCGCAAACACAAATCAATATTTTCCGAGTTAGGCAGAAAAATCTCGCTCCGTTACTGAGGATCATTTTGCTGGAATATTTTGATTTTCGGTAACGTTTGGATTTTCAGGGTTGTGTGTCTTAGCCTGTTAGGGGAGGGAAAAAGGGTCGGGGTGAGAACGGGGGTTGGTTGGGGTGGTTAGGAGTGGGGGTTCGAGGTGGTGGGGTCGGGGTTGTTTGAAACCGACGCTTGGCACACGATGGACAACACTCCACGTGTTTCAGTGAACGCTGGGATGACGACTTTGTTGTGGAAGGGATGCAAGGAATGTAGGGTGGGGGTTAGGTGGGAGGGGGTGATGTGGAATCGGGACATGAGCTTTGTGTTTTCGAATTTCAATGTTTGTTTTTATAGGAATGTAATGTCAAAATGTATATGATTTTGACTATATCGTGGGGATTGGGGTAAATATGGACTCAGTCCATTATGAGTAAAATGTGGGGTTGTGGATTTATCCTTAGTTTCTGATTATATAATTTTGATAGAAACAAATATTTCCATTTAAATTGAAAATGGCCAGAGTGGTATGGCAGATTCTGAACTAAAGGAAGCCTAGACTTGCTTCATTTAAAGCTTTTGAATTGCTAAAAGGGCTGGACAAAGTAAGGAAAATAATGCGGTTCATCTACTGTGAGTCAGACTCTCTCTCTCTCTCTCTCTCTCTCTCTCTCTCTCTCTCTCTCTCTCTCTCTCTCTCTCTCTCTCTCTCTCTCTCTCTCTCTCTCTCTCTCTCTCTCTCTCTCTCTCTCTCTCTCTCTCTGTGTGTGTGTGTGTGAGGGCGTGCGTGCTTGTTCGACGAGAGATGGCTGAGGGTGGATCTTTAGTGTCCAAGGGAGAGTTGGGTGGGGTCGTACACCTGACACGGTGGTGAGAAAAGGAGTTACTTTGTAGTGAGACATTTATTCCACGGGACGGGTTTGATGTGTGTTTCTCTCGACAATGGAAGAAACAACACTGCTAGATGGCGGATAGGGGTGGCGAACGGGTAGGCGTGTAGAGGAGAGGACTAGTGGTACAGGGACATAGGAGGAAATGGCGAGGGTTGGAGGCAGTATACATGATGCCATAGGGTCACGGCAACACGCCGAGGTCACGTTGGTGCTGTTGCAAGAGAGATACATGTATATGAATGTTGCAAGGCATGAAGCGATGTCGACGCAGACAAAGATCAAGTTACGTGTGGAGGAGGTGGGGGGTAAATTTATCACATGTCGGGTTGTGGATGGGGGCCCTCTTTACACCATGTGTTTGCATGTGAGGTGGTGGCATGCCCGAGATAGGTCCCTGCATGTTTGGAGGGAGGGAGTGGGGGAGTGTTCTGTTGCGTGTGTTAGGTGTTGTTGATTATTGTCGGTGTCAGTCGAAGCGGGAGGGGGGGTAGAGGAGAATGGTCAGTTTGACTCTAACAGCCTGTTCAGATCGCCGTTGTCTTCAGAGCCAGCTGGCAGCATTCGCCATGTGCTCTACGGGGTGCCGATGAGCTGATGGACCGGGTGGGGTGAGGGGGGGTGGTTTGGGGGCGTGGGGGTACGTTTGCGGATGCACAATGAATCATTTGGTGAGCTTAATGCTGACGGGCCGGGTGGCCTTGGAATAGGGGTAGCTTAGGAGATTTCACCGACCATGTGTCGACTTTGGGAACTCAAAAGCTCTCAGAGTGGGTTGGGAACAGGGTTGGTCTGTGGTATGTGTGGTGACTGAAGACCCATCCGACAATGGTAACTGGTAGTGCTGTGTCTCCCACACCCAATATAATAAAATAAATTTTAAATAAAGATTACAACTGAAATGATTAATTCAGGAAATCTTATTTATTTTTTTATTTGAAACATAATGCTCAACAATAACCCTATATACTGTACACAGATTGTTTCCAAATTTTATTTCAGTTTTATTCCTTTTTTTACATTTTACGCTATTCAATTTAGACATATTGACTTACACATTTATAACTAGGTCAAAATGGAATGTTTTGTCAGCTACTGGATCATAACAGAAGCAGGAATCACATATTTATATGTAATTTTGAAAGAAACAAACAAGCCCATTTAAATTGAAAAGGAGCCCCAGGGAGACCAGAGATTCAGAACCTGAGGAAATCTAGACTTGCTTCATTTAGAGCTTTAGCACTGCAGATAGGGCTTGGCAGTAGGGAAAATAATGTTGTTCAGGGACTGTGAGACAGACTATACATGTTTATAAGAAGTCACTACTAAGACAGAAGAAAATCGGTTGCACTAACCCTTTTCTTCAACTTGCCTAAAATGTCGAGTCAGCGGATATAACAGTCTGAATTTTAATGAAGCTGTGCATGACAGTGAAACGATTTCAGCGTCATGGCTCTTAAGGACGACTAGATTTATGACGTCTTAATTCTGACCTATCACGTAAAGAGTAAAACCCGTTAATCCAGACTGTAGCGTGTTCT